GCATCTAAATTTTTTAATGGGTAGAAACACTTAAAAGAATTTATATTATTTTTATATTGGAATTATTTTTGTAAATTTTTGGCTGAAAGATATTCCCTGAAAGTCAAAATAGCCTACAGTAAATAGTGATTGATAATTAAGTGTACTTATATTGATGATCAAAAAATTGACTAATATGATTGGGAATATCTGCTTTGGTTATATCGCCATTCAATATAACCGGTCACACACATTGGAATTGTTGTTTTGGACTTGCTCAGTATTGGCTTTGCCAGAAGATTATAGATTTATACCATGTTTATGAAGAATGAAAAATTAATTAATGTAATTATTGAAAATAAGAATTAAATTTAATAATCCTGAATGATTTGTGGTAAATAAAGTCATTTATAGAAAAAAAAAATTTCAAATTTATTGGAATGTCATAACCATTTAAGTATGAAATACAATTTTAAAAAGTAAAACAACCCGAATAAAATATATTTCATAATTTATAAGTTGATTCCACTAAATTAGAGAAGTAATGAAAAAGGAATTACTCTACTTTCTTTCATATTGATGATCACAAAAAATTGTAATAACTTTGTATATTTTGAATTTTTTTTCTAACAATTGAGAATCTCAAATTTTATTTAAAATCAAAATAAAGTCTTCTAACATGATTTTTAATTTAACGAGAATTTTTTGTATTATTGGAATTCCCATAAATGATTGTAGAATTTAAATTGAAAATAGAATGAAAAATCATTGTACGCATTTTTATTACATTAAAACAACATTAGAGCCGTTCAAAATTAAATATAATGTGTATATTGCATGTGAAATAAATATTGGGAATATCCAACGGTTAGATTTGATTTTTGAAACAGACAAAATATATAAAGCGAAAGTAACATAAAAAAAAGGAATGAAGATAAGTATGTATCAAAAAAAATAGATGTATAATCATAACAAATTCATCTAAATTCAAATGGAAACTTTACTTGAATGTATTTTATTCAATTAAAATATCCTAAATGATTCCTAATATGATGTTGGTATTTATGGATTTTATGGCTACTTTTTATAATTGCATAGATTATTTAAACCTCATTTGTTTCATTTTGACTAAAATCAACATCAATATAACATTTTGACCATATGGATATTCCAAATATGTTATTGGGATAGATTTGAAGAAAAATGAATGAAATTTTGGAAAATATTTTAGAAAATAAATCTTTTTTTGTCAAAAAAATAAAAAAAATATCATTAAAAATATCCAAAAAGTATACCCAAATATTAATAGTTTCTATAGAACAACAATGAAATTATTGAAATACTATTTGAAAGAAAGTAAAAGCTTGAGATATATATTATATTTCTGATGCAGAATAATGGAATGTTTTCAATAAACATATATAAAAAAAAAGAATTGATTTTGTTTTATGATTTGAAAAAATATTTAATAATTTCTATAAAACAACAATGATATTATTGAAATACCATTTGAAAGAAATTAAAAGCTTGAGTTATATATTATATTTCTGATGCAGAATAATGGAATGTTGTCAATAAAAAAATATAAAAAAAGAACTGATTTTGTTTTATGATTTGAAAAATATTTAATAATTTCTAAAAAAACAATGAATTATTGGAATACTACTTGAAATAAATCAAAATTTGAGGTATATATTATATTTCTAATGCAGAATAATTTAATGTATTCAAGAAAAATATATAAAAGTAAGGTTTGTTTTTTATGAATTGAAAAATATTTAATAATTTCTAAAACAACAATGAATTATTGGAATACTATCTGAAATAAATCAAAATTTGAGGTATATATTATATTACTAATGCAGAATAATGGAATGTATTCAAGAAAAATAAAAAAAAGTAAGTATTGATTATTTTTTTATTTGAAAAATATTTAATAATTTCAAAAAATAACAATGAATCATTAGAATATTACATGAAAGAAATCAAAATCTTGAGGTATATATTGTATTTCTAATGCAGAATCATGGAATGTTTTCAAGAAAAAATATGTAAAAGTAAGGTTTGATTTTTTTTATGATTTGAAAAATATTTCGAATAATTTCTAAAAAAGAAAAGGAATTATTAGAATATTATTTGAAAGAAATAAAAATCTTGAGGTATATATTATATTTCTAATACAGAATAATGGAAATTTTTCGAAAAATATATTCAAAAATAATATTGATTTTTTTTTGAATCGATAAATATTTAATAATTTCAAAAAACAGCAATGAATTATTGGAATACTATTTGAAAGAAATCAAATGCTGAAGGTATATATAATATTTTGTAACGCAAAATAATGGAACGTTTTCAAGAAAAATATATGAAAATAGAATTGATTTTATTCTATGATTTCAAAAAGTCAAGTAATATATTATTAATTGAAATATATTGAGAAAACAAAAATTTAAAGATTAATATAGTATACTTTAAATATACTTAAATTCGAATTCGGTTTGGAGCCTTGAGTAAATCTATTAGGTGCTTTTAGCTTTTTTTTTAATTAACTCAAAAAAAAAATTAGATAAAAATTGTGTTTTTTCTGGAAAAAAACCTGATTTTTTAAATATCAGAGTAGTATTTAACCGGCACTCAGTCCGTGTTACCACATTAGATCCGGTCAGGCGTAAGTCTCTTAGTGAGAAAGGTATGACCAGAGCCCTGAGTTTTTGGGAGAATAGGTTGGAAACGGTTTGAGTGTGAAAGGTAAGGATAGAGATATCGTGGGTTCAAATATATTCTATAGTTTCAAGTCTCGGGTTGGTGGGGAAGGTTACTATTATGAAATTATACTCAAGGTTAAGCATTTTACTTTGGTGAGTGACACCTCCCAATAGTGACAGAAAATCCTAGTTCCAATATATTATCATTTTTATTTATATCATAGGTCTAGCGATTACTTTACATTTTTTGGTTTAATAAAACGTAGAAAAAAAATTTATCCACTTGTATATTTATTTTCTAGTTGATAAAAAGTGCTTTGAAAGAAAAATTTCAGTTTGAAAAGGGGGATGTGTCTACCTCCAGATTTTAATATTGCATGATTAGAATGAATTGAAGGTGATTTTTCAAGAAGGTTATAGTCAAAATTTTAGGTCGATAATGTGCGCCAACAATACTTTGCTTCCTTGAGCTCTGGAGAAAATGGGGCGATGTGATCCGGCCGTTAGCCTGGTTCGGAACATTCGAGATCTGCCGAGGTAAGAAAGCAAGAAAATCGGGGAAAGTTTTGACGCGAAGTTGCCCGCGGAAATGCAGGGTATGTATAAGTACTTATATATGTCTCTTTCGAAATTCGGAAGAATGAAGTCATGAGTTATCTCAAGAAAAACCTTTGAACTTCCGGATTTTACCCGGATCGGATCCGACCCAAAAAACCGGGTCGGGTTCGGATCGAAGATAGAACCGGACCCGATCGGAGCCCTAGAAGAAAGTGGCACTTACAGAGAATGAACTCTTTTATTATTCGCACCATGTCTGAGAGTTCGCACAAAGTCCACAGTGGGAAAAGTTTTAGTCAGCTCTATTAACAAGAACTGGGGTACATACTTTTGCAGATGGCAGTCTTATTGCAGAAATAAGCAACGTCAGTAATTTATCATTCTTCCTTTTGAAACATATGTACTGGAGAATGTAATGGCTAACGATGAAGGAGCCTCGCGATCACTTAGAGTTTCCGGACTCGAGTTGCAATTCCGCTCGGAGTTTGGCCTAACTGTACAAGGAAGAGGAGGCGTATTTCGACGGAAATATGTGGCAAATCGCATGACGATGAAAGAACCAATTACACAAACATATATGAAGAAAAAAAGTTGCAAGGAAAGAAAGATAGAAGAACAGGCAAAGGAATGGAGAGAGAAAGGACAGACATGTCTCTGAAGCTTTGAGCGTTGAGCCTTTGAAGTGTGCGATATCGAGAGGCTATTATTTTCACAAAGTACTCCCTACTCACGCAATCAAACAATTGACGAACCCTCGAAAAATGAGTCAGAGGACCACTCGGCGCATATGAGTCAGAGGACCACTCGGCGCATGTCTCGCTTCCGAATCCCGTTCAAGGAAAACCCGTTTCTCGTGAAAACAAAGAACGTGTGGCAGTGTTTCCCTTCCTCGCAAAACTCCTGCGCAATATCTCGGAAAGCAGTTCTCAAATGCATATCTTCAGGTACCTTTTCACACACAACCCAAGAATGAGATCGACTGAACATCCTTTACAGTACTGATGTTTGACCTGGTGCGATCTCGAGTCCAGTAGTCTCCTCGACAAGACGAGGTCTAACGAGAAAACTGAAATCCACGTGCGACGCTTTAGCTTTAGTAGAATTGTCACATATGAGCAGACACGAGACTACAGTATTACGAGTACTCCATCACGTTAAAAGTCTGGATTTCAACCTGCACGAGGAGATGCATCAGAGAAACTCCGTCCTAAGTTGAATATTCCTGAGATGATTGAATCAGATCATTTCCTACTTGCTCGTCCATTTGATGGACGAGCAGCACTGGACTACTTTCCGTCAGTGAAAAACTTTGTCGTTATGCAATAGCTCCAGCCGCCAGATCTGGCCAGGAGGACCGGACAGTATCAAGCTGAGAGAATCTTTGTCAGAATACCACATTTGGGGCGAACAGGGGGTCAGGAAGGATATTGTTTCTTCGGCCACATTTACACGGGTTGACATCGCTTTGTCGGTCTACACCGAGCACCGCCCATCAGCGATCGTGGATGCTGCTGCTGCTGCTTTAGAAGCTTCGCCTTGTAAAGCATGCGGGGAGGAAAGCCGAGTGCAGCGGAATGAATTTTATATAGAAACTCTGCTTCATCCATTTCTCGACGGGCTTCATTTAAACCATTACATTCATTGGCTCTTCGTACAATCTCATTCCAGTGAATTTCGATTGCCTGCAAGCGAAGTGCGTGAGTTCCAGTATCAGAGCAGAGCAGAAGAGCCTGAGATACTTGAATTTGCATAACAATGCGGATCTTTGGCGTTCTGTGTCTCGTCCTCCTCGTCTGTTGGAACGTACGTTCGTGTTCTGCCAGGACTGCTCTTCCGAAGCTAGAAACGACGCGAAAGTTCTTCATTTTCGGAGATTCTTATGCGGATACTGGAAACACGCAGAACACTACGGCCTTTCGATTTCCTTATGGGATTACGTTTCCAGGCAAACCATCCGGGCGCTTCTCCGATGGGTTCGTCCAGACGGATGTCATAGCGTCGAGGGTTTTACACGTCGCCTCCCCACCAGCTTACGCCACCCTTTTGGCTAACACGTCGACGTCGATTTCTAGCGGCATGAACTACGCCGTCGGAGGGAGTGGAGTCACGTACGCCTTTGGACTGCCGACTTTGCAGACGCAGGTGCAATGGTTTTCTCAGATGGTAAAGGCAGGAGCCTTCACGCCAGCCGATCTGAAGAAAGCAGTATTCCTCGTGTCCGTCAATGGAAATGACTACGGCGCTTACAATGGCACGCTCGAGAATTACTACCTATTGGTACCCGAGGTAGTGGATCTGATCGACCTCGGTATGCGAGAGCTTTACAGTCTCGGTGCCAGAAATTTCATGGTGTCCTCGTTAGCGCCACTCGACTGTCTGCCCTCAGCCTCACGCCCGTCAGGATTCAAGGCTTGCGGGAAGAACAGCACCATCGAGTCGGTCCTCTCAAGTCATAACTTTCTTCTCGGACGGAAACTGGTAAAATTTATCAAACACCAGAAGGGGTCAAATGTCGTCTACTTGCAGCAAACTAAAGCCATCAGACACATTCAGAAAAACCTGCCTGAGTTCAATCTCACCGAAGCGTTCAAGCCTTGCTGCAATGGCTTGTGCGCCGAAGTGGACGCAGGCGGTAGCCCACTGTACGAGCTGTGTCAGAATCCAGGCCTTCACATGTTCTGGGATAACGTTCATCCATCGCAAGCAGGCTGGAACGCTGTCGTCGATCTCTATCAACACGGGTTCACTAGATTCTCTCCGTCTCTTAATGCTTGGATCGACGGTCTCTGCAAATGAAATGTGTCCATAAATCGACGTACATATGAACAAGAGCAGCTGCCACTACGGCTTCCAGTCTGTGGACTAAATAACAGAGATAGACAACTTTGTCTCCTTCTTGTGGAGACAAAGTTCAATAAAAAGCTCAATATCCGTTCAATAAAAAATGTCTCTTGGATGAGATGGAACTTCGAGTTTCAGGCTATTTCCCTATGTTTGAAGCTTTCTCTCATTATCTTGGACTGAAGAAATTTCAAAATTAATCTGGAAAGAGGTTGATTGCAGTGCTGTAAGCTTTTCACATGAAAGAATATCTTCTCTCGTGACATGGATACCGTGTCTCATCAGACCAAGATGCATCTGAAAACTTTGTTGGTCTTCTCAGAATCTGCAATATACCGTGCAGATTGGTAGCCTCGGATTTCAATTTAATCATTCACCTATATCTGCGTGTCGGATGAGGTTTCCTTTTCATTTTCATTTCATTTTACGCTGAAATGGGCTAGAAGACATGGAACTTCAAGCCTCTATAAGGGGCATAACCAGATCGTGATGCCTTTCACAAGCTCCCATCAGGAGTTGATGTCGAGTAGTAAGAGCTTGTACTCGACAGTACCAGGCACAGAGGACAGTTCCTCTGGAAGCTGAAGCTTTTGATGTCCATAGTGATTAAAGATCATCGTAATGAATTTCCCATTTGTGTTAGATAACTTCAAAGTCAAAATGTAAGCAACCATGCAAATTACGGCATACGTTCTTCTGAGAAAAAGTTGACGATTTCAGCAAAGACGATAGGAATGGACCGACCCGTCAGAAAACTACAGCTGAGACAAGGAAGAAGTGTAGTTCGTGACGCGTGGAGAAATGCATCCATACTACATCACACAGCGAGACTCCGTGTGTTTCCAGAAACAGCTGCCACCGGTCGACACTTCATCCCTTAGAAAACTCGAAGGTGTGGTGTAGGGCGGCGCGGCGGATCACTGGCTCAGAGTTGGCTCACGTGGACTCTGGCTGGACGTACTCTGCGATTACCTGCAGCAGTTGGACGTCGCAAAGCAGTGACAGCGCATGCCAAGTGAACAACTTGAGCCTTGGTACTTCTGCAAACATCGTTTGGTGTTTCTTCGTGCGTTTCATGAGTGTGCAGAAGATCAGTTACACGACTGCGGATCCGAAAATCATTTTCCGTTATCTGGTGGGGTCACTCGGTCTTTGATGATTTTGCACATGTTCGCATGAACGCCGATTACTGTTCTGCAAGTAGACGATATTGGCAATACAATGAGACCATCTTATTCATGCCGTACCTGGAATCTGGCTCAAGGAATATGCACTCCTATTGATTGAATTACCTTACATCTTGTTTCTTATAGGAATTAAAAAAAATATTCTGAAAATAGAATTGGCTTCGTTATTGTTTTCCCTTTCATTCAATGCGGTCGAGATGATATATTGAATATTTGGACTTAATTTTCTTTTTTTATTTTCAACCTGAAGTAAGTCCATATACAAAGCGTTGTTCAAAATTTGCTTTATTTGGTTGATTTTGTGTAATTATGCAATCTATAAAAAGAAAAATAAAGCTCATATTTCAATAGGAAAACTGTTCAATTTTTCAAAGTATCTTTTGCACTTCCAGATTTGTGAGCAATGATTGACATGTACGTCTTCATATATGTACTACTTAGTCTTAGATAAACCCTGAACATTTCTACAACTGGGAAAAAATTATGTCTACAAAAGTATGTATACATATAATTTTTTGCGTGAATATTTCAAAAATATTTTTCATCCAAATCATTCATTTGAATTTTTGAATTAAAGATTCGGAAATGCAAGAATTATTTTAAAATTTTCCTAAGAAAATATTTATTATTAAATGAAATAATTTATTAATATTTTAAGGAATTTTTTCAGTTAAAGATAGGAACTTAAATTAAAGATATTTTTAATTTAAAATAGTAAATTTTACAAAAATAAAAAATATTTTTCAAATATTATCCATTATTCCGAGATTTAATTAAGGGACATGTGATGAATAAATTATATGTTTTTCTAGTTCAGATTTAAATATTTAACTACAAAGATTTTAAGAAATTATTTTGAATACTAAGGCATGTCTAAGTTAATGATATATATAGCAAAAATCTTCAAAAACAGATTTGAAGCTTTTATTTTTCAGATATAATCTGAAAATCTAATTTTAAACATATATTTAAAATATGAAATACTCATAAAAAAAAATGTAACACTAGATTTTGTAAGAAAAATTTAATCACTTGAATGTCAATGATTAAAATTGTATATGATAACATGTTTATTTTAAAAGATATTTTAGAATAATTAGAATATTTATATAATGTTTTTAAAGTTATATAAATATTAAATATATAATATTTTTGGTCAATTCTTTTAGAACAAAATTTTTTATATTCAAAAACATATAGCGCAGAGAAATAATCAAATAGAGATACTGAAAAATGACAGTATCAAATTCTGACAATAATTAAGATTAATCACAGAGTGAATACGATCATTAATTCATAAAAAATTTGAGGAAAATTGCTATATTTCTATAGCGGATTTTGGTATAAAAAGTAGCATTAATCCAATAATGTTACTGGTTGATAACATTGGCCCATTCAACAATATCAAATACTTTCTCCTGCAAATTGTCTGTCTAAGCCGAAGGCTACTAAGGACAGATATCACTAAAACTTTCATGTAGACAACTATCATCAAATTTAATCTTTCACATACATGTACAACCATGTTTGAATTGTAAGTTTTATTTGAATTAATACTTTTCTAATGTGTTTGGATTATAATCCTCATTTGTATGTTTTTACAAAGAAATTTTTTCTACCCAAATCTCTCATTGTGTCTATCCATCCTAGAGACTTCCACCTTCGAGACGGGAGAGATATTGCCCATACTTCAGTGCATAGCTACTTTTCCGGACAATCAAAATCAATGAAACTCAGCTCTAAAATAGAATCGCTGACAGTTAGTAAGATTACATTAGTCTATTAGTCAGTCGGATTCCATTCGTGAAGTTTTGTCCCTAACGATGGGGACTTGTCTTCACCTCGCTGAGAAAAATCGGGAAAATACTGGAACCGAAGAGAACAGATGAGTTTGAATACACTCACTTTGAGCAATCAGGAAGCTCTCTTGGAGTACTTCTACTACCTTAAGTGCTGGTCTCACAGCAACAATGGCTCCGAGGCCCACCTTGTACACTGGCATTTCTTATATCTGGAAGGGGGGGGGGCCAAGTTGTAAAGCCAAAAGGATGGGAAGAAGGGCTCTTCTTGTGTTCGTCAAGTTATGGAAGAATTGCTCGTGTTGAAATTTAAAGAAAAACAGATCTAATTCAAGTTGAAATATATACAGGATTTCCTGCTTTTATAGTAGAAAGCAGAGGTCAAGGAATTGAACAATTAACATTAAAGTGCATTCTTGCAGACGGTCCAGATGATGATATGCGCTACCCTTGCCAGCAGTTCACATCTGTCCGTTCCATCGTCAATCTCGACGTCATTCCTGCAGCGTTACTCGTGCTGTCTATCGAGGAGTAGCTGATTGAAATGCTTGAGTTGATCGTCTGTATGTCACATGTCGTCTGAGATGCACTGTTAACCAAGAAATTTGGACCCTGCAATTACAGAAACGTCAGATTCTGAACCACAGCTATTCGATACAATGTATTGGAGACGTTGTAAGAGGAAAGAGGGTAAAGACGAGTCAAAGTGTATAATATTCCTTCTCTAACTAACTACATCATCAAACCACAAACGAAAGAAGGTGCCCAGCTCCTCTGTACAAATGAGATTGTGTCTTCGACCAGGATGAAGGTATCTGCAAAGAAAAGAGTGTAACCTGTCAGTCATAGCAAAAGTTCTGTTCTATACTGAGAGTCTGTATTTGCCTGTCAAACTCTAACCCGAAAGTGCACCACTGAACCCTGTCAAGTAGAAGCTTATGATTGCGATGCTACTGCTGATATATTTAATTCTGGGTTACACAGACTTCTAGTCTGCACCAGGACAGCTCTGACTGGTTGATGGCGATTCCCTCGAGAATTCTCCAGCTTAAAGTCACCAGTTTCTATGAGGTTTTTCAAGCTCACCAAGAAAACAACAGCTAAAGTTTTTCCCACTTCCAATGAGCCGTAGTCTAGGTCACAGCAGAGTAGGTGATGTTGCCAAACGAATGATTCGAGTGCTGGCAAGCGTTACCACTGAACTCTTGTCCAGGCTGTGATCCTTGACCTCAACAGTGGAGTAGCAGGGCCGATCTGTTAACTAAACGGTTGACCACAAGGTCGTCACATTCAACAACAAATGAGTGTGGAGAGAAAGCACACATAAAACGAGTTAGTTGGAGGTTCGACCAATTCTCATATCTGCAGGGGAAAGCGACAGATTCGGCCTTGACAGCGTAGAAGTAAAAGCCTGCGCCTGTCAAAACTCGACTGAAGTGCGAACTGAAGCGCGTGACTGTGACAGAGAAAATCCGCGTCAAACACAGGACAAAACAACGCGACTCGGCGAACAGAGAGGAGCAAGATTGAGTTTATCAACTACCAAGGTGCTCTTTGCGAAAGCTTGTGAATCCAGGTAAGATGCTCTCGAAGGAGGTAAACCAAGAGTGCGGAACGAGTTTGGACTGCTAAGATGCAGGTGCTGCAAGTGCCCACTTCGTCAAATACAGTCAACTTTACAATTGGTGTCTGCAAATCACTTCATAGCATTTGAGTCCAGATGTACTGTATCTTTCACGCTCGACTTGAAAAAAGTCGATTTCATTTGGTCAACCCTTCAGCAGGATACACTCTCACGGGAGATTCCTCCATAATAAGCTGATGTAGTGGTAGCACAAAGCACAAAGGTGGTAGACTTAACTGAGATACCAAAATGTAGAAAGTAAAAGGACCCATAAAGTCAAATCTTACATGGATGAAACCGGACGTGCAACATGGGGCTAGGCCCCAGAGCTCTACCGATCTCGGTCAAGTCCACCATGAGCTTATTCGATGGACTTATTTGAGATCGGTAGAGCTCGATCCTCGACATCATATGCTTCGACCATTAGTGGGCCATTTTTGCCTGATGAGCTCAGAGTGACCCACGAGCGCCATTTCGTCTTTGGGAAGGAATGTTGGAAACCGCGAAGAAAGTGACAATAAACCGCAAATTCCCCTCACGCCTTCTTTTCTCCACGTCCACCGTACAACCAGGAGCAGTGACTTGCACACAAGAGCTTGGGTCCACTCTCCATTATGGCTACATAATAGATCATCCTTTAGTCCAAACGAGACACATTGAAAGAACTGAAAAGTGAGGAAATACCTCATCAATTGTCATACTACGAAACCAGGTGTGGAATATGGGTCACGTCGACAGTAACATCACAATCGGGTAATCATCTATATCGCATCTAATATATACGAACTTCTTGGGAACAAACAACATAATCGTATGAAGAGACTCTTATGGGTTATATTAGCTATTGTTGGTTGTAGAATCACATTGTCTTTAACATTCTAAGAAAGTGATAAGCCTAATGCGATAATTCCTCGCACACTTTTTTCAGGAAAAGAACTCTGTCTAACTCCAAAAGTGAAGAAACCAATTTATCTACGTACTGCGATGAGAACAAAAAAAATGATTATAAATATATGTATACCACCACCCGAACCACCTTATCACGATGCGTAATATATTGGACAAACGTGCGGTGTTAAAGTCCAATGGACGAGGCGAAGAGATGATAGGGAAGTGGCCGGCCACCTTCATGTCCCGACATCCGGTATCCTACTATTCCTTCGTTTGATTAGTTGGTACCAACTTTTATATTCCGTACAGCTGAAGCGCTCGAGGAGACATTGCCAATTTCGCAACTTTTCAAGCGGGACAAAAACGAGCGCAAGATTTCATTCAGTGCGTCAGTAGCACGCACAAATTTGATCTAAGCCCTCAAAGCTCTAAGGTCTCTGGAATCTAAGAGGCCAGGCTTACGTGTTCATCAGAGAACTGTACACTCCTTTTGCTGGACATAGAGAATCTCAAAAGGCATAATCCCTGGAATCTGAAGATGCTACTAATAGTCTTACGACGCTGACAGCAAAGCAAGGGGCATCAACAATAAAGCACAAAGGGGCAAGACTCACAAAGTACGAAATGAAACTGTTAACATGGGGTTAGGTGTGAAAATTAAAATTATAGTGAACTTGTTATATTCTATATAGTCTACGTATTTTATATTTATCTTTCCACGTCTACTGTAACCGTTATGAATATTTTTTCAAGTTTTCTAAGTTGCCAAGAAGTGGTTCCAAATCACGAGAAAGAAACCGGTGTATTTTCACAGGTCGCACTATATATAAATTATTTCGCATTTCTTGTATAGTTTTTCGTGAAATAGCTTCTAAAGGTTCTCTTATAGGCATAAACAAATCGTGTTGATAGTAAATAGAACAAAGGTTAGCTTTTCAAGTACCCACAGGTGTTAAAGTTTGAGAAACAACACAGCAACTTAAGAATAATCAACTATGGAACTTAGATAATGTTTAATAATAAATATTTTTATAGTGACTAGAATAATATATTTAGTAATAGAATAAATTCTCGTTTTCTTGAATGCTCTCACGTCGAAATTGTAGACCATGGTTTTTTATAAGGAAATAACTGGCCTACCCAAGACAATTTAGATGATTGGTGTACTATTTTATGAGATCGCGAAATAAAGTAACTTTTTTTTGTCTTATATATATTTCACAATAACAAACTGTACATTAACCTGAGCTATGGGACAAATTAGAATAAAAAATAAAATAAATAAACAGCGAAGTAAGAAGTCTGTCAACACGTAGACAAGACGTGTGAAAAGGGATGCAACTCCAGCTTTTTTTTAAAGTGATGAAATAAGATCAAAAGATTGCAGGATTCGTATGAAATTCACTTGAATCTGGTTAACGCGTTTCTTATTTTCAGAGATGGTACAATTTCGTACTAGTCAATACAAACTGGACAAACAAGTCATGACCATGTGCTTGAACTTGGGTGAAGTTCGGCCAACCTTCTTTCTGCCCTCTCAATGATTTGTGTATGTCCTACATATCTTGTATGTAAATAAAAGGCATGTAATGATATTCAATAGAGGTGTTTAAAATCCTTTACTCAATTCTTGTTGGAGATTAAAATCTTAGGAGAACCCACTCGCGCCTAATATTTCTGACCAATCATGACATCTTCAACTATACATGTCTGTAGGTTCGAATTTAGTGATGGTTTCAACCAAAGAAAGCTACCCCGGTTTTTTGACCTTGTGAATGAAACCTCACTACCCAATAGAATGTCTAAATTAAAGTCAAAGAAATTAACTAGAACCATCGTTTTTGTATGATCTATCGAGCTCATTTCTCGGCTTCATTCATTTGTTCACCTTTTAACGTTATACTCCTTGTTTGATTAGTTAATTGTGCTCGTAACTTGAGTCTGTGTGCTTGCATTCGGAGACCATAGACCTCTTTTCAGTCAGCTTCATCCCACTATGAAACATAATATTCTTTTTCTTACATATATCTATCAATTTTTCTTTAGCCGTGAAATATCGTTACTGCATAATTCCTGAAAAGATATCATATTGAGAAAAATACATTCAGACTGTTAACTTGTATCATATACGTATGGAAAATATTTAATTCAGATTATGAAACATGAAGTTCTTATTCTTACATATATCTATCAGTTTTTCTATAGCCGGAATATTGACTCATTTGTGAAAAATAGTTACTATATAATTCTTAAAAAGATATCATATTGAGCAAAATATACATTCAGACTGTTAACTTTTATAATATACTCATTAAGATTGTTTAATTCAGATCGCCTTTGAATTCCACCCACGTTGGTCTCTTCCCTATTGCGAGCTTGTACGGAGATTATATATCTCGAATGAACCAGAGAACAATGTACAAGACGAGTACATCAATGTCTCAAGTGGACTCTGCGACGTTGCCAACTTGGCTTGCAAAAGAACCTAAGCCTTATCCATTGAGCCCTAATATCGCTCCAGAGGATCAGACAACGGCACTGTTAATCCTTTTCATGTTATCTGGACCTAATTGTGGAAGCGAGAGAGTGCCGAAAAACTAGCACCTATTGCATCTCGTAGCACTGTACCATTAGCATACCATCATGATGCGGATACCAGTTGCACACGGGCTTCCTACTCACAATCCAAAGTGATCGTCTCGATAGTGCGCAAATTTGTATTTCAAATGGTCGGTGGAAATTTCCTGAGTTAGAACGGAAACAAGAATATGAAGCAACCATGAAGCATTCGATGAGTCTCAGTTGAATGAGAATATAAAATAATAATAATAATAATAATAATAGAAATAATAATAATTTAATCCATACCTTTTATAAGACCATTTTTGTATGGTGGTGTGCACAGGGACTAGTGAGAACGGCCCCACTTCACGAGTTTTATAAATATAAGTAGAAGTCTCAAAGTGCGCATGCTTCAGCACAAGTCTTCGACGCGACACCAGCATTTGAGAAGTACGTGACATGCAAGGAATCTTGTTCGCAGGGGTTGTGTAACCACGGAGATCTGACCTAAGTTTAGATTCTCAGATCGCCTCTTTACACCAACCGGGACCATCTGGTCATGTGACTCGGACAAGTTCCCTTGAGCCCCAGTCGTGCGCCTGTAGACGGCAGGGAAGGTTAGGCACGTCATTTGCTTGCACGCATCTTCCCTCCGCCGAAGAGCGTAAGAAAGCCCTACGGAACGATCGTCGTACGTATCTCGAACCAACGCCATTGACCCAGGTACGTCGTCGTAGACGTTACATTTTGACTTCGAGACCGCCCCCTTGAATGGAGGATTCTCTAGCGAAGGTTCTTTCTACCGGGACCAGTCTAAACCTCGGGTAACTAGGGTTGGGTTTGACGGGGTTGAAGGAAACCCAGTTTCGGCGGAAGGTCTCGGCCTGGAATTAGAGGGACAAACATTTCGATCTAAATTTATAAGTGCACGTGTAAAATTGGAATGTTTTTGTGCACATTGTGAACTGAATGAAGGAAGGAAGGAAGGTGTACCATTGTTGCATCTGACAAGAGTCACCACACGCTGCACACACGTTTCTGGTCCTTCTGCCACATGCGGTACAGTTCTGTCTTGGCTTGATTTGGGCATTCGGAGATACTGAATTACCGCGACACACAAGTTGAACTTTCCCGAGTAGACTAATCATTAGACATTCCCGTCCCAGTCACCGGCAGTCTCTCAGTTGACTTATCACGAGGGTGCAGAGTGCAGACTCTGCGGAGATGTTGTTGGTGACTCTAACTATACCACGCATGAAACACATGGATTGAGCGAGAAAAATCGTGGCGAGCTCAGCGAGAACTCGTCCGATCCGACCGACGCTGTGACATGTCATTGTGCTCAGTGCGCGTCAGGTTTCGCATTCTTCGTTATGACTTTCCTTTGGTCGAGGTGACAACTGAAGTCGACTGTGCTTAATACAGTACCCCGAGTCCCGAGAGTCTTGCTCGACAAACTAGAAGAGGGGTGGACAAGGTTACAGTTTATTGTGACCAAAGGTGCCCACATCCTCATCTTGATCTATGAATGCCATTTTTGCTAGAAGAAAACTGTCTTGTCTTGCGATTTACATCCCAGACTTGCAAAGTGCGGAAAGTTTCGAGGGCATGGTGGAGTGACAATGGATTCCCGCAAAGATTTCTATTTTTACATATAAGACCGTCACTTTAGCAGATTGCGCGGATTTTCATATCTGCTCCTTGACTAGCAGTGCATGGTTAATACGGCATTTCTTAACTGACACATAATTCTCTACGGCAATTACGTATAATGTTTTGTAGGTTGTTGGACTGGATAGGCCATGCAGCTCAATGGGCTAAGACGCCCTATCACAAATACGATCAAGTGCCAAGAAAACTAGAAATATAAGAAGGGTCAAATGATATTTGAAATTAAGGTTCAACCAGTGCGACAACAAGGAGAAAGCAGTTTTTCTTTAATGTAACAGGAGAAACGTTTAAAGTATCCCGAAAAGGCATCCCGAAAAATTGAGGGTATATCATTCCGAAACATTTTTTGGGTAAAAAAAATGTTTAAAAGCGTTAATGAATAAATTATAAAACAAAACATAACTAAGAGAAAAAATTCGCAAGGGTCATCATTGGAATGAAACTAGGAACGAAGCTCTCCTGTGATGAAACAGTGTTCCCTTTTATTAAACTCAGTCCACGCATTATCTACGGGATAGTTTGTGAAAACTATTCACATAAAACTAATACTGGTGCAGGAAAAACCTAAAGGGGAAACGTTCCCCTTAGTATTAAAAAGTAGTTGGATCCTTAAATTTTCAGATCTCTGCAGTTTTTTTTTTTCTAAAAACTTGTCTTATTTTTCAGTTCATTGTGCTCCAGAAAAAAACAGATTTTATATATAGGCACTGCTTAAAACAAAGCTACAGGGTACACACAAAGAATCCAGAGTAGGCCTTACCTTAGACGGGCCTATCTTTTGTTGCTTAGATTGAGATCTAAGCAGCGAAGGATCCCACTCAGCATCTATATATATCTTAATCACATCTGGCAGTTATTTTATTTTGTTGATCTCTATTTTTGTGCACTATTGCTGGATTCTCATGTGCATATGTAAACTGTTAGAGAATGATATATTGGAAAAACTAACATGCCTTTGAAGCATCAGATTACTCAAGCTGATGTGACATAAGTTTTATTATGTTTAGATAAGATGTCATAGGCGACTCATATAGAGTGGAATATTCGGAGTAACATGTGGGTCTCGTCTATATTATGGGCAGACTTTCCGGAAATGACTACATTCCTTGTGTATCTTGCTTTGGTAGGATCCATTATTATAAATTGATGTTTATAAGGATGATTAAGATAGCCAAAAATACGGAAAAACCCTATCAAGTCGTAAGGGTACGAAGCCTTGGGATGGAGTGGTACTAGGCTTAATGTGAAATATGTATCACCTCACCTGAAATATTCTATCATTGGATCAAAACTTATCGTTTTGTGAATGATGATAAGCACGTATCATCCGCGAATCGAATGGTATAACATGAATATTTTTTGTCATGATGATCAATTATAAAATTGTGAAGAACTCACTGCTGGATTCACATTAGAGTACCATAGTGTTGATTAGTTTCGAGCAATTTCATCAGCTATAAAAAGTGCTCATATTAGAAATTAGAGCAGAGAGGATTTTCTCTTTTCTCCTCTCACGAAAAAGCTTATATGATGAAAACAAATCTTACAGAGGACATGGATAGATTATAACTCTATCTTTTCATGTCTATTAATTCACTATTTATTTGTGTCCATCTTCCTATGTTTTTTTTGCATCGATTTTTAACAATTTATGTTTTGAATTGATTAAGTTATCTTCGTTGATATAATTACAACTGCAACAGTTGATGAACTTTTAATTGAAATCATTATATTCTGAAATGATCTTTACAAAGAAATTTGAAGTCTTATATATAGAACTCTTTTATTTTGATATTATGTATTTGAACTTGCTAATTATTTTAGCTTCAATATGTGATTTTTAACCTATCATTGTTATGAGGAAATTTATTCTCAATATATTTTTAGTAAAAGATAAAAGATAAATATCAATGTTTAAAAAATTGTTCTTTCATTGAAATGTAATCACTTTTTTATATCTAAATTGATGTTTATTGATTTGTAACTCATGGTTTATTTGACAAATTAGTTTGTATATGTTACAAAATATAATTAAATTTGATATATATTTAATAACTAAATGTCAATGAGTGAGTGCATTTCATAAAATGTTTGCAAACATGATTTTTAAATTTTTCTAAATCTTCATTTTCTGAAAAATATTTAATTCTTCTATACTTTATCAATATTCACCGCAATAAAGTGCAATTGAATGAATTGCCACTTTATAGTGGTGAGTTCTAGTTAGACATAAACATGTGGGTCAATTAATACAAAAATTCTGATAAGGTATTTGAGATGTACAGATAAAACGGTATATATATTCTTCCGGTTAAATTAAAGTTTCAACTCAATATATTTCAAACCTGATAGCTAAAATTTTGACTACAGACTCAAAAGGTAGACTTATCGTCATGTTTACTTCGATGTCTTGTTCTATAAGTTTGAATCCAAATCATAGATTTTTCTTAAAAATAATAATCTATAACAAATTTTAGAACTGAAAGTTGGATGAAAATGACTTTACATTTGAAAGCAACTGGAATGAAATATTGAAATACGTAAATATTTTTAAACAAATTCTTTTGGCATATATTTTATGATATTTTTATCACAAACCTGTTAAAACCATATAAAAACATCAGTTTTACTATGTTTTTTTTGCAACAACACATCTCTCACACTAACCAAGGTACAACTCCAATTGTACATATGTGTAAGATGAAGATGTTATTCTCTACATTTGTTTCCTATGTTGAGGTAGTTAAGATCTTGTGCTGGATTTTCATAAATTTCCATTTATCTCTTGAAGATGAGGATAAAAAAAAAGTTCCGGAATCAACTGCTTACGTACCTAGGTGAATTTTCATCCAATTTTCAAAATAGTACTTCAAAGTAGAATTCACTGTGCCCAGAGATATGTCTTTCTTTCATAGTGACAAATGATAGAGGGTTCCAAATTAAGATTGAGGTGTATTAGAGTAAATGGATGTATGAAGAGAATCTGATGATTCTGTTGAAGTGGATGCATGTGTGGAAAGTGAGTCAAGCATCCGAGACACACATGTAAGTACTTCGTATATTTTCACTTTCTCTCCGACTTGTTCGATGTGTGCAAGTTAAGAAAACAACCATATATCTGCATGTTTAGAGAGGCCTGCCTTTACTTGGAAATACTTCGAGTTCCAAGGTCCAAAGGACTTCTTACGTAACTTAACAGTTATACTTTAAATTTATACTCTGAAAAAAAGCTGTATTTTAAAGTCGTCCCCAAAACAGAAATTCAGTGAAAAGTCAAAGTTTTTACTTGCAGCATCATTATATAGAAATAGTTACGGAAACCTCTTTTGCGCAATTGTCTGTCGATCAGGAGACAAACTGAAAGAATAACAAATACGTACTTGAATAGAGGTTTTGATAATCAGGTATAAATATGTATGAAGATCTAGCCTACGTATCTCTCGTATGTGAAGACAAGTTTGGGAAGCCCTCAAGGTTGGAGACCATGTTGTGGATTACAAATATTATTAGATGCCAAAACTTTGGTGTCCTTTTGCCAGATTTGTAGAAACATATCAAAGCTCATATCAAGCCAGCATTTATTTATTACGTGTCTACATAAAAATATGTACAAGAATAGTATTGTAAACTTTTCTTTACAGCGTGTTAAGTTTGAACATAATTCACAATTTCTGCCATCCTCATTTTTTTTCCCAAATTTCAAGCTAGTCAAGATATTACTGGTCTGATTCGCATTATTTTTTATTTGAAGTGAGTCATGTGTCACTTCAAAAATTTCATTTATATCGGATGAAATGATACTAAGTAAATGTAATCAAATGAGATTATGATTAATAATTTTGAAAAATAAAATAAAAATACATTTTGTAATAAAGATATATCATTTAATTTTATCGCATAAAATCCAAAAAAATTAAATTGTATAGTTAATCTTTTTTTAAAAAAATAAATATTTTGTGGGTATCTTTATTTTGAAAGTATGTGTCATGAAAATTAATTATCTTAGAAAATTTTTTCATCTTGAAAATTACTAAATTTTTCATTGCATGATTGTTTTTCACTCTGTATGAAATTTAGTTTTTATGTTAAGATTAGAAAATATCTAAAAAGCATAGGATTAAAATGTGATACTTTGTAAGAATTGTTATTTTTGTTAAAATTCCACTTAAATATTCTTTGTGTCGTCAACTTTTTTGGATGCATTTAGGTTCATTTATCATAGCTTCTAAGAGAATGAAGAAGCACGTTTGTATGAAAAATTAATTCATAAAATATAAAAATTCAAATTTTTTTGTTAAAACCCAAAAAATCTAACAAATCTAAGTTACGTTTTTAATTCAAATTTTCAGAAATTTCATGACAAGTATTGCTAAGCTGTGGCAGAAGTTCGCAAATTCAAAGCAATAATCTTTGAACGTGAATTTGGGAAAGCAATTAAAAATTACATTGTGATATTCACGAAGGGCCTTCCAATTTTGTTAACGGTCACATGAGGTCGAATATGTCCTGCAAAGGGATAAAATCTAGGAGATTTATTCGGCATTAACGGTTGCAACCGAGGTACCGGAGTACTAAACCCCACGGACCTTTGACCTCGGCGAACTACACCTACACGTCTCGGTACGTATGACCTACCAAAAGTTCGAGCCCTGTCCCGGTCAGGTATGTTGGCCCGGTTCGGCCGTAGTCAAGATGGTACCCACCGTACCGTTTCGTCCCAACATGCGCAATAATGAGGTCTCACGTCCAACTCGGTAGGCTCTACGCCGGGTTCGCGAGGATCGCATTACGCAGTCGAAGAGAGGATCGGCGTGAGGTGAATATTAGCCGTACGTTGAGGAATCCGACGTGCGAAGGGCCACCGTGTGGCAGGCCCGACAGTAGTTTTGGTTCAGTGGATGTGGTTCGGAGTGGCGGACGAGAATTTGGTGACCTGGCATGGAGGGAGGCAGGTGCGAATCATCTGAAGCGGAGGTATACCGAGTAGGGCGAGGCGATACGGCGAGGAAGGAAGTGGGGCCTGGACGCGGACCGGCGGTCGCGATGGCGACTTGGAGGTCCCGACCAGATCTTCGAAGCAGCCACCGAGGCTAATTTGGCGGATGGCGAGGGCGACCGCCGAATCGGAGCGCCTGCGACCGGCGACGGCCAGAAATGATGGCAGTTAATTTAGCGAATCGAGCCAGCCCGCAGCCCGCAGGGCTCTGACGTGGGGCGGCCTAAAATAACGTCTGCCTGCTCAGCGGGACATCCATCCAGGCATGCCTGCATGGCATATGCACACAACATGCATGGGGGCCGGGCGCCGGGCGCCGGGCGCTCATTCATAACAAGGGGAAGGCTCGCGGATCTGTCACCCTCTCCTCCCTTTCTCTGTGCGAGTTCCTTCTGCTCTCTCGCACGCTCGCTCTGTGTTGCTCTCTCGCGCGTCAGAGGAGAATTCGTGGCTCAGAATTCCTCGCTAGGGCTGGCAATCGCGATCGCGTTTGCGAGTCAATGGAGCAGCCGTCGTCGTAGACCGATCGCGTGCCGTCTGAGCTGCGAAGGGAGGTGATTTGGACGCGGTGGAGTGGTCTTTCGAGGTGGTGGTGGCGTTTTTGTTCTGTTTATTTTCTGCGTGTCGTCGTTGATTGTTTTGCTGTTGTGGAGTGGCCCTCGATCTTTCCGGGAGGGGAGGCAGGGGCATTGCTTGATTTTTGAGGGAATTGAAGGATCTTGGGGAATGGGAGAGGAAGAGAAGAGGAGAGGAAATTGGACGTTTCAGCAACCATGAAGAAGGTTGGAAGAAATGAGAATGAACTCGTTGCCGGCGGAGCTCGTGGCATCTGCCTCTGCGGATTTGAGTATTTTGAGTCGGACTACTGTCGGAGGTGCGGGTGCTGCCAGTGGGAAAGAAGAAGTTGCTGCAGTTCAGGAACACGTAGAAGTTATACATCAGGAGAGGAGACTGGAAGCATGGAAGAGCCTGCCCAAGGACATGATTGCCGGGACTCTGTTAGGAGGAGTGGCGCACACGATCGTGGCTCCTGTAGAGAGAGCCAAGCTTCTTCTCCAGACACAGGACAGCAATTTTGTGATACAAAATGGCAAACATGTTCGATACAAGGGCCTCGTAGATTGTATTGTCCGAGTGGCTAGAGACGAGGGTTTCCTTTCGTTGTGGCGAGGCAACGGTAGCAGTGTCATGCGCTACTACCCGTCCCTTGCCATCAATTTTGCTATGAAGGTGATCTTCTGGAAACTCTCTTCTCAAGATTTTTGTTTTCAGAAATCTCGTGTACATCTGTCTCTATTCATATATCAATTTGTGCGTGTTTTTCTGAGGAAAATTGACCACAATACATCTGACTCATAAATTTAGTATTTTGTTTATAGCTTATCCAAAGCACTTGGTTTTACGTTGATACTACTTTTACAAAGCTAAGCCGAATGCTGAAATGGACATGGGTTTTTTGGTATATATCTTTCGAGGACGTCTGCTCTATTTAAATATTTGTGTATCAAGAGCTTCAAACTGAGAGGACAGCTTGATTTCCATTTTCTATTTAATTTTTATATGTATTCGATATGTAAAGTTTATTTTATCGGAGAGAATGGAAACTCGAGAATTGAACTTCTTTTGTCATGGTTTCTGATTATTGAACCAGCGAGATCGTAGTTCATTTGCCTTGGATTTTTAGGACTAATCCGCATCTACATGCATGTTCCATCACGACGTCCACGGTTGGTTGGATGGTTTGTTCGTTCAATTTTCCACTTGTTTCTGTAGCTTGCGTTCAGCTAGCAGCGGATGATGTTCCTGTTTCTGAACTATGGATTTGCTGTGCTTGAATTTTTGGCATCAGTTTGCAGCTACTCCGTCCGTCATCATTTTACTCTGAACTAGCTATGGTTAACCTTTCCTTTCCAGTTTTCTAAGGAGCTGAGAGAAGTCTCAGAAACAGAAGTTTTGCACCGTTATATTCATGAGGAACCATACCTGCCATGGCTGATAATTTGTTGCCACGAGAGATATATGTTTATTTTGCCTCGCACGTTTTCCGTTGCTTAACTTTACCGTCCAGGGGATGTGGATGATGTTGGAGCCAAGATGAATACTCCTACTAAATCTGCTATCATGTGGTGTGCAGGACTTTTACAGGGCCATGCTTATTGAAGACAGGGATGTTGAAGACGAAAATGCCCCGTTAGCTCGAGCTCCCGCGAATTTTTTAGCGGGTGCAATGGCTGGGTGTACAAGTCTTGTGTTTGTATATCCCCTCGATATCGCCCATACTCGATTGGCAGCTGATATTGGGCGTCGAGATGCCCGTCAGTTCCGAGGCATTAGTCACTTTTTGAGGACGATCTATCATAAAGATGGCCTTCGAGGGGTCTACCGTGGGTTTCCAGCGTCCGTCCAAGGCATGGTCGTTCATCGATCCATTTACTTTGGTGGCTTTGACACTGCCAAAGACTTCCTATCCAAAGATGCGGAACACATTCCCTTCTGGAAAAGATGGGCTGTTGCACAGGGTATTACAACCTCGGCGGGTCTTATCTCGTATCCTCTGGACACTGTTCGGCGGCGGATGATGATGCAGTCAGGGCTCGAATCGAAAATGTATTACAACACTTTGGATTGCTGGAAGAAGATTTACAGGCAGGAAGGTGCGTTGGCCTTCTACAAGGGAGCGGTTACGAACATGGTGAGGGGCACTGGTGCCGCCCTTATCCTGGTTTTGTATGATGAATTGAAGCATATTCTGCGGTGGTCTGGACCCGCCGGTACGGAAGCTCGTCCACCTTCGAAGCATGATGTTAGTGTCACGACCAGACCACAAGAAAAGTAATTGTCGTTTCTTCTGCGAGTCACGATTTATGAATTGCTCTTCTACACTTTTAGGGGATTAAGGACTTCGAAAAGCCTAGTTGTATGTATACCAACCAGGCGTATACTGGTCTTGCTTTTTCAAGACTAATGAGTAATGTAGTCGACTAACTGGGCAATCACGAAAGATGATTTGTAGATCATATACTTCCCAGTCATCAGCCCTGGGACGAACCTTCCATTGAAATGAATGGCACTTGTGGTCAATCTAGGAGCTTGATGAGAGTTGTGCGTATCGTGTACATCGCGTACAAGATGCTGAGGTCGAAAGCAACGTCCAGTATCCTTTTTGCTCTTTCCTCATGGAGAAGTTGTTAACACAGGTATACTGCGAGTATTAGCGGAAATCCATAGACAGCATTTACTCTTACGAAAATTGATGATTATCACTTACCATAAGATCTAACTCCTATCTCACGTCAAACGATGAGTTTAGATAAGCGAGACACAGGTAACACCAGGTGTTGGCATCACTAGCAGAGTAGTCCTCCTCTTTTAAGCTTGTATTCTTTATCATCTATAATTTGTTCTCTAATTATTACGAAATTTTTCGTGTTGTCGTGTCCCATCCAATGTGAAGGTAGACGAGTTGTGGCTTTTAAGATACCCTTCAACCTTCTCTTTGGCTAACGGCGTCTGCCAAAATTTTCCTATGAAATTTTTTCTTTTGGCCAGTAGTTTTGTTTTTTTCCCCTGCCATTGTTTTGAGAACTTTATTATATGTACGTCATGTGCTTCTGATTTTCTGCGAAACTTTTGTTGTGCATTTTTTTAAATATTACCAAACGTCTGAATGTTCATTGAGATATCGACAAGCTTTTGCCTCAACGAATCCCACTTCGTTTATGATCGGAAGGTTTCTTATTATTGTGCACGAATTATGTTTTTGTCTATGGATTCTAGACTGGTCGTTACCTGGGTTGTACCGTTAAAATATCCGTTCGTGTTTGCAGGGAACTCAGTATCTAATATTGAGTGTTTCTGTCTTAACTCCATCATGGAATCCCAGCATGGACATCAAATGTCACAGTTCTCCAAGTTTTGCTAGCTGAAAGAGGCTTGTGCTATATAATCGATTCTATTGAGTTCATTATTGCGTTAGAGTCTGGGTTATGTAATTGGTGATGTTTCAAAAATCGCTTCAGAGGGCCATTGTTCTTAGTTAGTGCGGATATCAATTGAAACTTTTTAGGACATTGGCTGTCCTTTTTTAGGACTGGAGTCGTTGAGATCTGTAGATTATATTGTATGAGGTCTGTTATTTCTTAAATGTGATCTTTCAGCTCATTCAGTGATTGCACTCACTTGAGCTTGAGTTGTAGGGATAGATAGCAGGTTGTCATGCTTCTTTGGTTAAAAAGTCGCAGAGTTTTGACAGCATTTTGATCTGTTTGGGAAGGTAGTGAAAAAGCGGAGGAAATTCAGGGTCAGAACAATTGTGTATATTGACTGAAGCAGAGTGGCATTTAGTTAGCAGTGTCATTACGCTCGACTAGTTTTATTCCAGCTGGAAATGCTCTTTATAGTTACATGATAACCGTGTGTTGACAAGCTTTCGAACTTACCAAGATGGACAGTGGTGTTAAAGCGTTTCTTTGTCTTGAAGGTTGACATCACGAGGGTTGTAGGTCCCTTTAGTTTGAGTATTTTTCCCAAATTTCGTCCGTATTTCCGAATCATAACCTATGATCTGTATTATTACCTGCCGTGATATATTGACTGAGGGACTTACCCCCGGTGGTAATAATATGGGCTTCCATTTCATCGTAACATGACAAGGAAAAAACGAAACAAAGTATGAACCATTGTCTACCTATGGCTTTGAAATAGCGAACATGCTGTCAGGTAGGTTACGCGAGGAGAGAATAATAATCTTAAGATATGTGTCACGCAGTCAGGAGGTTAGATAGACGTGATAAAATTATAAAATTTCTACCACGAGGGTGTGTTGCCAAATGATATGAAATGCTTGCTGCATATGTTTGATTCAGGATGTTGACAATGAAGAAGCGGTTCGTTGGATATAAATGGAATCTCCTGAGGAAATCTGTCTACAGTGGGTAGTATCCAATAATTTCTTTGCATTGGATTGAAGGTTGGATTCGACAAGCTTACTTGTGAGAAAGATAATTCAGATGGTTTCTACAAGCTCTGGAAAGTGGATGTCGCCAGACGTCGAAGTTTACAACTTGGAAAGCTGAAGCACAAAGCACTGTAAGTAATCGCATGACAACATCCTGACTAGAGGATGTGAAGTCAGTTAAGCAGCTGACACAATCCCGAGTTGTTGATGGAAACGATTTGCACAGAAGAACGGCCGATTTGTCTGGAAAGGAGAAAGCCGAGCACGGTATTAATGTCTTCCTCTTTTCTGAACTTTCGTAACTGTATCTTGCTCGGTTTTGGAAGGTGTATAACTGCCGGATGCTATACACATCAAGCTCGTAACTTCCTGCCTGCAAGCTCGAGAGTAGCCCACAAATCTCATCCAAGAACTTTCCCCCTCGAGGACGACAACTATTTTCTTCATTGTAACCATCCCTTGAATCTAAATCGTTCAGTGTAACGCGTACATGGCGACAATACTCTACGGCTCCGTTCAGAAGACCATGACAGAATTGTGCCTTTGTACCCCACCGTTCACTAACCGTTACCCGAATTTAAATAATCAAAATTGCAGTCGACTGATTAAGTACTAGAGGAAAACTGGAGTCGACTGATTAAGCACGAGAGTAAAATTTGACATACTTCACAGCGACCCGAGAGCGCCGGCATGGTTCAATCTCATACTCTATTTCGAGTGTTTGTAAAACCACTGCTGAAAAATGTGGTGCGTGGGCCGACGCGCTGCCATTACTTCAACTCTCCGAGCGAAGTGGGGGGCAGGAGGGAACTCGGAGTAATAGAAGAACGACGCATTTGGCATGACAGCTCGCTGGACAGAGCAGCGAGCAGAAGTGTAACTTTATGAACGGTTTCGTACTCGGACTACGCTCATGGATATGACACTAAGAGCTCCGAAGTTGCTGATTGCCGAGTTGCAGGGCGCCGTGCACCATGGCGATTTCGCGATGCTCGGGCAGATGAAGTTTCAGCGCGTTTGGCTGCAGGGAGTGGTCGTGTCGCCGCTGGAGCATGGCACCATGGTGCTGGACGACGGCAGCGGCGTGGTAGACCTGTTCCTGAAAAAACACCACCAGGCTTTGTCTTGGCATCCTGGAATGTACATTCTCGTCACCGGTAGGTTCTGTGAAGACAGTGTTCCGTTCATTGAGGTGCACAAGATTGTAGACTTGTCTGCGTCACCTGATCGAGAGGCGCTGTGGCACTTGGAGCTAGCTGAAAGTCATCAGAAATTCTACGACAGTCTTCTTCCGAAACCTCATCTCGGAGTAAAGAGGCAACGCATGTTACCAAATTAGGGTAGAGCGCCTGAAGTGGCCTTTGGCAACTGCCTTGTGATTTATGTGCAGAATGTGAGTAACAAATGTGCTAACGAGTGTATGATAATAAAGACTCTTGGGCCCCGTAGACATTTTTGACCGAGTAAAATCATGGCCCATCTTCACGATTCTTCCTCAATTCGTATTCTCGTGTATGCTCGGCGATCTCGGAAAGGTGTTGGACGGTGCTGCATTTTAACTCAAAGAACATACGGAGGTTTGGTGAAGATCTGCACTTTCATCATTGCCGATTTCCTTCTCACACTCGGCAATTTCTTTCCGATTTCAGGATCGATGAACGGACTTCAAGCGCAATGAGAACATGCAGTAGTATCTTCGTTATATTTCTATTTTCACCACTGATGTGACTATCAATACCTTCAGAGAAACTCCAGTTGATAATCTAATCTATTACCAATCGGCGGCTACATCTCTTAAATTTACAGACATATTCCATCTTCTTCATATGTCATATCTACCTGCAGTGAAGCTTTCACTTGATTCACTAATAGCTCTTCTTCTCCTTAAGAAATCAGTAAGAAACAACAGAGTCGCATTGTATGTGGTCTAAATATATTAGCACATCCCTCGAAGAATATTTATGACCAAATGACTCAGAATTGATCCCAATTGGCTACTATACATTACGGAACTCAACACGGAAGTGTTTTTCGCCGTAGAAATAAGGGGAAGACAGTATATATGTTTTTTTACGATAATGTATATATGTACGATATGTAGTGTTTACTTGTGATGTTTGGCTTGTTCTTAGAGTGGCTTTCAGTGACATAAATATCCCGGGGCTTGTCCATCTAGTTCACATTTTCAACGATACTACGTTTCAAATGTTGACGCCCATTAGTCCATATATGTGCTTCTTCCACTACCCATAAGGCCCAGTTTAGTGCCAAGAAGTATCGTGATGTGCGGATTGAGATGCTAATTCGAGTGATGTTGGTATCACTTTCTTTGATAAAATGTAGGACCCACACCTTTAGAGCTGACAAAAGCCTTTGGGCGGGTCTCGACCAGTCACTTAGTTCACAACACAAGTGCCCAAATTCAAGTTCGAGCAGTAGGAAGACTTCTGAAAGCTAGAGTTTTGATCGCACTTTTGTTGTCATCATAAATGATGCCGGCATGATGAACGACTGAGTGTGTTCAGTTCCCAATTCGGGATGATTTTTGGAAGTTCGACAGGCGTTGGTGTACATGTTTCAAGCCAAAGTATGCTTGGCTGTATGTTGCAAACAACTCTTCGTACAATTCAATGTCTTCAGTTGATGGGCTGAAGGAGTTCTTCACCTGCACCCAGTTCTCATGTCCACATTGCCAGCCTAACCATTGCCCAGCGAGCAGAGCTGCACCTTTCACTCCAACTTCCTGGGCATCTTCAAGAACATCAACAGTCTGGCCGAACACCGCTGCCATGATTGCTGGCCACACAGGCGATCTCGCACCCCCTCCAACGAGATACAGGGGTCGCGATAAATCCTCGGGCAACTGGTCGGCAAACATAGCATCTCTAGCTGATCGCATTGCGAAGGCCACCCCTTCCATGACCGATCTCAGAAGGTGTCCCCGAGTGGTAACCGCGGAGATTCCGACAAATGATGCACGAGCATGAGGATCCTCAAATGGGCAGCGTTCTCCATTCAGGTAAGGAAGGTACAAAAGACCTCCGGATCCTGCTGGCACACTTTTCACAAGTGCATCCAGCTCCTTCATGTCGATCGCTCCCGAAGGTGCAACCAAATTCGACGCTGCCCAGGCCAGATTGCCTCCGGCAGTCATGATCGACCCCGTTTTGAATACGAGCGAAGGATCAGGGTGGGCAAGAGTGTACACTCCAGACAGTTTGACCTCGCTCCCTTTGTCTCGAGAGCTCTTCTTAGCAAAGGATCCCGCCACCCAACCTGAAGTGCCGAGGTAAGCATATGTTGTTCCTCGCTCACCAGCTCCGGCCCCCAGAGTACAGGCACCGGCATCCCCACAGCAGTGGATGACAGGCACACCCTGAAGAGCAGCACAGCCGAGCTCCACGGCAGCTTGGCTACTTAGTTCTCCACAGGGAGAATTCGAGGCGACAATGGTGGGCAGTTTGTCAATCCAGTGACCCAATTCGACCTTCTCCAGCAGGTCTTCTGCGTACTGGAATGTAGCATTTGTAAGCCCAGTGGTCGAGGCAGTTGTGGCGTCTGTCACGCACAAGCCACACAGTTTCCACACCACGTAGTCATGTCCTCCCAGGAGCAGCGACCGACACCCGTGAGCTGACTTAGGGTCGCGTTTATCGAGCCACCTTAATTTCGCTAGTACGCTGGATGCGCCCTGAGGGAACCCTGTTATGGAGGCTACGAGATCAGAGCCTCCTCCGAGCTCGGCAATCTCAGCCGCTTCCGATTGGGCCCGAGCATCGGAGTAGAGAATTGCATTGCACCGCTTGTGAGAACCTGGTCCTGGCAGAAGAATGACGTCCTGCATTTGGCCGGTCACTGCCACTGCGCACACTTGCGCCACGCTTATCCCCCTGGCGACAGCTTCGGTGCTTCCCAGACACGACCACACTGCATTCTTCGTGGCAAGCCACCAGCTGTCCTGATCCTGCTCCATGCTCGCAGGTCCCCCTTCGACTGTGGCAGCAGGAGCCGGATGGGGAGCGAATGCTGAAGCAGACACATTTCCTCTTGCCGATATCAGAGCAGCCTTGGTTCCTCCCGTTCCGACATCGATCGCCAAAACCCACTCCTTGTTCAATCTCTCCGCAGCGAAATTACACTCGACTCCTCTGACTGCAACTCTGCTCCTCCTTATCCTGCAATCGTCACTGCCTCGCCACGAGGTGCTCCATGACTTCCAAGGATTCTCAATGTGTAGCGATTTTTGGCCCAGCATTTTCACTCCCTCTGTGCCCAAGACACTTTTCTGCACTCAACACGCGAAGAGAACTAGCCTCAGTCGCCCCTTCAGCTTAATTCACTTTTCGATCACTCTCAGGATTTATGTCTCCGGTGCACGAGCTTGCCTGCTAAAGACTAACATATCCGATTCGGGAAACACGGCAACAAAAAGGCTCCGTTTTCATGAACTGACCACCTGCCAGGAAAGTTCCAGCGATGAGTCCTGTCAGTCGATGGATATGTGTGTGTCGTTATCTTCGTTAAAGGAACTTGTGACATTCTTTCTTGCGAGAGCGTTCACAAGTTCCGGCTTGAACATTATACATCTTTTAAGACTAAATTCTACCAGCCCAAATAAGCCGATTTTGGTCTGATAATCATCACGATACTTCTTTTCTACAAATCAAAATGAAACTCCAGGAATTGCACTTCGAAAGCAGGGAAGTACCATGTCTTTTCCATCAGTTATCATGGGAGGAATGCATTACCTTGTAAAAAGTCTGGCACACAACAGTGTCCCTTAGAGCTTATAACGACCTGTGGAGTACTCAGACTGAAGAGGTAAACTTCACAATAGTGGTATTTCAGTTTTCTAGGTTGATTTAAATGGTGGTTCGTAGCCAAGAAAATAACTTGGAAGGTTTTTGACTGTGTTTGGCTCGATTATAGGACTACTATTTTTTTGTTACAAGCAAAGTTACTTAAGAAAGATTTGAGGGAGATGAAGTATTGTTTAAACATATGTCAGTATCCTATGATTACTTATATCAAGTTCTGAGCACTCAAAATTTTTGGTAGGTTTTGATTGAATGTTTTCGGCTCATTTGATTTATGTTTTTGTAAGATTTGATTTCATATTATTAAATATTTGATGATGTGATTGTAGAGAATGGACTACATCAAATATCATGATAAAATTTTAGACATAAAGTTGACCAAAGTTTGTATAATATATTTTAACTTCTTGAAATTTTTTCAGATCAAATGCTTGATGTTTATTTTGAATGTTTTATCATAGAAAATTGAAACTTCCACACAAACTTTTTTTATTGGTTTATTGATTAAAATGAATAAAAAATTAATATTTAGCAATGAAATGTTCTGAATTTTTAAACACTTTTTGTACGAGTTTTGTTTTTTTGAAGCTTAAAAAACTAAACAAACCATCATGTAGATAGATTATTGTTATTTTTTATGAACTCATGAATTTTGATTAGCACTCGATGTGATATTATAATTTTATCTACGATAGAATTAAAATCAAATGTCAAAATAAAAATAAAATTCAACAAAAAATTAATGTAAAGTTTTTCAGTGGTAATAGTAGAGATGGTCTTTTTTTTCATTCTTCACACAATTATAATTTTGTTACAATAGTCAGTAGACAACACTTCATGCCCATGTTGCTTTCAGTTAGCAACCTGATAGTTCGGCCGAAGGCCCTGGCTAGAATTCTGACGGAATTTTCATTCCATTAATAATAGCTCACTCTTAGAATATATCATCATGGGTGCCTATAACATTATCCATTAATCATGTATGCGGATTAAGCCTGTCTACTTGTGAGATTTCTTCAAGAGGTTGAGAAGAAACAAATAGAGATAGTCATAAACTATTGACGCAATTAGATGTTGTAGAACCGAACTCATATTACAAGGCACTTTTTCCTGGGTCGATTGTCTGCTCTTGTATCATATCGTAATTAAAACCTACCCCTTCGCTTTTTTTCTTGCTTGCTGTCAAACTGTCGTACTGAACAAACTAGCCGAAGTACTGTGACTGTGTTTGAAAAAGACGATGAAGGGCAGTTTATTGTTCATATTTTGATGAAGAATTTTCATAATTCTCTTCTAACCAACAGAGAGTTTTACTGGATGTCATCAGCACTGTAGTTACTAAAATTTGGGTACAACATTAAACGGGAATCATCATCATGTGTTTCACCTGTACTACGAAAAAGTTTTGAGTGTATATTGATTCAAAATCGACAACAAAATAGGTCACACGTCATATTCTAAAATTCATACTCCAATAATCCAAATCTAATCTTCTTCATATATTAATCCAATCTTCCTAGTACACTTCCCTCGTAAGGGTCCACTCTATCTGCCTAATATACAGAAAGCTGTGTAATCGAGACATTTACAAACAAAATTGGACATATAAGTACAAGAACCTATAAATTACAGACTGGAAATGTGGAAACGGTCTCTATCATGAGGAGCTGAATAGTCTATATTTGGTCCCACAGATATGATCTTATACTTGTTGATGGTAGGATGGCTTCTGTAGTAATGTCCTTTGATGTGAGGCATAACTACGGTTTCAGCAACACCTGGAATTTGATAAACATCTTTGGTGTAGTTGAATAAGTTGGGATATTCTCTGATGCACTTCCTGTTGGTTTTGAAATGAACAACATACACCTGCGAACCAAAAGGTGAGGTTAGACAGTTTCCACAATCCACCATTGTCAGCAGGCACATGTCCGCCTCGTAACAACGCAAGAAGTAACTGAATAGAATAGTACCTCATCGAAACGGATCAAGGTGACGAATAGTCTAACATCAGCCTCTGTGAACTCGTTCCCTGCTATATAACGTTGTTTGGACAATATATCTTCGCACTTGTCCAACGCCTCAAAAAGTTCATTCGCAGCCTGCCATCGTAAACATAATTGTACAAGTAAGTGACGAGATTATGCAAGCTCGTAAAGTGAAGTGATTATCGCAAGCAGTAAGACTCCTGACGCTGTTACCAGTAGTGATTCATATTTTATCGTGTCACAGCACTCAGTACAAGCTAAAGGTGTTTGATTTTCCATGATATCACGTTGTACAGTATTCTTGCTACTGAATGAGCTGACAAGTGTAAAATGGAGCAGAGGTGTAATTGCTCAGTCTGCGATGGTTTCAGTGACTTCTGCTGGTCAAACTCAGCGTAATCAGATCGATTGAAGCCGTGTTAGCAGATTGCAGAAGTTGCTCTTCCTGGAAATTGAAGATAAGAGCTTGAACATATGCAATAAGATTAGGCTAATCCAGATTCTATCATTCCAGAGAGCAACGGCCAAGACGAACTCCAGACGTGATTTTCTGATAATACCTTATCGTACGGTCCTTGTTGGGTGGCAAAGCCACACCGGTACACGCCATTGTTGATGGAGTTGTAAGTCCAGCTGTTGACCTCGTCAATCTTGCTCTTCAAATGTTCAGGAAAGAGGGTAACTTCTGGATGCTTCGCAATATCATTGAATTCATCGTTGAGCATTTTTGTAATCTCTGAGCTCTCGTTATTAACGATAGTTTTCTTCTTCTTATCCCACAATATCTGGACAGATCAAGCAACCCCATTACTCGCCTTACAAGGGATTCAGCTCCACAAGCATTGATAGCAGTATGCAATTGCCGAGCCCTAACTTTAATCAGCAACTCGTAGCGGGCGACTGTAAACAGAAAGTGGAGATAATGATAACAGTTGATACACAGGGTCACTTACAGGCACAGTATACTTGCCGGAGAAGGTAGGGTCTGCTATATCATACAAATCGCGAACGAACTTAGCCCCATTCAAGGGGTCGGGTTTAGCACCAGGCTCCTCCTCATCGTCTGCAGGAAACCCCCATCCATAGTGTTCGTCCGTTGGGTCCTCCTTGGTTTTCACCCACATGGATTTTGTAGCCTTGTATTTGACAATCCAGACAATTATAGATAAAGTGGTCAGATCAACTTAATTATGAACATATTAAACAGAGATAAGTCTCTGAAGATGTCGGAATAATTGATAATAAGCATACCGTGAGGCCAATTGCGTGATCTAAACCCTTGAGCTTCAAGAACATGTAGCATCGTGAAGCCCACGGGCAAGCGTAAGAGATATAGAGATGATATCTTCCCGCTTCTGGAGGAAACTCTGCATCTGCAAGCAATATATATGACTAAAGTCAATCACCAAGCTTTCTCTGATAGATCTTCATGTCGTAATATCGTGAACCCACAACGCTGACAAGGTGCAACAGATTCCCAGCATTTGCAAGACTTCAAAATAATATGACCCCTCAACAATTCGGTAAATCTAGCAATCAATAACAATTCCAGCACCCCGACAGAAAGCATCATCCGTGGTCCAGAACTGCGACAACAGATTTCTTAAAATCTTTCGTCGATAAAGTTCCCATTTTTTCAGAGCGAATAAAAATGGCATCAACTAATTCTGCCCTACAGTAGCTGATCAAATTCCTGTTTCTGTCATCGAAAATCACTCTTTGCTAGTGGATCAACTTCCTCATGCAGCCGACAACTGATGATAAATGAGCACAGTTAAAAGAAAGATGAGAATTAAATGTGGCAGGTACAACAGATTGCACCCAGGCCAATCAGCTCTCAGAAGCCGGACGACAAACCCAAAGTCGAAAGGATCGAGCTCCGAGAACTGAGTAATTGAAAATCTCACTAAGGAGCCTCACCCGCGCTTCGGGAAATGAAACTGCGGTAGGACGACGGGGATCGCTTGAATTCCCCATTTTCGACCTCGGCTATCGCGGATTTAGCCATACTTCTCGAGCTAAGGCCAAACTTGTGGAGAGTTCTGGAGCTTCTCCAAATGTGAACTCCAAATGACTTGAGTAAAGGCTGCTGCTGCTCTCTCTGCCACTGCTCCTGCCCCAGTCGCACGATCGCTCCTACTCTCGTAATTGCTGCTCCGACCATTAGCCTTTGCCCTCTGTTCCTCGTCCCTCGTCTCCGGTCCGATCTCTCTCTCTCCCTGCACTATAAAGGTCTATCAAGCCCCCGGGCTCGTACCCAGCGCCCGTGGCGCCACCAGAGCACGACACGGCTGACGGCTGCTGACGGCTGCTGACGGGATGCATGAACCCGCGGCTCCCTCTCGGAGACGGATCGAACCCGGGTACCAACGAGAATAGCAGAAAGTAGATACAAGGGGCCAAAGTAGGTAAGAACCCATCAACCTCAAAGATGAAGCTTCAGGTACACCACTCCACTGGCTAGCCTCCATGATCATGATAAGATGTTATTGGGTAGTTAACGTAGTGTAAGTATCGAGATAAAATCATATAGCATCACCTGAGTTGTTAACACTCTACCACAAAGTGAGCAGTACCAAGTAGTAAGGCAAACAAAATAATTATCCCGTCATCTATTTCAAAAAATGCGATATATTTTTTTTATATATAAGTATCAAATATTTATTTGGATTTATACGAACAATTTCAATTTATAAAACAGATTTTACAACTCAAGCTTATGTGTAGATTGATATTTGATTGAGTTGGATGAGCTTGTGGTAAAATCAGATCTTTTAAAATTTATACTCACATTTGAAATTGTAAGATTGCATCATGTAAAATTATTTTGTATGAAAAAAGTATCCTAACATATAGGAGCAACAAGATTAATGAATTTCAAAAATTGATACGCAAAGTATATAATCATATATAGGACTAATATATAATTATAAAAGATAAAAAATATTTTATAATATATTTACATATATATACCTCTGAAAAAAAATTAAATACTTGAGTCCATATAAATATTAAATAAAATGCATGTATATCTTTAAAAAAGTTACGTATCATTATATCCAAAAAAAACTATTATCAAAAAACTCTTTAATTTAAAAATATAATGGGAAAAATTTTCTGAAAATTTAAAAACGTTTTTCAATTTCTTGTAATCAAATAATCAAGTTTTTGAAAACTTAAATTCTATATATTAAATTTTTTACATTGCTTTTTTCTCAAATTTGAAATTGGATTGTTTGCAAAATTACAAATAGACGTACCATACATTAAAAAAAATCAATGTTAGATCAATAAATGTTATCGCTAAATGTAGATAAATATCGCATATTAATATTTAAAATATTTGCATGTTTAATATTGTAATTTTGTTCTTAAAATCTAACTAGCAGTGTAATTGAAAAAAATTATTATAAATCATCATTATATATAAAATATATATAGATATATATATAAAAAATTTATGATATAATTGAAAAAAATTTATAAACCATTTATTAAAAAGAATGATCAAATTTAGTGATTAACAGATTCATTTTAAATAAGATAAATGCAAATAAATAAAGGAACTTCTAACATAAGTATCTATAAATATTGCAAGACAAGTGTTATTCAAAACTTAAAAATGCAACATGAAGCATCAAGAATATCAACACACACCAAACAACACATGAATTACCTAAACTAACTTGTTATGTTTGTTCAAAAACGATATGTCTCTCGCCTTCACATATATATAATTGACAACTAAATGCTAGGGCTAACTTAAATTAACAACTAGCTCACACAAAACAATAATCAAATCTAACAACATGATGTATCATGTTTTGTGATATTTGTGCGTATTCACTCAGATCCAAATTAAACTAATATAACTTAATACTAGTTAAAATTATATATTTGTTATTCACTATAATAGAGACCCAGTCAAAACTCCTTTCAAAATGTATTTTGAATATTATGTGTATTTATAACTTCTTTTATTAAATATTTGAATAATTTATAAACCATATAATGTTTAATTTACAATTGTTTTTAATTTTATCCTGAATGAGTAAGAAAATGAGTTTTGGATTTATTTTGAATATAAAAGTTAAAATAAAATACTTCTACATATTCAATTGTATTGATAATTTATTATAAATGATTAATAAAATGATATTATAAATATAAATAAATTTATTTTGGTTAGCTTTGCTATATTTGCTTATTTTTGAAAATCTGGCAAAGAAGGAAAAAAAAACAAAATGTCAAAACTTCAATCCACATGATGACAAAGATGAGAGTTGAAAATGTTGAACAATCAAAATTAAATTGAAAATTAACGATTGTGTATTGAATTAAATTCAATTCTATACGAGTTTAGCTTGATTCAGCAAGATTTGGTTTGACAAAACTCAACCCTACTAAAAGATAGATATGATACAAAATTAAAATTATTGATAACAAAATCAAGGAAAAAATTACTCCATCATGCAATCCTCTATAATACGTTTGATCAAAGATATTGTGTAAAAATGTATGTATCATGAGCAAACAAGATTAAGTTAATATGAGTTTCAAGAAATTCTAATGTGAGATGGTGAAAATAGTGCAAAATTAAAATATGAGATATGATGTTGAAATTGAAGATATCTAATGTGTTGAAATTTGCATATCAATATAAAGCATGTGGATGAGATTGATCTAATTTTCAGTGTTTAAATTTGATCAACAATGAGGTTTCAACTAAATTTGATTTTATTGCACATGCAATAAAAACTAAAAAATTTAATTTAATTCATGTGTCAAAAGCATCTTTAAATTTGAATATTTGAAAATTCATTCTAAATTCATAATATTTGAAATTTCAACTTTTAATTGTCATGTGAAATTTGATGAAAAGATTAAATCTATATAATTAAAATTTGAAGTTATTCAGGTAAGTTATTAGTTTTTGAATGTGTCAAATAATATTTAAGCTACATTGAAAAACTTTGGTTTAAGAAGATAAAAAATAAGAAATTCAGATTAAAAAGAAGAGCATGATGCATAATGTTGGAAGTGTTGTTGTTGTTCATAGTCATCAAAAAAAATAGACAAAGTATAATCTAACTTTCATGCTTTAATATTCATTTGAATCATATAATTTTTTAAATTTGTTACTTATTTCAATTGTCATATTAGACCTCTGGTCAATAGTCAAGAACAAGGAGTACACCATTGATTACATCATGCATCAAAATATCAATCATATGAGTGAAAAAAAAACGTACAATTGAACAAAAATCACGATAAATGTGAAGATTCGTCACAATTAGATGATTGTCATGAAGTTTGAAACTGAATATAAAATAATCAAATAAATTAAAACCTTTCATCTCTTAAATTTATTAAGTCTATATTATTAGTGTGTGCCATCAATGTTGTTTCAACATATTGAATATAAATTGTTTACAATACAATATTGAATGTTTTGTAGTTTAAAAACTTACCATCTAAAATGATGATGATATTGATCCACAACTAATATGCATATTGAATGTAACTTAGTAATTATTATATTCAATATATAATTTTAAAAATTAAAAATCTCTATAAATTGATTTCAAATCTAAAAGTTTACTCTTTAGAAAAAAAATGTAAATTAATTTTTAACAATGTTTCCATTAATTCATGTATTAGAATTTATAACCTCTATAATCAATATAATGACTTCATGAAAAGTTCTTAAAAAAACTTGACATATAATACTTTGTAAATTGAAACACATTAAAACTAAATTGTACTTAAAGAAAAAAAGAGATCAAAATTAAATCTAGATGATAAAATGATCAATAATTTTATTTTTTATTTTTGTTGTTGCAAAACTTGCAAAGTAGCACAATGTTCAATGTTTTGAAGATATATATCTTATCAATGCATAAGCTGAAGTGAATATAATATCAATATTGAATAGCTTGATATTCTTATAAAAAATTAAAATTTGAATGAAGTAATAATTAATGTACTTTTTTGGTTATTCATCATATAATTTCTCATATATATAGTAAATTCCAAGTGTCAAAATTAAAAATGAACATCATCTTATTTTGATCTCATTTTTATAATAATGCTTTTGAATCAAATATGTTTTTTTGTTACTTTTGATATTATTACATATTTAGCTTAAACTAAAAATTGTAGATATTTTGTAATTCATATCTTGTCTATAGTGAGTATGTATATATTTTAACAATTATTGGATTTTGTCTTATAAATCATCGAACAAAACATCCAAACCTTTCGTAATTTTAATATATTTGAAAATTTATTTTAAAATAAATTAATGCACTTTCACTAGATTTGATATTTACATGTTACTAATGGCAATGAGTAAAAAAATATTAGATTATATGCATGTTTTCAAATACATAAGGTATTTTATCCTCATGTACTTAAAAAAATATTACCTATTTGTCAAAAGAGATGGATTTTTTCTAAATATTATATATTAATAAAAGATAGTGTTTTATTGAAAATGTGACAAAGGTAAGCATAACACAACTATAACTACTGAAACTATAAGACAATCATGTAAAGATCAAAGTGTTCAGGTTAACTCTGGTTAAGGAGTAACCTCCCGTTTAGCTATTTATAGTTGAGATGTTAGGTATATACACCCATGGTTTGTGTATTACCATGTAGATTGCACAGTATATTATCACCATACTATTTTCCGTGGACGTAAACTTTTAGGTTGAATCACGTTATACATGTCTCTCATGTTGGTTCTTACTTTGAATGTCTTGTCCCTCACGATTCGCAATTTCTACGTTTATGCAAAGTTGCAAATTTTACCTTAACCAATGTGGCTCAAAAATTTGATCTTGAGAAGAATAATTTGTTCAAGGGTGGATTATAAAAACTAAAGTATGCGCTATGCAACTCATTCAAGAATGTTGGTGATTTATGGAATTTGAATAAGTTTTGTCCTCATCATACTTATTTTATTATAAAATGCTTTTATACAATTCTTAAGGATTTTCAAACTTGTAAATTTGAAAGTTTTAGATTTGTTAAGATTCACATGTTTGATAAAATCATACATAAATTTGATGAAGTTATAACTTAAATTATAAGTTATGCGCAAAAGCCTATTGACATAGATATCATGTTATTCATTATTTTGAACTACTACCACATGAGCACAACAAGCTTTATTGAAAAGACTCACTTTGTGTTTAAAATAGTTACAAATAGTTTTCATATACAATGATATAAAAATTATCGTACCTAAAAAATGTTAAGAAAACTGGAGTTAATGAAGAATGGAGTTAACTTTCAGCAAAACTCAATTTTGAAAACATCTAGATCAATATGTAACTTTTAGAATAAATAGATTAAGAAATAAATTTTATATTATCCACTTTTAATATATAATTGGAACTGAAGTGATCATGAAACATAAATAATTTTAAACTGAAAATCTTTGTGGTAATTAAATCAAATTTGATCTCACTTTATTGTACAATGACTTTTCAAATGTGTAAAATCCTGGTGTGTGATATGTAAATTTGATGCCATTGTGTTGCTCTAAAATCAAATCCAGTGAAAAAATGCATTTTCTTGCAAAAGTCGTAGTGTTTTCAGTTATTAGTTCTTGTTTTTGTCGATACAAATAACATCCAAATCCATTTCAAAAGGAAACTCAAGGTAAAGAAATACCATGTGGCGCTTGTTCTCTCTTAACCTATCACACGAAAACTGGGGACATTAGAGATTGTTGCCGGAACTCGAATTATATAGATCTCCGAGGATTTTAGGACATGCCAACCGGAGTCCGTATGACGTTTGATATACGAGAGGCTACCGTGCTAAAGCGGCGAATACATGGAGATTAGTCTATTATATTAGTATATTTCAAGGCGCCTTGAAATACCGTATCTATTAATATAGCGACAGAGCAAATAGATCCCGGGGTCTAATTTACTATTCTCGGATGCAGACGAAGGGTTTGATTGTGTTAAAGTATAAGCCTCCAAAAGTGGAAATGGCGTAATTGGTGCGTTCACACGGACGTTTCTTGCGTTCTCTGCTCGTCTGCGTGCCTGCCTTTGCGGAGTGGAGTAGGGTTGTCTCATTCGGAGCGGAAGCTATGGCGGGACTGGATCCCACTCAGACTAAGAAACACACAGGGCTCGCAAGCTTCGTAGTTCTCCTCCTCTTGTGCACGCACATCGATTGACTCTGTGTTGAATCCGTCTGCTGCTGGATTGATCTGCTGAAGATCAGGTAGAGTTGTCTTTTCCCCGTACAAATTATGTGAGAATTTCGTGATGGATCGGCCAAGTTTGGTTTGCCTCGAACTGACAATTATGAGATCAGTGGCTTTTTTCGGCTGGGATGGGCTTAGTCTGGTGCTGATTTTGATCCACCATAGAGTTTCCGGAATGACGCTCTGCCGACTGGTGGGAATGTGGGGATGAGCATTGGTCCTCTGCCCAGTGCATCAGTCCACTTGAATTCTGATTGTCTTGGTTCAGGAAGAGTACGATGTTCAGCACGGATCGGTGTGGTGCCACATGGATCTCCCTGAATTTTATGTGTAGAGGAGTTTTTGTTTTTGAATTGGGGTGCTGCTCATTTTGATTCGAACTGAATTAAGAGATGCCGTGTGGGTCTCATCCTCAGATTTGTCTGGATGGTATAGTGTGTTGAGACCATGAGGTGGATCCGGATGCTTGTCTTTCTTTTACGCAGTGTGGCTATCTTGTATGGGGTTTGAAGCTTTGCGCAAGGTTGCCGGAGCAAGGAAGGGACCGGGAATGAACGCCCCTCTGATAATGTTTCCAATTTATCCATCACGGTGTAGACTTTAGGGCTCTGAAGTTCATGTGGAGAGCAATGAAGTTTGATTGGAAATTCGAGCCCTTGCTGAATACTTGACTGAAAGCTGTTGATTTTTCTCTCGTCGCAAGCGCCGATCGGTCGATAAAGTCTACAGTTTTTTTGCAGTTGACGTAGTTCATGATTAGGCAGTTTGTGATATCTGAGCATTGCTCTTTCCAAGAATTGGCTTTGTTCAATAAATTGTCATTAACTTTCCTGTAGCTGGCTTCTTGGCCATCACTTAGCAGAGTGGCAACGATCGTACGATCTGTAGGTGGTATAAGCCTCGATACTCCAGATACTCCAGTGGCAGCCGCAGTGCGACCTATTGGGAATATTCAACGTGAAGTTTAACAAGATCGTTTCTGAAGATTGCCTCTGACTTTGCAGATCAAGGAGTCGCCGTTGTTGTTGCGGAACAATGTGTCGTCCCGAAGAGCACTCTGTACATGATTACACGTGGGAGCGAGCAAAACTACGGGAACTAGCAATGGCGAGTTGAAATATGGAGTAGAGTTGCCCACGAGCTCAACTGATGACGCTTCAATTATAGTGTTACTCAAAGCCATCAGTAGCAACTCTGCTATCTATTGGATTCTTACCTTTAAATTCTGTTGTGCAACAAATCCTGAAGGCTTGGAATTATCAGGATGGACGACTCAGCCAACAGTCCAAGCTCCTATGCCCCCTTAAACGCCAATCCTGAGGCCCACTTCCCTGTATCTAGCGATGGATTCGGGGATCCACCTCCTTCTACGACTGGTAGTTCTTGGTTCAGCAGATCCAATTCCATGCCCAAAAGTTCGTCGTCGGGTAGCGCTACTGCAACTACTGGTAAATTTGTACCATCAGCTTGGGCGAAGAATTTCCAGACCTGGACTTCCAGCAGCGGAAAGGAAGCGCAAAGTAGCGGTACTGGGTCACCGAGTGCCGCGAAGGCAGGGGGTTTCAATCTTTTTAACAACATTGGATTTGGCAAACAGGGAGCGTTGAAAATTCCAGTCGTAGAGGCTCCACTAGAGACCTCCTCAGCACCATCGTCACCTTCTGTAGAAAGTGGTCCGTTCAATTCGATAAGAAATGGTTTCTTAAGTACCTCTAGGAATGCAGTGAAAGCCGTGCAAACCAAGGCGCGACACATGGTCTCACAAAACAAGCGCAGGTACCAGGTAAAAGACAATGGAGATAGGTGGAAGTCATGAAGCATAGTCTATTGATGGTGTCGAGTAACTTGTTGTTAGTCCAGTTTGCATTCATGGGGATCGATAATCCTTGAGGACTTAATCCTAGCATGCAAGACGTTCCAAAGAACTTGCAGTCTGAAGTATCAAAGAAAGAGATTTTTCTAAAATGCAGCAGCATAAATACCAGCAATGGTAATTGCATTAACTGGTCCCTTCTTTGGATTGTAAGTTCATGTTTCTCTCTAACTAATTAAATGTAGGACTCCATCCAGACTATATTATCTGACTTTGTGTTCTTTTTGATCTGTTTAGGAAGGAGGGTTCGACTTGGATATGACATATATCACAGAGAACATCATCGCCATGGGATTCCCTGCTGGGGACATGAGTTCTGGCTTTTTTGGATATGTGGAGGTATTGTTCACATTGACCCAGTTCAATATGTGCGGCTCCTTGTGATACTAATGAGTATAGATTGATGTCTAACCTATTTGTAACTTGTCGTATGTTTGAACTTTCAGGGGTTTTACCGAAATCACATGGAGGAGGTGATAAAGTTTTTTGAAACTCAACACAAGGTACTAGCGATCATAAGTGTGGAGTGCTCATTGTGAAAAAATTTGGACCATCTATTTGGATGGTATTGAGGACTTCGCTTAAATTCTTGAGAAGTTTTCAGGAGAAGATCCTACAGCTGAGTTTTCTGTTCTCGAAAAAGGTTTGATGTCGACTCCTGGTTTGACATCATTCAAACTAGCAGTTTAATTTGGGCAAACCTCATTTTATCTGGCTCAGTAACTAGCTTGCTTTATATACCAAATTTCTCAAACCACTGTCTGTCCCACTTACAGGGGAAGTACAAAGTGTACAACCTTTGCTCGGAGCGGCTGTACGATGCCTCCTTGTTTGAGGGAAAGGTCAGCCTCGTGCTCATTGACATAAATGCAACGAGTATTCGTGGTTTCCGCTGACTTCAAATAGCAGGTCTCTTAGATAGTTATTTCCTCACTTAAATTCCTCATCCAGCTGACCTGAAGTGTATGAATTTTCAGGTTGCGTGCTTTCCCTTCGATGATCACAACTGCCCGCCTTTGCAGCTGATTTATGCCTTCTGTCAGAGTGCCTATGACTGGCTGAAAGGGGATCTTGAGAATGTGGTTGTTGTTCACTGCAAAGCTGGAATGGCTAGAACAGGTCTCATGATTTGTTGCCTTCTCCTTTACCTAAAGGTAAAATGAGTGTTTAAGGATTTTGAGAGCTCTTTGAAAACTGTTGGAAGTAAGTTGGTGCTTAATGACCTCAAAAATTTTTGATTCACTGGGCTCGGAATGGAGCTGATAGAAATTTTAGGGGAGGGAGCGTCCTGGACCTGAGCTGGAATTAGTTCTTTCATACAAGAATGATTATACGTTTTCTGGTTAACTGAGAAAAAAACTGCCCTTTCTGCTGTAGTTTTTTCCAACTTGTGAGGAGTCAATTTCTTACTACAATCAGAAGCGGTGCGTCGACGGCAAAGGTCTAGTACTTCCAAGTCAACTCGTGAGTCATTCCTACACACTCCCAGGGTTTGAATATTGTTAAGACTTATTGATTTGAATAACTTTCTGTTGCACGTAGATACGCAGTTTTATCACTCTTGGCGACTTGGTTTCCTTCAGCTCCTCTTCATTCAACTAGCCAGGTTATCTGTATTGTTTGCCTGATTGAAAAGATATACTTTGTTTCATGTTGTCTGCATACATCTTGTTGAAGGTTACTGTTTTGTACTGTACTGCCGAGTATTGAAGTCAGAGTTGTTGTTTGCAGCGATATGTGAAATACTTCGAACGTGTACTTCGGGACTATGGCGGGGAGACGCCAACAGGTCGAAAGTGAGTACTCTCTGTTTTGAGCTCTTGAGTAGAGTAAAGTTATGGTAAATGGTAAGTGGTAATAGACTAAGCCCGGGGGATCCAAAGGGTCAAAAGGCTGAAAAACACAATACAAGCGAAAAACCACAAACAAGGGAAAAGACACCAAAGATCAATCCCTAGATCAATCTTGAATCTACATCCCTTTATCAGAGCCGTGGACCAGATTGCTTGACATTGTTTCTTCTTTGCCTTGCAGATGCATATTGAGAGGAATTCGCCTACACAGATGTCCGTACTGGGTTCGCCCAGCGATCGTTGTTTCGGATCATAACGGTAATACCTCTCGCTCTCTTTCTGATTGTATATATATATCAGGCTGCAATGCTACCTTTAAATTGTATGCGTTTGCAAATCTTACACAGTCGTGCACATCACGTGGGGGCCATTTGGAGCAAGATTGTCGATGTTCATCTCGTGCTTGTTACTTGTTGTCAGCATGGGAATCATTCAAAATCTGATGATTCGGAAGTCTAAATGTAGTTTTGCAAATGTGTCGGTTTGTTGGCAGGTGTGCTGTTTTCTACTAAGAAGCATCCAAGAACAAAGGATATGATGGTGGGTAATGTAACAGTCATGATGCTAAGATTTGAAAAGGAATGTCAATTCTCATGCACTTTTTCATGAACTTTGTTCATCATCAGTGGTTAGACATTTCACATTTCAACTGTGATATTTTGTCTCTATACCACGTGAACTCTTTCACTCCAGATATTAAACTCCTGTGCTCACTCCAAATGTCTAACAATTCTTCACATCCACACCGACATTTAACGTAATTTATTCGTGTCGAAGAAAGTAAAGGGTGAATGAAGTTCGGAAGCTTATGTTCTGAAACTTTCTTCATCCCGATGTTGGCGTCAGGATCTAACGTTAGACCATAACTAGATGATATTTTTCGCGTCTTTCTGGCACTGGAGAAGTATTTAACTTGCTGGGTTGAATCTTTGACCCAGCAAACTGAGTAACTGACAAACTTTCCCAATATCATGCCAATCGTTATGTAGTGTCACAACACTAGCTTTAGAAAACTACATTTACAGCTTGCAAGTCCTGTTTGCAAGTCAGTCCTTAACCGTGTTCTGTTTTTACGCATGTCAGTGAGCAGTCAGTACCAACTTGATTCCGTAAATCGATATTCAAGTATACAGTCTTTGAACTCTAGCTTTGATTCTGTGTCCTTGTGGATGCAGTCTGAGGACATTTGGTTTGCTGCCCCGAGGAAAGGAGTGATGGTGTTTGCCCTTCCGGGTGAGCGATGTATTGCGGACATTAATGGCGATTTTAAGGTTCATTTCCAAGATCGTCAGGGTGATTTTTACTGGTATGTGGAGCTCCAACGTGATCACTCCATGGGTGATCTTTTGATCACTGTGCATGAGTGTCTGAACCTTGGTGTTTGTGAACTTCCAATTTTCATCATGAGGTAAATTGATGTGTAGTTCTAAATGATGGATGTTCATCTTCTACTGCAGCTGGTTAAATACAAACATGATGGACTCCAGACAAATTCTGACAACCGCTGATCTTGACGGATTTGACAAGGTATCCTCTTCTCTTCTATCCAGTCCCTGCTTCTTCGCATGGTTGCCCGTTTTTGCTTCGGGTAGATTTCTTCACATGTTCGTTTGACATGTCTTTACAGGGCTGCGGCTCATCGTCGCCTGACGTTGAATGTGTCTTGTCGATTGTTCTCTCTTGAGAATGACTTCTGTGCATGATGCCAGCCCCAATCATCTTGATTTATTAAATTGATGCTAGAACTGTGACTTGCACGCAATCAACGATGACCCGCATGAGTCCCACGTAGCAGCTCTGCGTTGCATCCATGGTTTTAATGCTTCGTTACAAGTTTTCTTGGTACCTTTGTGATTTGGAATCTAGGGGTCAAACAGAAGTGTCATTTACTGGAAGTTCCAGCAAATAAGAATAGGTGGAAGGTATGCGTGGAGTTGAAGGCTCGTTCACTGGCTCCTCTCACCAGATAATGTTATTTTTTGCAGAGGAGGTTGCCCTCTCCTGGATTTCAAGTGGAAGTAGTGGTATTAGATCATGATGCACCATTGCCTTCCAAATCCAGAGCTGAAGAGACTTCTACACAATCAGCAACTATTGTGCAAGGTGCAACACAAACAAATTCAGAAGATGGGCCTACCTCTGATGTAGGTCAGGCACAAGCTAAAGACGAAGGTGAGAAGGACAACATTTTCACTGATAGTGAGGGTGAAGACAATGAGGATCGTCCTAAAGCTGATAGAACTGCAAAAAGGCTGTCAGAAGATAGAAAAAAAGGGAAAGATCTTGCAGCCATTGCAAGTGTAGAGACTTCAGGAGGTGCAAGTCCTAACTCTGCTGGCACATTTTCCATGTCAGGTACCATTGGGGATGGTCTGAGAAATGCAATGGATAGAATTGGGATTTCTCAAACTGTGGGATGGACGAGTGTTGGTGGGAATACTCCCCCTTCTGCTTCCGATGGTTCTTTAACATCGAGAGCTACAGAAGAGTCAAAGTCACACGATGGTTTGGCTGTGGGAGGTGCTTCTGGGAAGACGTCGGTGCAAAAATCCGTATTTGAGGTAGGTGAGGCTGATGGTGCCCCTGCCAACCAGGAGCAGCCAGGCTCTTTCCATGATAAGAAGTCTGAAAGTTCGGCTGGGAAGGGAGTAGATTCTGGTCATGGCGATAAGATTGAGACTGTGGGGGCAGACTCAAAGAGAGAGGAGGTTAGATTGGACTCATCTGTCGCCCCCAGTGATTTCAAAGCAATTGCCGTAGCTAGCGCGGCCGATCCATCAGTTTTTACCTTTGGCGACGACGAGGATTTCGAGAGTGATGAAGATTGACCTGTATAAAAGTGAGTGACCATTCGAGTGAATCTCGTGAAGCCTTGGGATCTGCTCTATGATTAGTTCTTTCCACTCTGCCTTGGGCTTTGTGTCTTTGTAGAAACCATATACATTTGTAAGAGGCTTGCGGAATTATGGAAAATTCCAATTGAAGATTAAAGTAACGATGAAAGGTTAGTGGTCCCTATAGCGAGGTATTAGTAGCCAAAAACGCAGAGTAGAATGTGCCCTTGTTTTTTACATAGTCAGATTGTATGACCATGTGCAGATTCTTATCCTGATTATCTGAAGTTTCTTCAAATCACCTTGCGCTTTGAAACGCTTGTAAACATTTTATATATCCATCATGGGCTTACTGAAAATTTTGGCTGGCTAAAGAGGAGTGGAGCAGGTTAGTTGCACTGAGGTGGCTGGAAGCATCCAGGCAAGACACTGCAAGTTCATTCAAGGGGCTATTTCAAAGGTTCATTCAGGTTCAGCTTTCATGCTGTCTTTCACCTCATACTTACAGCTGCCTTTTACATTATCAGTGCCATCAAGTCTCCCGGCATCAAGTTTTCGAGTAAACAAAGTTTGTTTCCTGCTTCTCATCAAACGCTGTCTTGAGGAATCCTACCATATTATGGCGAATGTGTTTATGTTCAGGTTTCTCATGTATATATCTGAGAGTTATGGTATAGGCGAATTTGTCATCTTTTCTCCATCTCCGGTGACACCCGTAAATTCTCGTAATGGGCTTTATGTAATTTTGTTGTTGTTGTAAGCACACTGTTGTCTCTCTCATCCTGGTCAGATAATCTTGAATTACATGCAATAATCCTGGATTTCTGAAGAAATATTGCCAACAGTATTTCCCAACAATGTCTACGTTAACGAATGAAACTTTCTATTGAATTGAAACAAGATCCCACCGCCAGTAGGGAGTAATTCCACAAGAGGAGGCTGAAGATGCCTTATACGTATTTGATCAAGAACCAACCTTGGAATCCAATGACGATTTTCGACAAGCTGGCCGGTCCGCACAGGGGAGTTCGTTTATGCATACCCGTACTTGGTGTAGTTCGTAACCTAGAAAATTTGACTGAATTAGTTTGCTTAATGCTTATTATGTGCTCTCGGCTGGTGCTTAGGTGTAGTGGACTGCAGATTCGTGTAGAATTTCATCATACTTGTTTAATAGGAGATGAAGTTTCTGTTTTCATATCAATATACTTCACTCTGTGCTACATAATGCTACGGAAAATAGCACTTGAGCCGGGGAAGGAAGAATGAATTTAATTACACATGATTATAATTTTATATGTATTTTATATTCCATTGCTGCTTCCCGTATTCCTCTTATGAATTGCTACCTAACATCAAGGAGAAAAACGAATAGGCGGTCGGGAAGAGATGTCGGCCCGAAATGAGATGAAGGTTATAAAACAATGTAGGAAAGTGGTCACTTAAGGTTCAGGTTGCAGTTAACTGTTTTTTGAAGTAAGTTTGGTAAATATGATGGAATGGAGCTTCTCACACCTGTCCGATAAGAGTATCGGACTGGTCGAGAAACTGATTGAAGAATAATACTTTCGAGATACCCATATGGCGAAGGATACGAAAGAAATAGTCGTTATTTGGTTTTTGTTTTATATATGCGTTTTTGCTCGTAAAGTCGTGTGTGGTGAATACCCAAGGGGTTGAGTAAGAGTATCACTTGATGGTTTCAGCATGGGATCTTATGAGTGAACCATCCAGCAAGCTTGACTGGCAACTTGATCAGGCACATAGCCGTACCCAGAGCTCCGGCAATGCATATACCGCACGGACAACAGAGTGCAAGTAACGTCCTGAACATTCCACCCAGTCCACCAAGAAAGTTAAGATGCTCCCGGCGGGCATTCCAATCCCTGTAACCATACTACTCGGCTTGGACTACAAATTTTAGAGGTTAAGAACAAAAATCTCATTACTCGACACGATATCAAGTACAGGTATAGTGCAATCACAAATGACGCAATTACTTCGTAAACTACAAGATTACACTCCATGTGTTCCTTGAGCAAGTAAGGATCAGGTAATGTCAATCAGATGGATGCAGCAACTAAAAATCGTGACAAAGTGTCTACAGAAGGGAAGCATAATGGAATGACTTGACGGCCTTTCGCAAGAAGATCCAGCCAACCGCACAAGTGCCCTTGAGGTCCCCAGGAAGAGAGCTAAACATAATACACCGGCAGACGAAGCACAAACGTGCTCGAACGTGAGTGCGCTGAGAATTGATGATCCCATAGACTTTCAATCACTCACTGACTGCCTAGAAAGCGGAAACGCTGCATCGCTTCAGACCTACTCCATGGACACTACTTCCGGGAAACTTCCCAAGCACGTGAGGAATCGACTTAGGCTGGCAAGCTTGTCCAGAAGTGGTGAAAGGATCGTGGGGGTCCACCCCTGACAGTCCTGACACGCACAGCCAGACGGCTCAAATTGAAGAAATCAAAACCCAGAGAGAAAGCCCACCGCCAAGTCTGTCTTCGAAAAGAAAGAATATGCACACGCCTTTTATAAATTCTTAAGCCAGATTATGGACATAATTTTTACAACTCTCGACAGCTCGTCCTCATCGAAGACGAACTCCCGTCTGCAGATTCTCGACTGATTCAATTTACAGAGCAAGACTAGAAACCCAAAACACGTAAAATGCTGCACGCCCGGTCTAGAAGATCAGTCAAACAGCCTGCAATCCAACTCCTGCCCGGACAAGGAACGAACGAACGAACTCCAGAAATCGTGAGGCGGGTGACAGCATCAACAAGGTATTTGCCGGGTGAACCACGTTATGACATGAATTGGCATTTTAATTAACCAGATGGCAAAGCTGACCACGGCTGCCAAGCAGACTCCACAGGGACATATACAGATCAACAACGTCCTGAACATGGATCACAAGCAGCCAAACGCAATGAATTAGTCCCAATGGAATGAACCAAATCCCTCCCTGTTCCGCTAAAACCACTCCCAGACGGTGATCGGAGGACCAAAGTCCTCGATCGTCATCTATTCCATGAACACAAGCAACCCACTCGGTGATACATCCTGATTGCCCTGAAATTTGGACTCTGAAATGCGTACGAAGTGCATAGCATAGCCGCACGGTTTTCGGAAGAGAGTAAAAATCAAGCTCGTGTTGGGCGATATGAATGTCTTTTCTCGATCAGATATCTGCATATGAGATGTCACAATCCCGAAAGTAGATGGGCGTGCGTGATCGACCTCGTGAAGAATGGTATACAAGCTGATAGAGGAGGGCTTAGATGAGAGACAAATTGACATCAGGAGAAATAGACCTTCATTTCTCGGGAAAAATCACGCTCACCGCTGTTTGAAAAAGCCAGTGAGAAGAGGCGATGAGAAAGGGGGAAATGTGAGGGAGAACAGCTCTCGGGCTCATTATCAATCTCGTGTCAGGAACAAACAAACGAGATGAAGAAAAACCTCATTTCTTATGGAATTCGACACTGAGAGCAAAGATTCCAACATTACGTCCATTTGCCGAACTCATGTCTTAGATGCTGGGGTCCATCCCCCACCCACCCACCCACCCACCACTCCTACAGAACGTTTCTCGGGAGAAGAAACTTCCTTCCGCAGAAGATTCATCAGACAGCTGAACTTGTCTCGTCTCCTGGGACACTCACTGGACCCAAAAAAAACATCTGGAACCACCCATACCATCCCCCATTCTGAACGAAGCGCACGGCACGGGGCGGACGTCACGACGGGCCGGCCAACCTCCGGGGCTCGAATGTTGAGCCCCCCGGGGGCTCCACCTTCGAGCGAGTGCACGAGAGAGAGCGCAATACATAACTGACTTTGCGTCACAGTTGGGTGCCCAACTCCTTCTCGTCCCCGCCGCAACGGTTTCTCTGCCATGGCCTCGTGAGGCTTCCCCCGTTTCTCGTGCTTCGCGTGCAGCGACCAATCGAGCCCCTGCAGCTTCGGCAAGGGAAGGGAAGGGAAGGGAAGGCAGAGGTTCCAGAGCAGAAGCAGCGAAATCAAGTTCAACTGAGGGTGCACCAGCAGCTCCTGCAACACCTTGCTCATCGGTTCGGAATTGCCATTCTTCGACCGGAGCATGAGCATTCTCTCGGACAGAATGCAAACGGTGGAATCGGGAATCGGGGATTGACGATAAGGTGGGATGGATTTGATGGGATTGGAATGGATTGAAAGGGGAGAGTACATTCACGCGGAGAATTGGAAACACCAAAAGCAGAAACGGAGGAGGAGGAGAGGAGAACTTACGCAATAACCCAAACAATGATGCCGACGAGGGACAAAATCGCCGACAAAAGCATGAACGGCAGCCCGAGCAGAAACCCGCATGGCCGACACAAGCAGTCGTCATCGTTCGACATGGTGAGCGAGCGACTGCGCGCAAAACTTGGTTTTTCGCCTTGACTTGACTTTCTCCAACTATATCAATCAATCAATCAATCTCCGATCGATCTCAGTATCACTCGACGAAGTGTCCGCAACAACCCCGTCCACAATTACACGCCCAGTATCTCGCCAACGATGATGATGATGCTGCTGCTGCTGCTGCTGCTGAGTTCGTTCTTTTTCTTCTCGTTCGTCCTTCCTTCCTTCGTTCGTTCGAATCTGCGAATAGTCGGAATACAATAAATCGATCGTTCGACGTTCTATTTTCGATATGGTCCAATCCAAGCGCTTGCCCAACTGAATGACTGTCTCTATGTCTCACTCTCTCACTCACTCACTAACAAACGTAAGAAGGCAGGAGGAGATGAGATCGATGAGTTCGACAGATGCAGAATCCGTGCACAGTTCCTGATCCAGTCGAGTCCACAGTACTAATCATGTCAAGTCATCTCAGTCCAGTCCAGTCCAGTCCAGTCCTAGAAAGTCCACCGACGACGAAGGCATCGTCTGGTCGTCTCGAGCAGAATCGCTTACGTCTCCATGGACCCAGCCCCACCCACACTCTCGAGGAAGAAGGCCACGAGACGGGAAAGAGCGACAGGCAGAGACAGAGGCTGAAGCTCGCTCGCTCGCTGCCTTTCGTCCCAAGTCCTCCCGCCGGGCCTTCGACTCCCTTCGACTCGTGGGCTGTTGTAGGCGAGCGTACCCATACGATACCGATACATACGGTACAGGGCAGCGCCGCAGCAGCAGCAGCAGCAGCAGCTCGTGGCGACTGCGTTGTGTTACGCGGTTTACTGCGGTCCAGGCTGGACGGTAGACGGCAACGTCGAGCGAGGATTGAGGATTGTGCACAAGGGTTGCGCGTTGGGTTTGGAAACATTTGCGGCCGAGCTGGCATCCGCCGTGGCACACTGGTCCAAAAGCTCCCAGGGCGGCTGAGTCCAGGTCGTCAAACGAGAGACTTTTGTCTTATTCCGGGGAGTCAGGCAGGTGGTCGACGGTAATGTCGACGAAGATGTCGGCAGAAGAATTGCGAGTGAAGCTTGCGCTGCGAAGAAGAAGAAGTAGTCGTGACGGCCCAGAAGATCAGGAGGAACATGCCTTCGAAGCGGGCAAGGTTGTTGATTGAAGGCATGGATCATCAGTTGGACGTCGGGACACATGCTGTCCTGTGCTGGATGCTTATGAATGAGTGAAGAGATTGTCAGTTTGGAAAGCACGTGCACGACGAGATCACTGATGAGTGAGAAACTTGGATTCAGACATTTACAATTTTCTCAGGCTAGAGTAATGCTAGTAACCAAAATGTATAAAGATGATGCAAGGATATCAAAAAATTTACCTCTTTGTTACTTTGGACTTATGGACACCTAATTTCATACATTCATACAAGAGCCTACCATATAGCATTCTTCTCTTACTAATAGATAATTTAGTCAACTTTTTTCCGTTTTACAATGCTAGCTCGTGTAATAAATGGAAAACAAATCACATTGATAATTTTTTGAGAAATATTTTTTCTTTTACCAGAGTTTGACGTATATAATTCAGATATCTTAGTTGCATTTGACTTATTTCTTCTTGGGGTTTTTAATGAGATAGTCTTGAGTTATCAGTTTCTTTCATCTCTCTCTCTCTCTCTCTCTCTCTCTCTGTCTGTGTAAGAATTGATGGGGGTCTTCCCATCACATGAAAATATTTGCATCGGAAAATCTAAAGTCTTATCTTAACACTTTGAACTTGGATCATATTGAATCGAGACCATTTTCTTTGATTCAGTTCCATAAATGGAAGAGAATCTTATGCTTGCTTCATCCCCATATGACTTGATGGGGTCTTCTCATAGTTTGGATGTTACTTTGTCCAAAAGTTGATGTTATCGGGCTTCCTCGGAAAGAGGGAAAGAGCTGGTTTCTCCCCTGCTAGATTATGTTCTCTACAGCAAGCGCTGTAGAGAACACCGGATGGTCTCATGTTTAGAGTTTGACACGCTGTCAAAATCACTGATTTTGAATTGACAAAGATTTGGAGCTTACCTTGTTCCTATCATGGCAAAGCCAGGCGCATTTCAAAACCCAAAAAATATACTATGAATAGTCTGTCCATGCGCCACATGATCCGTAAAGTATCCAGATTGTTGTTGTTTTACTTCGATCCTTCTACTTGGATGCAAAGTTTTTAAAAATCTAAATAGAACACAAAGCAAGTTTCCACAATTTTTTGTTTTTTTTTTCAGAAATCATATGTGATAATATAATATCCGAACATGCGATCCTTTGTCTGTCTTTCAATGCGAAATTAATTTTTTACCCAAGACTACAGATGTTGAAGTGTGAACAATAAAATATTTGACCCGCATGCCATCAGATGGGTGAAAAAGGAATAAAGTGGAGACATATAAGTGGTATGAAGTTTTGTTGTTCAGATGTACGATTTAGAGAATAAAAATTTCTGCAGTTTTTCCCCATTCAAGGAAGAAAGCCAGGAAATCTGTTGACTTCTAAAAATCTGCTCATTAATGTGCTGTTAATAGGATGTAATTTTGACATGGTCTTCTTGTTTTATTGGTGTAATCTGTTTTGAAGATTTTCAGCATTCCTCTGTTGTGCGGGGCCGGCCCTCGCCCGAACACGTACCCCGCGCAGTACACAAAATTGGGTTATGAGTTGATAATTTGCCAACAAATAAATAAACTTGTTGCCAAAAAATTTTCTTTATCTTCCAAATTCCAATAAATGGAAAGTGTGTTGAGTAGAGGAAATTTTGATGAGTTGAATATAAAATTTTTGACGCGGATTCCAGTCGTATGTGCAAAAATCTCAGAGAGATTTAGCAGCATCTAAAACCTGTCAACGTTTCTAAAAGATTATCGAGCAGAGAAAAAGCCTTGACACACCTACATTATGATCCGGCACCATCGCCTTACTTCACACATCATTCAGGAAGAGGCGCCTTCTAGAGGATTTGTATGATTTAGTTCGATTTTCTGAGAAATAAAAACGCAAGTGAAGACAGGTTTGACGTTAAAGCCTGTGGCATTACATTACCTGTGTAACCTTGATTTCCTATGGTCTCCCTTATCACCAAATAACATCCTAGTTATCAAAACACTGTCCACTATGATGTACGAAGTCATCATAGTAAACACTAGTAATCATAAGTAGGAACCATGCATTAGTTGAATGCCAAAGGGTTTCATGACAACCATTCATAGTCCTCTGATTGACTAGTAGAGAAATTTTCACAGCTTAGTACTGAATTTCGATGTTGGAAACTCTCACAAAGCTTCTCACTAGTTCCGTTGTACTTCTACTTCGAACGTGAAGGACCAAAAGGCGTTTCAACAGAAGCAGAAAAAGGAAGTGGTGAAGGCAGTTACATGAAGAAAAGCCCGGGCCAGTGCTTTCATCATCATCCTTTGGAATCCATACCAACTGTTTTATTGCCAAAAGAATGCAATTAGCCCCGTTCTCATGATCACGTACACGATTGTAGAGCAAGTGAACAATCAATAGATGCTTCAAAGACGAGGAAGGCATGAATTGAAACACAATCACTCCCAAGCCCAAAACAAATAAGGAGAAAAAAAAGGAAAAAAAACACACACACATGGCCTGAGTAATTTAGAAGGGAGAAGTGTAGATTGAAGTAGATTCACAAACTATTCACTTTCGTTGCGTCTTTATCGTTTTTAGCAAGGAATTATGTTTCCATTCCTCTACCATCACTTCTAGCAATGGTCTCAATTTGTACAGTGAGTGATACATATAAAATTTAGTCCCTGTTACAACCCGAAGTGTTGCACTCGCCTTTTCTACCTCTCCTTTGAAAGTCTGCTTCCTCAACCTCGTTACTCGACAAAGTGCAACGAAAACACGACAACATAACACCTTGAAGACAAGAGTAAGCAAAAGAACACAAGCACAATACTGGGATCATACTGAGGACAAGATCCATGCTCAATCGAAAACACAGCACACAAGCAAGCAAGTTGGCACCCCAAGGGCCTTGGACCCTGAACGGCTGAGATGGGGCCTACCGCATGTCACCACCGCTGTCACAAAGCTACATTTAACACTTTTTTAGTATACACAACTTGTAAATGACCTTCTCTACCATGAAATTCACATACTACTACTATAGTGTGCTGTGATGCTTGTTCATCCATCAAATTTAATACTTTAAATGTCATATGTTTTGATTATGTATCCTACAATCAATATATATATATATATATATATATATGCGCTTTGTAAGAAGTGATTATCCATCCTCTTACATTAAAAGCGAATGAAGAAGCCAAATTCAAAGACTTCAATTACAAGCATTGGAGTGGTTATCTTTCCGCAAGTGAGTCATGAACGCTCACTTTCACATGTCCATGAAAATTGAGCAAAAGCTTATGGTAAACAACATATAGTATCGTGTAGCATTTGCTTAATAAATTCTATAATATATATAATTTGTCAAGTACCGTATAGTTATTGATATATACAGTAAACATTAGTTGCTATTATGTGTAGAACTTTCAACCTAGATCGGTAAAACCTCTTATGTGCATTTGAAAATATTTCTCATTGTGATGTTATTGGAGACTAACTTCACGTTGTGAATTTCTCACCCTTGTTACCTTATTTGGTTCTATTAGAGTTTATCTTGAAACTTTTTGGACATTGTGCTAAATGCTCATGTAGAATATCCTCATTTTGTTCATTCTTACACTCTGAGGACGCTTGCTGGACCCCAAGGACATATGATTACTTGGATACAATGGACGACTGACTGCTCAAAGCACAATAATAGCCACTGCAAACAAAGTGTTGGAAGATGGAAATGAAGACTAACGTGACCCTCTTCACAACCTTCCTTGTACGATTGCCATGTCTCTCCGACGGATATGAGCTGCCCAGATCTCGAAGATATTATGCACTCAACGGCAACAACCTTCCTGCTCTGGTATCTATCGAGGAGACATACATGTACATGTACATCTACCTTGGGGTTGACTTTTGTTTCGTACGTGTTCGTTTTCCCCACTGATGTCACATCGTTAGGAACAACCTTCTGAAGTCTTGGTCATTCTGAAGTTTCTGGCATGATCCGGTGGGTCAAAAAGGCATGAAGGACCCTCGCAGCAGTTGCCAAAAGCTCCACATGGATGCTCTGAGGCTCTGACACCATACCCTCGACGACCCAAGTTCAGTCAGACCTCCGACGCAGGACTTGCAAGTCTTGCTTGCAACGTGATACTCCTCTCTCTATAATAAACCTGCAGTCGAACGGGATTGACAGGGACTGCTGACAGTAGTTGGGAGGTGTGCATCGATTGTTCATGTTACGTGAACAAGTTTCTTCTTGATCCCCTTTTCTTTTGCTTTTTTATCAGTTTGATATGTATACGTATATCATGGTATTTGATATACCATGTAAAGTTGAAAAAAACTCTGGCGAGTTTAGTTATCCATCATTTAAAGCTAATTATCACTCAACCTAGTCTATTCTTTCCATTTTTAGCTCTACTTCTCGCGGTTTATTTCTGCCACGAAGACTATATCGCTAGTTTCGACCAATCAAAGATCTCTCTTGTGAAGGTGAAAGATAATTAGCGTTAAATGAATGATTACTAACCACTCCCAAAAGCTTATAATAAATTATATAACATAGTGGTCAGAGTGGACCTTTTCATATTTGAATAAATCCGTTGGAGTTTGTTTTTCTTTTGGATTTCAGTTTCTTGCCTTGATTCTATTGTAACCCAGTTATAATGTTAAATGGATCAGACGAAGAAGAAGTAATGCGGGTTTTTTTAGATTCTGGATTATTACCATTTCCTCATGTGACATGGGATGTCAAGGGGTTGCCATTTGCAAGTGTTAAGACACACATGATGGAGAGTAATCTGTCCTTATAGTTTGCTTTGTGATAATTACAGGTTCAAGTTCCCTCATGGGATCACTTAAAGAGGAGTTTACCATATCATGAATGATACATCATTTCATCGTTTTTCAAGTGATTAAATATTCATATGATAAAGATGAAAAAAGCATTCTGGTTAGATCAAACAAGATGGTTGTTATTTCAGATAGCACAAAGAACGCTTTGATTCTTTTGTTAACAGTGCACAATTTACATAAATCAATGTCATATGAACTTATAATTCATTTATGCTAGTTATAGGTTCAGTTCGATCATGAAGCGCTTCTAGTGCAATGCAATCTTAGAATTAATCGATTATCTTTGCTATTATTCTCAGACCAAGAGTTTCATTCGTCCAGTTCCAGATTGTGGTCCGTTGCAGTCAGCGGGCGGAGTTGGTGAGGAGATCTGTGAGGACACGAGCAACATCGATCCACTGGTCCTACTTTCTGATTCTCGGGAAGGTGGAAACAATCTATCTTCCTTCCAAATTCCGGATAATTCAAATTCGTTTCACGTTCTCAATCTACCGACAGCTTGTGGTCCAAGACGGAAAAGTTGCAAGAACTACAAGTAACAAGCAACAGGCAACAAGCAAAGAGGAATGATGAGGAATTCAAGAGGTATGATGCTTGTGTACCAACAGCAGTTGATTCCCGAAACTGTTGGAAATCTGGTATGTGGGTGTCGTCGTGTTGACCCGATGTTGTATGTTAGGTGTGCAGACGAGCAGTCACCTCCAATGAGCAGCAGCATGGATGGTGGCCAATAACTGGACTCTCGAGCCTCAATTCCATATTATATTGGTATATTACTTGGTACCTCATTTTCTACTGGAGCTCGGACTCTGGAGCTTCTTACTTCACCGTGCAGGTGAAGCTACTGATATTCAGTCAAGGCTAGAGGAATACTGTGCTCGACTTTATGCAAGAGAGCTTCAGCGAGCGAGCAGCACATGTGACGGCAGTTGAAGCTTCTGCACAAAAGTTAGAAACTGGAAAGGCTGATTGCACGACGGAGCGCTACACTCTACTGAAAGCTAGAAAGTGCATGATCTAAATTACACATGCTTGACTGATGTGGATGTCAATCTTACGTGACTATCAAGGAACGAAACCTGAGTCTCGGACTACAGTAAAAACTTCTGATCGATTGGATCTTCTGCAATTAGAAAGTCAGATGGATGACCTTTTCCAAAGGCTCGGTTTGGATTCCATAACCTCGAAAGAAACAAAAAGGAAAGGAAGTGCGAGTGTCGTGGAAAGGACTTGCGTGCAAGAGTTCTGTATCCGTCGCATTCTTTCTGGACATCGTTGTCATTCAATAACATTTATTTGCATAGCTATTGCACTGGATTCTCACTCACCAGTATAATACCTTATCGTAAACTGGGCCCTTGATTAGTATATGTTTGTCCATTGCATTACCGACAGATAGATGAATAAATATACATATACCTATATACGCGCTATATATATATATATATATATATATATATATAGCGCCTTGACACCAGGGTCTGGGAATGTTCTCAACCAATATCCTCGGGATCTGAAACGTTCCCGTCTTCTTAGTAGAACTTTTCAAGAATTGGAACAAAGTGTGATTAGGAAATGAAATCATCTCGATTTGTGCCGATTAGATCAATCCAATTGTCGTCCATGACAAGTTTTTCGAAGGGGCGAGGATATGAGCTAGGGTATTCCTATACCAGAGGAATAACACTAAATGCCTGTGGTTAGAAATGCAGATTTTGGTGAAAAAGTATCTATTGAACTAATGCAATCGGGTTTGGAATTATACCTTGGAAATACATGATTTTATCACAATAATACAACCAGATAATTCAAGCATATGTATTTATTCTCTAAATATATTTACAACAATTAAAGGCTAAATTTCATATCTTAAAATTAAACAAATGTACGTTTTTTGGAGGTGAATTCTTTGATATGCATCTTTCATAAATAGTGAAACGATATATTTTATGTTAAAATAATCATCTATAAAATGTGCTAAACGTACATTTTGTAGATGGTTTCTAATAATGTATTTTATTTTCATATATGTTAGGTAGTTCATGTTATGATACACGATCAACAATCCCGTTTTGGAAATCTAAGTCAAAGCAACGGAGTTGCATAGCAAGAAATTCATGCTGATTTTCTTGCTATGCAAGTGAAAATTGAAAGTGATATTCATAAGTTAGGTTCAACTTTTATAATTTCACTTAAAAAAAATACACTTTGAATTTGTGTACCAGTATAGTTTAACCTATATATTAAGGTCGGAGAGTGAAAAATATTTAATATGTTGCCAAAGACCATCTACAACTTTAAAGTATAACAAACTTGATTCACACTACACTCCATGCTTTATACGATGGCGCACAAGTTCACTTTTGGCAAGCATCTTAGCGAAACTAGGCACTTTTTGTCAGTAATTCAATCAAGTGTTGAGTAACTGTAGTTAACTTAAATGATTTGCTAAATTATAATTATGGATACTATAAGAGAAATGGTAAAATTCTTCTGACACAAATTAGTGCTTACTTAAAACTCTATATTTATGTGGATGTAGTCTCTTTTAATGAATCAACTAGTTGTGTTATCGACTGTGCGGTGCATGCTATTCAGTGTGTATTATAATTTGTACAATACTTTGTCAATAAATTTGCTATGACAGGCTAACTAGACAACTTAGAGCCAAATTAATGAAATCTTGTTTAGGATTTAAGAAGATCGAATTAGAAAAGCATTTTTGTACTGAATAAAATTCACGTTGGGTATTCTTATTGAAGTAATGAACATCTGCAGTCTCTTTTTAAAATGCACATATGCAGCCTTATCGATTCATGCAGTTTCACTTTTCCCAAATAAGCTTTTTGTCCTGAATATTCAAAACAGTTCACAACGTAGTTTAAATCTAGGAATTTTATTATAATAGTGGAAGAATGACTCCAATATATTAAGATTTATGGAAAAATTTCTTACACAAGATTCAAGGAGAGACAGAAAAAATTGGAACGCCAATTTTTTTTCTCAATGAAGATCCAGTTCCCTCTCTCTACAACTTTACTGCGGTCGAATACATAATATATCACTTACAAATAACAAAGAAATTTGTAAGTTCATTAAACAAATCATTCACTTCGTAACTTGCGAATCTGACATAAATATATGTACGGGTTTGAGAGTTTAGCTAGACTTCAATCTTTTGCAGAATATGAGATGACGACCTGGAAGACCAAGAATTGACGTCGCCGGGGGTCGCTGAATGGCATCTTTAACCAACTGGACAACGAGGGAGAATATATGCCACGTCAGAACATATCGTCTCACCCAAAGGCATGTCAGATGTACAGTCAGCGGCTGCACTGCGTCACTCCTTCGGATATCCGTCGACACCAATTCGGTGTCTTATGGTGGACTTGGTCATGGTGGCCAGACATCGGAATGCTCCATCGCTGAAGTTCGCTGATCAGTGATGAAAGAGTGTCGAGGAGAATGCCGCTGGTCGAGACACTCTTTCATCACTCATGGACTCGCACTCAGATTGATTCAGATGCCTGTCGGAGCTGCTCGGAGCATACTTCTGTAGCTGAAGTTTGATCTGGTCCTCTTCAGTTGGCAGTCGCCACATCTTGAACTGAGTGTCGTGGACGAGCTGCCGTCTAGAAAGCTGAGCCCATGGATCTGCGTACTGTGTAGGAGCAACTTCAAACGTAGACGCAAACCATCTTCCTCCCTCACGATGTCAACTGTCGAAGACCGCGCGGACATCTGTCTAGTGATGTTTGACAGGTGCTTCTGTGCTGAGAGTAGTGAGGTGCAACGAGAGGCCACCTTCCCCATCAGTCGTATATTCCTCTGTGTCACTTGCACCGAGCCAATTGTGGTGTCGTAGATGACGGTTTTGGGCAGTTGCAAATTCAACCAAGCGCTTTTTCCCCTACCCTCGAGTCGCCAGTCTGCTGCTGCAGCTGGTCCTCATCTTACGTCTTCCAATTCTCGAAAGCCAGCAGGTTGACAACAAATAAATGTATCTTCATTTGCTGTGAGTCTCTTCCAAGCCTTCTTTTGGGAAGCAGTTTTCCGTTCTGTGAACTTGTCTAGATTCATGAATTTTAGATCATTATAGTCCGAGATATACACCGCGTGCATAGGATCACGTACTAAGCCCCAGGAGAAGCCACAGTAAATAAATCTACGACTCTGGACAGAGAACTCCAGATTCATGTCCAGGATACGCGGAGAGTTAGTAAGCACACACACATGCATCAGGAACCGCTGTGATGATAAGGTTTCGTTTCCGACAACTGCTCTTCGATTTCTGTTTGTAAGCTTGCATAGATTCGGAGAACAGTATCGCACAGATTCGCCATCTTGTTCTCCTTCAAAGTTTGAAGCCATTTATTTGTAGCTATGTCTCCTCTTTCATAGCCTTTCTTCAGCAAGTAGACTGACACCATAACCAGGACCCCGGGGCTGGTATGAAGTCGGTATGAGGAAGGAGACGTTCACATTAGAGTCAGACTCTACTGAATGTATGGTATAAGAAATATTTGTTCTCAAGAATTAGGCAGGTAACCATCTGGCACTCGACGTCGGAAGAGCTTCCTCGAACTCACGCTGATGTACGCTCTGTAGAAATGTCTCCGATGTGAGGGCAAATTCACTACTACTGATTTACCTATTCAGTTAATTTTTGTGTGGAACTTAGCGCATGTAGAACTCATCATTCGAATTCTGAACTGCGGGCTAGTAGATAGGAACTGCAATGGTCCTTCACAAAGCTTTGTACGAGGATTAGAATACTTCACTGCAAACTTCGTGCAAGGCTACTCCTCGTTGATGATTGGATTTGACTCGAGTGCGCTAGGCGTTCACTAGCTTGAAGAAGAAGAAGAATTCTTCGACTGAAGGACAGAACCATCTCAAACTAGACGAAAATGCTGAAAAACAGTCAAACCTGTCAATTGATAAAGCATTCGACCAGGACTTGAAAGACTTCAGACGATTCGATCTCTAGAGATTATTATCTTGTGTGCTGATTAGAGTCACGTCAAATCTGCGTGTACTGCGTCGGCTCGTGTCTAGCGATTGCAAAACATGGTATGGATAATTTATTACATATTACCCAGCAATCTACATGAGTCTAATATTTTACATTTAATTTATATAAAATATACCGAATCTCACAATTATAATCCTCTTTCCTTTCTGAACTTCGTCGACATAAGGAGATGTAAAACGATAGATGAATTGCCGCGTAAAAAGAAGACAAAACGATTTGTATCATCATCAAAGACCTTCTGTACAAAGCTAGCTTCGAGATTATTCCAGATCTGGTGCGCAGAAGCTTTCATGCACTCCTTCCTGTGTGAATTATGCGTTCCTACACTAAAAGTTTGGCGACTCTGAACGTAGGCTCCATGAGTTGTAGACCTTGCCATGACTACCGCCGCCACCAATCTTTTCTGTCAACGAAGTTTCCACTCCTTTTGATTAACGAATTCCATTGCGCAGTCAATCAAAAGCTGGTGATGAGTGGCCAATCAGTGATCCAAGCATCGGGTGAGCTGCGTCAGTTGTACCAGCTTCATTACAGAGTCAACCTCCGCTCCCTCTACGGGTACAGAAATGAACCAGTCATGTGTGTGGAGAGAGAGAGAGACACCCACACAGATCATGTGTTGGTCCAGACAACTATCTACCAGTCGGCAGAGCGACAGATTGTGCGTGCTACCCTCGACGCTCCGATCCACATGCAATTCGGCAAGAGAAGTCTGGAAGTTTGAACGACTCTCGCGAGGAATCGATCATCCATGGCGAGATGCCGCCACCGTACGGACGGACAGAACCATTGCAGTACAGCATGAGCCGAGCCGCTGTAACAAAAATCCAAAGAGTTGTATGATCATCACTCTTCTCAATAAGACTAAAATCATTTCTCTGTCACCTCTCGAGTACTGATTGGTCTTTCCACATTTGCAATATATCTGAGTAGCTGGTGATCGGGTTAGGCGCTGGGGCACACGGGACAGACAATCTGCTACAGGTTTGGATGAGAGATGTAAGGAGGAGCTGCGGTTGTTGAGGGTCGAGCTGATCGGCTCCTATCACGTGCAACGGCACGGTCAATATGGAGCACAAAATTGGAAAACATCACTCTGAGAGTTTTCACTCTGAAACCATATCATCAGCAGACTTTCTTTATATTGGAACATCTAATGTGCATCGACGTTTATATTATGTGAGCATTTTATTGTTCTGCACTCGGGCTACCGACCACGCTTACGGATCGATCCTTCAATTCAATGCCCAGTCGTGTATGTGTGCGAGAGAGTCTGTCACGGAAGAAGAATCGTGTGCTTCTCACTGGAGTGATCCCAAGAGATCCGGCCCTAGGGACGTTCAAGCTCTGTTGCCTCGCTCCCACGCTCCCAAGAAGAGAAACCAACCCAGGATGCATAAAAGCTTGGCTCTCAGAGTTGGTGCAATGCAATGCTCCCCACGAGTTACAGACGGGTACCAAATCAGGTACGGACGGGGCCAACACTAGCTTCGCGTGATCCGATGATCCCATCGTGGAATTCTTGCGTCCTTCAACCACCACCGGCAGCAATTGCACGGTCAGTCGGAGTTGGTCAGTCGTCCCTCGGAGCCGTCGTTGTGAATCTCGGATCAGGAGGTCGGCACGGCCATATGGAGTCCATGGACCCAGTAGCGACGGTGCAGTACAGACTTCTGGGTGGATCGATGGCCGAGGTACCTCTCGAGTGTAGAGGCAAATGAATGCTGTGCTCCGACAGGAGAGTGGATTCAGATTCAGGGCAAGGACATCGCTTGAGAGACCAGCCACGAGCATTCGGCATTTGCAACCTTGCAATTCCGAACCTTGGTATCTTGTGCAGTATTTTTCTTCAACCTTGATTGTATGTACACAAAGCTTACGGACGGACTTGCCCGATCCAGACGTCCACGAGTCCAGTAACTGCATCACACCGGGCAGTAAAACAATGGCGGGGAAATTCTCCAGAGACTCTGAGTTCTTCCTCTTCTTCACGTTCGTTTTCTGCGCGTAAGTTTCTTTCTCTCCACATGCTTTCACATCATCTCCTCATAAATCTGACTTTCATAAAGTCGCCGACTGTCGTTGTCATGGGCTATCTGGTGTCAGTCGGTCTGTCCTTCAAAGGTCTGAGAGCATCTTAATGTCTTCAGAGCATTGTGCCAGCTTTAGGCGAAGATGGATGCGAACAGAGCAGAGTCCAGTGATCAAGCGAGAACAGAAATAGAGCTTGACGTCATCACGTGAAGATCGGTAATATAAGCAAGAATGTACTTGATCGCAAAGGGTTCTAGATTCTGATGCTGCGATTTTCAACATGGAAGTTCTCGGCGATGGATAAAATCAGAAACCTATACCAGAGCGTAGTAATATTCCCATTAGATTGCAGTCAGCAACGATTGAACAGAGCCGAGAGAAAAGACAAATGAGTCCAGATAGATCTTTCTTTCGAGATTCAAGTACTTCACAGATTTAATAAGCTGAAGAATTGCTCGAGATGAATTTCGATCTTCCATGCACGTGCGTGCACGCAGAGCGTAACCAAACTCGTGCTCAAGTTGCGGACGAGGAGCTTGGCAATGTTCACACTGCTCATATCTATATCTATTCAGCTATGTCATGTCTCGAAGAATATTCAAACCTCAGAAGTGTGAGCTCGCGCGTGGTGCTGACGAGCACAGGTCTAGAGATTGACCCGAGTCCTACGGTGACTGTCGAAATCTCCTGAAGAAATTGAAGTTTGAGGATCCACACGGTTGACACTCGACCTTTGAGCTGCAGGGCGTTGACTCCAAATGGAGTGGCAATGGGCCAGGCCCAGAAACATAAGCCTGCAGCGGGACTTGCTGCCTCCCCTCCGAGGGGCTGGAACTCCTACGATTCTTTCTCGTGGCTCGTCACTGAGCAGGAATTCCTGGCCAATGCGGAGTACGTTGCTCAGAACTTGCTCGAACGGGGATACGAGGTGAGCTTCCATACCCTTCATTAGACAGTACAGTAGCTCCAAGCACAGCAGTTTAGCTGCCGCTGGAGTGACTCAGAGTCACCGGCTCATTGTTGAGTCAAGCATTTCGGAGCTCGAAGGTACTTTACTGTGATGTACGTAAAATCATCAACGTAAGAGCCTCTTTTCTGTTCAAAATTTCACACATAAAGCATGCCACTTGCTCCCATCCCATCCCTGCTTTCCTTGGGGGGCCTCCTCTCACCTTCTGCTCCATGGCATCGAGTGGAATATGGTTTTTCGTGTTGACTGAAACAATTTGAGGTCGTTGCAAAATTGCATAAGATGGCAAACGCCTCATCAGGCCGCAAAAATCGGGGCGAAAGGTCCAGACTCAAGAAGACAGACAGAAGGAGGAAGGAAGAATTGGACTATAGATATATTATAAGGAGATTATCGTTCACTGGCACACATCACCAGGGCGTTGGATAAACCCAAGCGCTTGGGTTTATCAACTCTCGATGATTGATAGATCTCCCGCCTCCTTAATTGTCTTTGCTCACAAATTTCGCCAACCAGTGCCTAGCAGCTTTGCTCGACAGTACAACATTAGTTCCGACAGTTCTTATTCCATGATTGCTTAGCAAATCCGGAAGTGAATACTGCGAATCACTGTCCTACGCTGGGCGTCTCTACAAAAATGGCTGATTGTACGTTGACGTGCATGCCTCCCAGATCCACTTCGCAGTACGCACCTGGATCTGATTCTGCTGGTCCTTGCAATTTGCTTTTACTTTTTTGTCTGATTTTATTTCTTCTCATAACTCGACCAGGCACTTCATCACCTGCGGTGGAAGCAACCGGGTCAGATCATCCAGCCTATGCAGTTTGTATATTGGTGGGCCAGCTGTTTTCTTCGGGCAAAATGAACAACCTTACTGACACGCAGACATGATGTGGATGAGGCTGCGCTCAGTCGTGACTTTAAATGCAACAAAGCGGACTGCTGCTTGTTGTGTGGAATTTGCACCGATTTCATCGTCAAGAAAAAAGAGTCTTCCACTTATTGAGAGTGCAATGATTGCATCTCTTCCGCGTTACAGTTTACAATCAGAGACTAGTAACTTATCAGTCCAGGATCGACTCCATGACAGAAGATGAGAACTGCTTCGGTTGGTGTCTGTGGATGCAGTATGTGGTGGTGGATTTCTTATGGTATCGGAAGAATGAGACCGGGGCATCCGTTCACGGTGGAACGGATATCATAGATCAATGGGGACGGCTTCAGCCAGACCCCACGAGATGGCCATCTTCGAAAGGCGGACTGGGGTTCAGTTTGGTTGCCGAGAGAGTTCATTCTCTCGGCCTCAAGTTTGGAATTCACGTCATGCGAGGAATCAGTTTAGCTGCTGTGCAGGCAAATACGTCCATTCTCGGAACCGAGGTTATCTACTTGACACTCAGCATTCTCATGCATTTGTCTCACATGCCTGCGTGCATTCCTGCATACTCCATGACTTCCTGCGTAAAGTCTAGTGGGATACTAGGAATAATTACGATAGAATAATGAACTTGTTGCTGTTGTTGCAACTCCCCGCAGAATGCAAGGGCCCAGAATATAGCTCGACTGGACGACAGCTGCAAATGGATGCCCGAGTCTTTTGTCGGCGTCAACACCAGCATTTATGAAGGACGGGCTTTCATTCGGTCTCTCTATGAACAATATGCATCGTGGGGAGTTGATTTCGGTACGCTTCATCTCGCCAACTGCGTTCATCTGGTGAAACTTTCACCGATCGATCTGATCCTTTTAGCAGACTGAACCCGACTGCACTTTCGCCATGTGAAGATCAGTAACGCAGTTCCACTTTCCAGAGCTGGATTCTGAAATGGTGGTTTTGGATCTTTCTCCGTTTTAGGAGCAGTATCACTAACATCTTTCCATCGATCCCAAAGAGTTGCTCAAAACTGCCAGTTCCTGCCCCTTGCACCGTGGCCAACTGAACCAGCTCCACTTGAATCTCCCTTGGCAGTGAAGCATGACTGCGTATTCGGAACAGACCTGGAGCTTGAAGAGGTGAAAACAGTCTCAGAGGTTGGTGCACTATATTGCCTGGCATGTCAGTACCATAGGTAGATGTGAAAGTCACACCCGGACGCTGGGTCCATTCACTGATCATGGCTGGACGTGCAGATTCTCGCCGACTTGGCAAGACCTGTGTTGTATTCACTGTCGCCCGGCATCGGAACCAGCACAGACTTGGCACACCAGGTGGGCCAATACGTCAACGCATACCGTGTTACAGGAGACACCTGGGATCGTTGGAATCAAGTGCGCAATCACTTCGATACAGCCAGGTAGGTGGGCATGCCTCGGCATTCTGATAGTTTGTGCTTCCATGAAAGCATCCACTGACATTTTACACCGATGTCGACGTCTGGTCTGCCTCTGTCTCCTTTGGATGTCATCTGCTAGCAACCCGTGCAATTCTTGGAAATATATCGGACTCGGTAGTCGATGGATTTGTCAATTGTTTTATCAGATGTCTGTGTCGATGCTTTACAGCTTCGGATGTCTGCTCGCAGAGATTTTGCTTCCTCTGGATTGACTGGAGCTTCGGGTCTAAGGGGCTACTCATGGCCGGATTTTGACATGCTACCACTGGGATGGCTCACCGATCCTGGTATAATCTATCTTGCCTCCGAGTACTGTACTCTACGATGGCATCCAGTCTTCCCGCAGATTGTGTCTAGGCTTTTGAACAAGTGGGACCTGTGGCTGACGTTCTACCTAGGACCCAACCACATCTCTGCCAGCTCCTTTGACCACTCACGGACTCGTTGCATAGAATGCAAACGACCTGGAACCTCTGGCTCAATAACAACTATGAATTGCTTGAAACGCAGACGCAAACCAGGGTCCCCACCGAACATGTGATCTATCAGAGACGGAGCAGAGAACTCTGGTGAATGAAACGAGTCCTCATTTGCAAGTCACACTGCCTGCTTGCTGAGATTGAACTGATGAAAGCAAAGAGTAATCGACCAGAAAGCCACTCTTGAGTTTATGAACTGTGACTGACTTTGACATGGCCCGAATGGCACAGATGACGCTGTGGGCAATTGCAAAATCACCATTGTTCTATGGAGGTGATCTTCGAAACATGAATAACTTCACACTTTCCCTCATCACAAACAGCATCATGCTGGAGGTTAATGCCAAAAGCCGTAACAACATGGAGGTATACTTCTTACCGGGGCACCCTTTCCTGCTTCAGACTTAACTCTGACTAGCGGATGAGTTACGTCGACAAAATTCATCTAATTTGTACTCGAGCTGGCAAAACTCTATTCAGGTGAATGTTCAGTACCCGTCATCTGCTGCCAGACGGATGAAAGCTTCGACAACGAACGTAGACTCAGACGATAAGCGGGTGTGGGCAGCATGTGGGGATTCAGGTGAACCGAAATATTCCTGAAACCAGCCCTTTCCTTGTGTCTACCTTTTTCTGAGCTGCAGTGATCGTCTGGAAGTCGCTATGCCTTAGAACACTCACAAACCGAAACATCAAGATTTTAAAAAGCTTACAACCAAAAATATCCACGCGTCATAAGGTTTGATGATTTCCGTGTGGGATTCAGGACAAGTGTACCTAGCAGTATTCAACTTAGGGCGGAGAGAGAAGACTCTTGCGATTCCGATAGACCAGATCATACAAGCTCTGAGGCAACGGGATCCTCAAAGCCTCTGGAAATGTTCGGGTACCGAGGCTTGGACGAACGAGTCAGTGGAGATCGAGCATGGTGTTCTGTCCATTGAAGTGCCAAGCCATGGCAGTTATCTTTACTCCCTAAGTTGCTCGTGACGGCGGGAACTGAGAAAACGCAGTCACCGGTTTGGATTATCACGACTGTAGATAATTGCTGCATCTGTAGCTTTCACTATACTGGCTTATATAAATTTACGTTACTGAACCACGCATATCCACTTCATTCACTTCGGCCATAGCCCAAGATCCACTCACCACGGTTAGATTTGATAAAGCGTTTCACCACTGTAGCTAACTTGAAAATTCATTAGCTGATTCAGCGTTCAGGAAAAAATTACACTGCAGTCCAAATTTAACCGCTCCTTGACTGTTGATTCGGTGGTGTTCAAAGATGAGCCAGATGTACAAGTTATGCAGTGGATGAATCTGTGAGCTAATCACACAGACTTTATTACACACGATTCCTACCTATTTAACACGTGGTGAACAAGATGAGATGTTGTCAAACTGCTAGCTTAACAGGACGAGAAAATTTTAATACATCAAAGAAACCAATCTTGGGGCGTACAACATAATCACATGAAAAACTCCTCTGACTACGTCGCGCACATACTTTGAAAGAACCTCAACATTATAGTCGTATGCAGCACGAATCTCCGAAGATGGAACCTTAAGAAAGTCTCACACTCACGCTCGATATATCTGTCAGTCTTGTGACCGTGGTTGGAGTTACTGCACGACTCTCCCAGGCACTTGGTGATGGTAGAGAAAGAAATCATTTATAACGTCGACAGAGTTTCTGATACTTGCTCTCTGGCTGATGGCAAGGATCCAGAGAAGCTTCCATATAAGTCAATGATCTCCTCGACAACCTTGATCCCCTTCAGAAATTCATAACCGTTCATGACCTGGCCAAGTTCACATGCCACATCAGAAAAACATCGGCGACAAAACATGCCCAAATTATATCAAATACACGTCGCATTATGCAAGTTAGCACTAAGAATCCCCATCACCGACCCACCATCCTAATCTCATCTGCTTGTGGACAGTCCCACTCCCCACAAGCAGATGATTTCAACAGATTGACTGTGTATTCTAAATCATCAAATGTAGTAGATGATGGTAAGTCCATCCAAAAGCAGTACAAATAAGAGTGAGGAAGCCTAGACTAGGCAGTCAAAAACCCTAAATTGTCCGAAAAAGTCAGCTATAGTACCAATGAGATTACACATAGACAGTCGGTCTAGGACCAGAACCCAAACAACACTCAATGCTAACAGGCAACATTGAATTCTGCGTAAATTTTGTGTAGAGCAACTTCTAATTGTTGGTGAAAGTTTGGAACAAACCACGTCTCCGGTATCGTGCTACTACCCTATGTGTCTGTAAGCGGTCGATGTCAGCAACTACAGAAAACGAGGGCGAAACAACAAAAAACTTTCACGGCTAGAGGAAAGAAACCTCTTCTTGAGTAAGAGTACTCTTTTCTAGGCTGACGTTGACGGCAGTTGCATAACCAATGCTTTTGAAGCCAGTGACATAGGGGTCAGCAATAACAACTTCGGCAATGTAGGCCATTCCCTCATGAACACAATAGATGAAATCACATGCCAAGCATTTCACGAAAAAAATAAGTGTCAGGGTAAAGCCTAATGTGAGCCCTAGCCCTCAAAACTTGCACAGCCACGAAACCTGTGTGCTAACATGAGCTCCTATTGGGCCTAGAAACACACCATGGCCTATAGGTCTCTCAGATATGCCCATGAGTATGTCGTCTACATCTCTCAACTTGTAACGAAAGGAACTAGATGGAAGCATGGTCTATTGCGGGTTTAGGGTTTAAAGTAAGAGTCTCACAAAGTCCATGAACTTCCGTCCCACTGCCTCCTGAGATAGTCACACCGAACTAGTGGAGATGAAAATAATCAGTAAAACCAGTTCCGAACTCTAAAACTAGCTACTACCTAGGCGAAGAAGGATTTAACCCACACCAACTGGAAGAATGCTTCCATCATCTTTGGCCATGGCCAGTAGACTGCTAGTTGTCAAGACCTCGATTAGCCCATGGTTTAGAGAGTCACGCATTGCAAATAGCTACCTAACTAGAAACCACTGGCAGAGGCTGAGGGATAAATGACTGTCTGATATATTCATATCTCATAACTGCTGCCAGTCTAGTGATGATGTAAGGGATGTGCCTAAAGAGTCTCTATTGTTACAGCAATTACCTCATTGTCACTGTGTATAAGGAAGGGCACATCTTGTATAGCAGTTATTCCCAAAGCGCTCACTCCTTGCATCCGAGCAAAGCGAGAATCCGAAGCTCCGTTGGCAATTTCGGGTGAAAGAGTTGAATTGAATTTAGAAACCGCCTTCTTCAGAAGTGTCCACCATGGATTGGAGTCATCTGCTATCGTCACGGGAACATCACCATTTTTGGTCTCCGTTTTGACCGTAAACTGGCATATTCAAAAGCAACGAGGAGCTCAGATTATTACCTCCCTCACAAAGGAGAATCATAAAAACTCATCTTTCGTAATCTCCCAGCAGTGCCGAACAGCCAAGCAGACTAAAGCGATTGGCATAGAGATCACATAGAGATCATACTCGAGCCTGACTCCGACAGCCGCTTGTTACGAAGAATCTCAACATATGGAGTATGACATCATGAACAAAGGTCAAGTAGTAACCGTTCAGTTGTGATGAAGGAAGCTTTGCTTGCTCTCGGGGGAAGATTGGATATCAGAGAGTGTAGCCTTCTGAAAACTTAGCAAAGCAAGAGAATAGTAAATCTACCATGTGGACTCAGTGCTCGGTTCTACAGAGTCTGGCACAAAGGTTACAGAACCAACACTCACATAATAAGACATGTTTCGACTTTTGGGAGCCCACTCCTCAGCAATGCGTTTGTTCATAAATGCGCCCATCTCTGCAACTGGAGGCACCCGCACATCAAATCCGGCCTCCACCACAGATGGCTGAATGTTCATCGTAAACCCCTAATGACATGGTCGCGAGGACATGCTCCACGTTCAGAGTAGGTTTTGAGACCATTACATGCGTACCACAAATGAAACTCAAGAAATTGAGCTCTTTTTAAAAAAAAATGCCCAAAAACCATGCAAGAAAAACAATAGCTAATAAATGAAAAACAGACACGCATGAATTCATATCGACGTAAAAGAAGCCAAGAAAAAAATGGCGGGAGAATGAGTGAGTCCGGTACATCAGGAGTAGGAGAGCCGGATTTGAGAAAAACAGAGTTGACGACGACAACTTCCTCCAAGGGCTTGATGCCTGCTTTGACCAAGTTCATCTGCGATTCTCGGAAAGCGTTTATGGATGCAATGCTCTTGAAGAGATTTTCCGAGGCGCTGTTGTCGAAGTAAATGGACCCGTGCCCAGTTCCACCGAAGGCCTGAATGACCAACCACCACATGGCCTTCTCGCCATAGTCGACAATGTAAGTCTGGTTGTAGGAAATGTGACCCTCATCCAACACAATGCCGGCATTGAGATCCGCGAACTCCTGGGACTCGGCGAATTTGCCCCATCCGTCGTTGCCCCCAATCTCTTCATCCGGGACCCAAAGCACGTGCAGGTCTCGGACCGGAGCCCAGCCCCGGGCCTTGAGAAGTCGGATGGCTTCCAGGTACATCATCCCCACCACCTTCATATCCTGCGACCCGCGGGCGAAGATGTTGCCGTCCTCGTCCATGTGAGCTGCGAACGGAGGGTAAATCCACTTCTCCTCCTCCACGGGCACCACGTCCATGTGCGAGTTCAGGATCACGGACGGCAATTTCTGCTGCGACGACCCCTTCCAGGTCATCACGAGAAGGGGCTTCTTCGCCACGAATTCCAGCACTCTGGCAGCCAGGCCGACCTCCTGCGCCTGGCCCAGCAGAAAGGCGATGGCTGGGCCATAATCCGGCTCCGGCTGCACCGTCGGGATGCGCAAATAAGATCTGAACCTCTGCACGGCGGCATTCTGCTCCAAGTCCTCGGGGCCTCGGCTCCAGCTCTCCTGACAGAAGCAGCCCAGCCAGACCACCACCACCACCACCACGCTACGACACGCGCTTCTCGAATTCATTTTCGCTCGTCCCGCTTCTGCTTCTGCAGCTGCTGTGCTTCGATCCGAATCGGCCCGATTCGCGGCGCTCGGCTCCGCTCCGGCCTCGACGAACTCCAGATCCTCGACCTCTCGCCGCGGGCTCCATTTCTATGCCCGTCCTTCTCGTCGTCGAAAGCGATGATCGGCATCGCGCACCGAGTTCCTGCCATCGCCTTGCCCCTCGGCTGCTGCCGCTTCCCGACGAATCTAGCGTCTCATCTCTAGGATCTGCAGCCTCCATCGGAGGGGACTCAAGGACCGAACTTTCTTGGGATCCCGTGTTCTTGGAACTCAGATGTCAACATAAAGTCAAAGTTTTCTGTACCGTGCCATCGAGCCAAGGCTATGATCGCCATCAATACCGTGAGGCCAAATGTTGTTTTTTCCACGCACACAATCCCAATTTGTAATATAACCGTAATCCTGAGTATTTGTGCATGTATACTGTATATATCTCTTAATTGTTTTAAAATATTAAGAATTTATCTCTTTCATGAATTATGGATATAGAGAAAATTATTAGTAAATATATTGATTCTTTATGTGTTGTTTTTAGTAATAGAATATTCAACACATTTAATTTGTATGAACTGAATATACAAATTATTCACATACCAATCCCAACAAACACATTTGAATAATATTTACCAAACAGATAGATATCGAAAATGTAGTTCATGTCAAATTCATTTTCATCTTGAAAAAATTTCTTTTAATTATAATTAAATAAAAATATTTTAGCTATATTTCTATAAATTTAATCTATAAGTACTTTAAATATATATATCATTATTGATTAAAGTCTTTACACATATCCAGATTTTTTATCCATCAGTTGTTTTCTTGTAAAACCTTCCAATGTGATGGCACACGTTAAAATCGAAGATATAACATGAAACATCTTCAAGTTTAAGGTGAAATGTGTTACTGTTACTCACAACTCTCTCTATTTTATTTCATAATGATTCAACGTCATTATTTCTTTATAGTAGAAAATTTATAATCAATACAGTACTTTCTTTTATTAAACTCTAATATTAATTTTTGGAAAAAAATTGTAACGGTTAGCATCACTAATTTGACTACACAAACATACTATGTAAATGTAGAGATTCAAATAAATATTCGCTCCACAAACAAGATATTCATTGTTTCAAAATAGCCAAACAATACGGCGCATAACAATTTATTTTAATTATGCTTTTAAAACAATTCAAAATTTTTGATTCTTTTCTCATCATTTTATCGTAAAATTGAAAAGAAAACTTCGAAAATAAATTAAACTTTCATCAATGATCTCAATTTAAAATTAAAATGTGGTCATCTTGAAACATAATATTCCATAAATCTTTATTATTCTTATCTGATATAAAACGCTATTTGTATAAATAATTTAATATCCTATTTTTAACTATAAGTATATAATTATGTTTAATAATATGAATTTTCTGCATGCTGCAATGTTAGATTTGTGTTTGTCATATTTTAACCTAAACTATGTTATTGAAAAATAAGGAATTTTTTTCTGTGATTGGATGTTATTTATACAAAAGCTTTTCGCATCTTTGGTGGCATAATTCTATATTGATAGCTATAAATGAAAAAAAATTAATAAGAATGATGCTAACGATCATATTAGCAACATTGTGACAAGAAGAGAAAACATTTACTCAAAGAAAATTGAATCAAATCTTGCTTGAAGAATGGAGAAATAAGACTTCATTTTGCACAATTGCTGATGGATACAATTTGAATATATTGCTTTATCAAATGTAAATCTATTTTTATTGTTATAGTCCTTTACAAAAGAAACTTTTATATCGTTTTCTGTGATAAAAATAAAAAATTTGGATTGTTAAGTTAAAATGTATTTCATTTCAAACAGATATTGAATCATCAAATGATTACATTTGCATTGAGTTAAAACAAGGGATAATCCATATATGAACTTTAATTTCAGCTCTGTCTAAACCAACTAATTATTTATAACAAAATAGTCTTCAAAATTGATGATAAAAAATTAAACCGTCGTGATATAATTATTACAATGCAGAACACTAACTAACTACTTTAGTGATAACTACACTAACTGTCCACACATAGCGATACATAGGTATTTGTGAAGATACTGATATAATATGTTTGTACAGGTAGAACAAATATTTTTTTTACATTGTTTACATTGTTTACATTTTTTTTACATTTTTTACATTGTACAACTAGATCAATATGTAAAATTAAAAAAACTTATGCAAAAAGGGCATATATATATATATATATATATATATGAAATTAATTATTTATTTATTTATTTATTTATTTATTTATTTGAAGAGTACTTTTTGAACATAACATATTATCATTGCAGCATCTGAAAAATAACTTGTTAAGAATTTCCATATTGTTTTTTGAAAAAATTTAAAATTTTATTTTCAATTGATTGAGAATATAAAGAAATTTTATTTTTTTTTATTTTCAATCAAGCTTCTAGAAGGTTATTTTAATCGTGAATACATAAAAATAAGTCCTGAATACTTAGATATATGGTTAGCATTAGTAGATATTAGATTCATATGATTGATAAGGTTAATTACAGATAAATTACTAGTATATACGTATGCATAATATTTTCAATATATTACGTATTTTTAACTATATGAATAATTCATAAAAATATTTCTAAATCTATCTCTTTCGACTCACTAATTGTACATTGAAAAAAACAGCAATTATTTTTCTTAAAGTTTAAAAATTTCTCAAAAACAAAATGGAAATTCTTAACAAGTTATTTTTCAGATGCTGCAATGATAATATGTTATGTTCAAAAAGTACTCTTTAAATACAAATATATATATATATATATATATATATATATATATATATATGCCCTTTTTGAATAATTTTTTTTAATTTTACATATTGATCTAGTTGTATAATATAACTAGAAAATTCCATTTAAGACTAGTAAAAAACAGCAATCATTGAATCATAGACAGGCGTACTAATTTAGCTAAAAAAATTATATTCATAATTATAATATGTTGACAATTATGTTGAATATTATTTGATAAAAGAAGGAATCTGTTTTTTAGATTCATGTATGATTTTAGATCAAATTTTATATAAGAACTACAAATTAAACTATAAGTAATGTTCATAAATCACGATTAACATATGTTAATGTATTTACTTAAATTGAAAAGTCAATACGTCTAACATCATTTAATAAAACATTAGATTTAATGGAAACTTTTTCATACAAGCTAAATCTTCAAAATTGATAAATAGACCAAATAAGACATCAATTTCTTTTATCTTTTGTAACATCAGATAATTTTCAAAAGTTGAAAATGTTGTAAGACTGTTATTTTGAGAAAGAAACCATATTTTGAAATTTTTACTTCAAATCCGAAATTTAGGGAATTTTTTTTTTAAGAAATCTAGAATATTACAAGAAAATCAATCCCAAAATATGAAATCTTCACTGATAATATAATAGATCATAGTTTGTTAATTTAACCTAATTGACCGATTCTAAATTGACTTGCCATTGTATACATTTATATTTCTTATACATGTTAATAAACGTGCTAAACGATGTTCTGGATCACTACAAATTGTTCATCTGAATCGAATTCCATTCGAGATCCAGTAAAAGCCCTACGGAGACCTCCTAACTACCATAGAAGATATCTGAAACTGTATCTAAAATATAATTGTGATATAGAAGGGAAGGCATACAGTATAGCAGTTGTTGCCATTCTAAATAAAGGCGCCCTCACCTCCAGCTCGCCAAAGAATTGATGCTTACAAAGCAAAAGTGGAGATGCGGGGACTCGAACTCCGTACCTCTCGCATGCGAAGCGAGCGCTCTACCAGGTGAGCTACATCCCCTTCACGCCACCGTTATGAGAATTTGAATTATTAATTATTGCCTTAACTTTAACATTTTGGCCTTCCAAGGGTGACAATACGCCATAGTTCTGGGTTATTTCATAAATTTACAAGCAGTACTCGAAGATGAAACCGGATGAAAAAGATCATGAAAGGGAAAGGGAAAGAAAAATCTGGGGGCAGAGTAAAGGCCTAGAGGCCCGCGGAGAGCAGTGAAGAGACAATGGTCTCGTTGCCAATTTCTTCGTTTGCCTGGAAGACTGCATGCATGCGATTGGGGCAGACATGAAGCAGTTCCAGACATTTTTCATCGATCCTTAAAATCTGATGCCGCGTTTGGATTGCTTCAGTTCGAAGTCTATTCTCTCGTCAGTGAATAAGGGGTCAGAACTGCAATTCAGAGGAGCAGGCGGGCTTCAAGTACTTATATATCAAAGTCTTCGGTCCGTTGTCAGTCACAGACATACGGATATCACAACTTGGTTGATTGACAATTTATCCCAGAGTGCTCATCTTTATGATTGACTTCCTTCTTGCAGTGCCAGGCTTCATCTCATGGTTGGATTGTGATTGTATCACCGTAGTGTATATGATGTTGCAGAAGATTATGAAAGAGTTGGAAAGAATTTGCTATAAGAGTGTACTCGTAATACATACAACCCCAGACTGATTATGTGTAACGAGCATTCAAGCCACAGTTGGAAGAGAGTCAGAGGAGATCTATATTTCATGATACCCCAGCTGTACACAAACCATGTGCCACCATCATGTCAATTCTACCTGCAAATGGTACTGCTCATCGCATAAGCTGTTTCAATCGATCGGGCTGATTGTAAGCAGGGTCAAGCTTTCTTGACCAGCTATGGGAGTCTCATTAAACTTCACACTAAACCCTCGATTGAGCTTAGTACGGGTCAACCTTATTCATGTCGGCACTAAAGTGAATTGCTGAATCTATAGTTAGATTCAAACCACAGTAGTCACCGTGAATGCACAAGGAAATGACGACGGCAATGCAACCTTGACCTCAAACCGGTCTGTGTTGCACGGGACAATGTTTGATTTATATGTACATCTCATTCTTCTTAATTACGATACTTGTGTTTCCAGCAAGCCTTGATAAATCACTACTTTCCACCGGTCTGAACGTATGAGCGAGACAGATGGATGGCAGTTGTAACTTTGACATACCCTCCAATGTACGCACCTCCAAGTACTCGGGTCCTTACTCGCATACAAACTGCACCCGCATTTTTGCATGCACTGCTCGCGGGAGAGAAGGTCCACAGGCAAACATCTTGCGCCAACACAGACAACGTTTGTTGGCTCGTGTATGGCTGGCTTACAGTCTCTGACACTGAAAGTGCCCCTGTGCACAATTCTGATCACTTGAGTGATGACAAGTGTGGCTTTCCTCGATATTATGTTTTTGAAGATATTCCATATGCCTGATAACTGCGTTGCGGCCCGTGGGTTAGGACTTAAAGTCAAGATTCTTCTCATTGTGTCGAATGGTCGAGCTGCATCTGTGAAGGCAGTCGCTAGAGTTTGAAGCTGTCTGCCTCAAGCAAAGCTTAACGCAATATCGACAATGAATAGGGATTTGCCATGTCCAAGCTGTAACAGTTGAGAATATGTATAGTATTCAGAATTTTGAAGCCCTCAAAGCTTGAAGGTTTTATTTATTGTTGAAATTTCAAAGAGATTTTAAATCTGAATTTTTTAACTATTGAAGAATACATTGGAATAGGATACTCCATTCCTCTAATCTGCCCTGGAAGGCAGGAGAGGATGATGTCCTTTTTCTTTTAAATCATGTTCCACACGTAAAGGACCGTAGACAACATTGTAGAAAGTTGCAAACAATGCGTCTAGCTGGACGTTATGATTCTTTTCAGGAACTCTTCTCCATGAAGATAATTCATCCAAACACCTTTCCACGTTGATTTCTGAGTAGTCGACAGCACAGTAGTAGATTGGATGAAGAGACTTTGCAAGTAAGACGTAGGCAATCACCTTTTGCCAACTTATAACGTCTCAGCACGTTTCAGATCAGATGTATATTCCTACTTTTCAGACACAAACTCCGAAGGAAGAAACAGACTTCAAAAGACCTTTCAGACATAAACAGTGGTTCAGAATTCTGTATTCCCATATTATATGAATATCCACATGCAGCACAGAACTACGTTCTCAACCTTCCATTGCTGCAGAAGCATAGAGTCCTCGGTGCAACTCCCCCCGATTCAATTTCAACAAAGACCACAAGGTGGTTTAAGGTGGTCGATGGTTTTATCAGCACCAGTGCAATCTTGAGTAACATAAGTAGTTGCATGTCAGGAACCTCGTGTAAGAAGCACGATGATAGCCAAAGCTAGTTGTGTCAGAACTGCATTGAGACTTCTTTAAGTGTGGATTGAGATAGGACCGAAAGAGCTTAGCTCTTCGATTCCACCAGATCAGTTTAAGTGGTACTGTTATAATCTTATATCGTCACACATTGTTTAGAAAAGTTTGACCACGGGCAGACCATACTCAGTGCTTCACTGGAAGATATGAACTCCAAAGCTGTTGACATTACAACTGTACTTACAATCTCTAGTCTTTGCTTCATGATCGGATAACGGAAAATGATCTTCACCCTGCCAATAACTTCTATGAGATGTTGACATATACTTCTGTCATTTTCAGACGACAAGGTCAGAATGTCGTCCATGATGCATAGATCTGGATCATTTGTCAGGGAAAGCAGTAACTGCTCTGTAAACAGTAAGCTCGCTTCCAAGTTGGTGTTTGGAAAATCACAAGTCTCTTCGAATTAAGGTCAGAATGAAAGATCGGTCATAGATCAAGAATATAGTTATGCCACAAGCACTAAATTTCATATCTGATCACTGACGCATGAATGTCGAGTACTTCAGCAGCAATGGCCATGCTCTGCAACCCATCTTCCATCCCTCCGTCCGTCACAATTAAAATCTTGGAATGTGTGAAAGTGGAGAAGCTTTATTGATATTCAGTATATACATGGACACTCATCTTCCGAAGAGAATTCAGGATTGTGAATCAGAGATCCTCCCAGAGGTGAGTTTAGTATGGTGTATTGTGGTATCTATCCACGCTGAACCCTTCATGCGAGCTGGCTTCCGAGACTACTTCTCCACGACGTGATCGAAAGCGACTGCACGAGGAGGGCGTGGATGTTTCGGTCCTGACATGTCTTGAGCTCCAAAGGGACGTACGTGCCCATGTATCCGTCAGTAGATCTCTCTATACATGTTTGACTTGATTCTGAGCACGCTCGCGTCGAGCAGTCTATTGCTTGTCACCCGTCACGGTCTCTTTGGCGTGGGCCATCCCGTCCTTCACTTTCTCACCGGCCTGCGAGGATCAGATCAGTGCACCGACGGTCACTCACTAAAACACTCGATCCGCAGCCGGCGGACACACCCATGAGCAACTAGAAATCAAGGCTTTCAACCACAACTCATTCCCGACTGCAATTGATGATCAGATCAGATCAGACTCCGACTCAGACTCATACGGACCTGTTCCAGGCCTGAGGAAGTTTGGTCCTTGCCCTCGGCGGTCTTGTCCTTGGTGGCATGGCCCATATCCTTAGCACCCTCCTGGACCTGGCCGGCCTTCTCGGCTCCGTAGTTCTTGGTCTGCTCGGCCGTGTCCTTGGTGCTGTCCTTGGTGCTCTGCGCTGAAGACATGGTTGCTGTGATGGACGGACTGAAAACTGAGTGGACCTGGATTGAACGGTGACTGAAATGCGAGGAAGTTTTTGTGTCAGAGGTAGATTGCAAAAATGTGAGTTGCTGCTGCTGTGGTTGCTGTGTCTGAGTTTGGGTTCAAGGGCGGTTTATATAGGCCTCGTGCCGGCCGTCGCATGTGGACAATTTCGTCGTCAAGGTCCACAAGCCTCTCTTCATGCTCAGCACGTGGTTCCTTCCAATTTGTAGATCGCACGGGTTCCGAGAAAACCATCTCTCTGGTCTCGAGAGATTTTCCAAATGAACGACACGTTCCAGATGCATGCTCACCCACAGGCTCCTAGGCCGTGCAGGTTTGGAGGGGTAGGGCTCAAATCGGGCTTTACCATCTCCCCTGAGGCTTTTTGGAGATTTCGGTCTCTTTGTTACATTATCTGGTGTTTCTACTACATTCACAGTTCACCACGTCCCTCTGTTGAGCGACTTTGTGCTTCCTGTGCGTGATCGTATACCCTTCACATTGTGTTGCACGATTGTCATCTATATTTATATTTCTTCGAATGGCATTCAGGTTTGTGATTACAGTTATACTTCTTCGTGTCGCTATCTTGCTAGACTTCGTACTTCAAATGCATGATGCCAGACTCTCCCTCCACATTGCACTCCAGGATCGTCGAGCATGATCACCATATACATGGAATGCAGCGCCGAACTTCGACATTTGCAGACCTTGATAGATTCACCGTTAGGCTTATGTGCAGAAGGTCATAGTGGATCATTATGGACTAATGACTCACTCTAACTAGAGCCAAAAGCTGGTGTCAGGCTCTAGAGAGTGGAAGTCACTAGAGTCCCCAGGGGGCCCAACAGGTCTTGCAGATGATCTGCATATGACAACTGGAGCCAAGGGTTGACAATGTCCTCGAAATTTGCTACACGTAAATTTCTCCGTAGCTAGAGTGTAGGGTTGAAGGCCACCTTGCCGGAAGAGAAGTGGCACCCGTTACTGACTGACTACTAACTGACTGAGAGACACGGTGTCGTGGATCTGGTCACGTTTCCGATCGGAATTCGTAACTATAATTCACAGCAGGATGCGGTCGTGAACTCCACCTTCGATTGCACTGTACTGCTGCCTGTTTCTGCGCCCGAACTTTTCAGCATCGGCCCTTCCTGCAGATAATGCAAATTGGAGATCGATGCCAAACACACATCCACAAAAAAAGACGTCACACTTGAAGTCCTCCTCTCTCTCTATCTCTCTCTCTCTCTCTGTGTCTTCGCACCAACGATTTCTTCACAACAATATGGAATTCTGGTATCACAAAGACAGTGAGCTAACAGATTGAGTCATTGTAATGCAGCTTCTCTGGCGCTTGAGGACTGACCATTCTTCATGTTCCAACCCCCTGGTTTCCCTTCGATGAGACAGGAAGGCACTGATGGCATTGGATTATGTTCGGTTGCTGGGATGGAAGTATGGCTCTAACTGAACCTGATACAAACCACACCAACGTGATGTAAAATGAGCGAGTGGGTACCAAGCCTGACAATGGAAAGGGGAAATTGAGAGCCAACAAAAAAATCCAATCCAGGATTCCATTCTCACTGCAATCCATAGTCTGCAAATATACAGTCCGCGCAATTTAGCGCGGACTGAGTGTCAAAACCAAATGTACGTGTTGAGCTCCTCTCGAGGGTAGTTTTCGTCTAATACTGTATTTTCACGGTGGAAAAACTGTTGGCATTGTGAGCCATTGTACAGAAGGCGAGAATATATCAATGTTCAGCTTCATCAAGTGTTGCCATTCTTTTCAATCCACTTGGCCTATTTCATCTTTTTAGAATTAAAATTGAATCATTCACAAGTAACATCGTTATATCTTCAAGATTTCAATTCATATTTCTGATATATTACCATATTAGTGCTTCTCTATTAGTTCTAGCTGTAGAAAGTAAGGAGCAAAAGGTGGTTATGGAATACTTTGTATTTTTATTAATAGTTCTAATTACATTTGGAAAGGAAATGTAAGCTTTAAGATTATACTTCAACTTCAAAATTCTCTATGTTTCTGACAATATATTACAGTTTCGTTAGTGTTAAGGTTAGAATTTCATTCTCAGGCTTGACTTTTGCACATAATACAAATCACTCAGTTACTTGCTGAGTATTTGACTAAGGTCTGTAATTTTTGGAAGAAAGTTCACCCAATCATCTATGACGTTCAATTAGATTTGGTTATAATTCTTACATTTAAAGTGCATTCGAGCCTCAGTTACTTGATCTTTTTTTTAAATGCGAATCTTATATTAACTTGTTTGTTAGAGTTGAATTCTTGATCATCAGAACAAATTCTATATAATGTAGTTTGTATTTTTTTTAATTCTTTTTTGACAATACATGTTTAAAAAAAACTAACATTCTAATTATTGCATTACAAAATGAAATTATCATTGGATAATAAAACACATTTTTAACATTAATCTGTTACATTTTCCAATTCTAGTATATAATAATTGCAACAATGATAATGAATTTGGACTTTTTTAAATTCAAAGCCAATGTATCAACCTCACAAGTTCTGTTCAAGTTTTGTTACAATCATGTAGTTTACATGATATGCAAGTTTTACATGTGTATGTGATCATCTGTAGCCATTTGCTATTTCCAAATAAAATACAATCTTTTTTGTGTATAACTTGTATCATTAAAAAAATTAACTTTGTTAGCTTAATTTAGTCTTAATCAAATGTTTTTTTTTAATTCTTTCAAAACCTGAAGATCATCCAGTAACTTGATATATATAATCATTTTACATAAAAAATTATTTGTTAGTCTAAGTTTCAAGTTCAAAAATGAACAACAATATTACCTGTATGAATTTTTAAGAATAATTCAATGATGAAAAAATATTAAAATATTTATCATAAAAAATTCTTTGAAACAGTGATTTTTATTTTTGAAAAATATGTCATCTTAATTAAAATCATGAATTTTTTTGATTAAAATTATTTAAAATTATTTTTAAAATTATGAAATTATTTTTATTTAATTATTCATTTGATTGATTGATTCAAAATTGAGAATATGATTTAATTTTTGATCATTTTTTAACAATAATGAGACAAAATTATCTGAAGATTGATTATATCATTGTTCGATACTCTTGTGCATTTGTTATCACATTGAATGTAGTGATCATGAATAAATTTGTAAGTTTTTGAGATATATAAATTATCAATCAAATTAAAAAAAATTCCATAATTTTTGTTAAAAAATTCTATTTAAGAAAAAAATAATGTATAATATTATTTCAAAAATTCTTATTTTTGGATTGAATATTTTTTCAATATCGAATTTTATTAATCATACATATGAAGATTCATTAACTTTTGAATCGGGTTTAGGATATTACAAAATATTTTTTCATATATTATAACGAGAGTCAGATGTTGATGATTGAGTTCATACATGTTAAATATTGTTTGAATATTTTTTCCTTTTTTAGGAGAAAAATCATTCAACTTTATAACGCATCACACGGAATCTATATCCATTCTCGGAGCATAATTGTTCAATACTGTTCATTAATTAGGTTTTCTTTCCATAACTTGGTATAGAAAAATACTAATTTATTGAAAGAGAGTGGGATTTGAAAAAATTAGAAGTTGACAGAAATAATTCCTACTTGCGGAGATTTTTCTTCGCACGTTCACCTTGTTTCTAAACTGTTTGAACTATGTTGTGGGTAGTATTCAAAAAAATACATCGAACGAGGTGATGGCTTGGCCCCATACCTCCATTTTGGTTTCATCGGAATACAACTTGATTATTTATTACATCCCGGAATTGCTATCCAGCTACGAGGAGAGAGATTAAATTTCTGCGCTGACGAAAAGAGGAAACTAAAATAGGTCATTCGTGAGGGTGAGGAGGGAAACTGGAGGAGGATTGTAATGGGACTGAAAATCACTAAGTTCTTCTTCAAACCTTGATTTATAAAACGATTAAATCCTTCAAACTTTACTTTACCAAATTCAGGGATTATTAAGAATATCCATATTTTCTTCTAAATGTTTACTGTAGTGTATCTTAGTAATTATTAGAAACAAAAGTTGAGTGTATTTTTTCATAAAATCATGGGTGTGGATGAGATGGAGAATTGGATGAGATGTGCCACTCATCGTCGCCATGACCAAATTCATTCAGACCAGGGAGGGTCCAGGAAGTGGGAGGTGGATAGAGGTGGGGACCACACGAACCGTTGTCACTCACCTTCGTGGATATCTGAGCTCCAAGCAGTGGACCAGAAACTGAGACACTCGCAGTGTCCGAGTGGAGTTTTCCAAGAGAAAGCGTTGGACTCTGCATTTTCACTGCTGCTGCTGCAATTGCCCAAGAGTGATCAAAATGGCGACAATTCAGGCAGCAGCGTGCAGCAATGTGGGCCAGTTCTCGTGCTCGTCAGCGGCCACTCCCAGGAGCAGTGCATCAGGTGTGGTGTCATGGCTTTGCCCGAGTGCGAAATTCTCCACAGAATTGCGCTTGTCTTCAGTGTCATCCTTCTCTCAGGCCACCAGTGCTCTGCAGAATTCGTGGCTGGTGAAGCAGTCGCGCCGAGAGGTGGTGCTGCCTGGAAAGGTGGCAGCTGCCAGAGCCGCTGCCGGGGGCGAGAAGAACGTCCTGATCGTCAATACGAACAGCGGTGGCCATGCCGTCATTGGATTCTACTTCGCCAAGGATCTGAGAGCAGCTGGCTATGGAGTCACCATTCTCACCTTGGGCGAGGAGGCCTCCGACAAGATGAAGAAACCTCCATTCTCCCGCTTCTCGGTACGTTCTCCCTCAAGTCCTGTACCCCTCCCCCCTCCACCTCCTGGGGCCTCGGACTTGCACTTTCTGAAATGTTTGTCCTTCCTTCTGAAAATTACCGAACTTTATTACTTATCGACGATTTGCTGCAGTTCTCAGACGAAATTATTGAAAACCAACTCTCTTCGTAATATACCGAATGATGTACATATTAGCGATCTGCATGACAACCCATGTAATGTATCGGTATGAACATCACTCTGTACCACTATGAATGTACTATCTCTTAAACATTCTGCTTTGATCAGATTAAGTTACATCAACCTACCAGTAAATGCCCACGAAACGATTCCTAAAGACAAGCCATAACTCCATCTTATAGCATTCCGGGCCAACTCAAAACTCATTGTCGCTCAAAGCCCTCCTAACTCAAGTCTAAAGGATATGCCAATAGTAGACTCTGCGACACAGTTGGCAGAAGACTGGGTAAGCACTCTTGCAGCATGTGGAAAAGGACCACTCTCCGTCTATTAGAAACGATACCTTTGCAAAGCGGAGGCAATTGGGTCACAGGTATGGATACCTTGAGGAATCTAAGAAGAAAGCCTGGATTTGGATCGCAAGGAGGAATGCTGAACAAAGTGGTCATGGTGATACGCAGGAGCTCAAGGAACTGGGCGTCCAGACAGTTTGGGGAAGTAACACAGACATTGGAGCCGCAGTTGGTTCTGCGAAATTCGAGATCGTGCTCGACAACAACGGCAAAGACATGGATGCCGTCAAGTAAGAACACAGAACGCCATCCGAGCTGGAACAAAAATGCGGCCACCCTTTTCTCCCGTCTCAGTTTTCGAACATTGTCTTTCGACCGTAATGCAAGGAGGTGCAAAAGCTTGTCATGACCAGAGAAATTTCTTGATGACAGGCCTGTTGCTGATTGGGCGAAGTCATCAGGTGCCGAGCAGTTCCTGTTTATCAGCAGCGCTGGTATCTACAAAACCACAGACGAACCACCATCCGTCGAAGGGGTAAGGGCGATTCGTGACCTTTAGCTGTTCTTCACGGACGCTTCTGACAGTGAGCAGAAGAAGCAGAAACCTCCTGACTGTTGGTACCCACGATGGAAATTACAGGATGCCGTGAAGAGTGCTGGACACGCCGAGGTGGAGAAATATATCAGTGAATTGGGATTCAGCAGCTGGGCCTCGTTCAGACCTCAATACATGACCGGTTCAGGAAACAACAAAGACTGCGAGGAATGGTTCTTTGACAGTAAGTGGCTTTCACCCCACACATCCTAGAGCCTGAGACGTAGTGTAGTGCTCGATGATACTCAACAACTGAATGATGGATGCCGCATCTGTTTCCATTTTTCTCATCGTCCCCTCCTCGGACGTACATGCTTGGACCTTTGCTGGAAAATAGCTTGATGTCGAGGTTGATATTGGCCGCAGGGATCGTCAGAGGAAGACCAATCCTTGTTCCACAGCCGGGCTTGCAACTGAGCAACGTCGCCCATGTCTCCGACCTCTCGTCGATGCTCACTCTAGCCGTTCAGAAGCCAGAGGCTGCCAATGGGCAGATTTTCAATGCAGTGAGTGACCGTGCCGTCACCCTAGCAGGATTTGCTCGTATATGTGCCAAGGCTGCCGGCAAGGAAGTGGAGATCATTACGTACGATCCCAAGGCTGCAGGTGTCGATGCCAAGAAGGCATTCCCGTTCCGCACAGTGGTGAGTAGTCTAATTCTACTGTGAATTTTTCGATTGTAGGCTCGACTTGGTGTACTGACACAGTATAGGAGATGTCCGAATCAGAGACACTTTCTTCCGCGGACTCATAAAAAACTGAGCTATGCATTTTTCTCAGACTCATTCTTGTGCTGTACGTCAAAGGCTAGTATCCTTCCTGCTTGCCTTCAGATACCATTAAGCAGGTCAATATTCTAATAGCTTGAGACTGGTTGCTCTCACGAAACAGCACTTTTATGCCGAGCCGAGGGCTGCCAAGGAATTGCTGGGCTGGACAAGCAAGACCAATTTGCCAGAGGACTTGAAAGAGCGGTACGCAGAGTACATCAAGATCGGCAGAGACAAGAAGGACATCAAATTTGAACTCGACGACAAAATTTTGGCAGCAGTGAAGCAACCTGTCACAGTGTAACCTATTAGTTGTATTATGGAAGTCCTCGTTATTGGTCCCTGACACCTTCATAGACCACGAATGTAATCGATGAAAGAAAACTTCTCAAGCTGGGGATCTAAAAGCGCAGTAGTTGCATAGCTCTGGAATCCAGTTTCTTCAAGATCTATTCCTGGAACGGTAGCTCGTGCTGTTGTCCATGACCAGCAAATGATTCCCTACAAAGAGTGGTCAATGAGGGACTACTAAGCTTGAAGCTTATGTAAAGCACTCACAGTTCTACCAATTTTACAAAGTCCTGTACGGCTTGAAAGTGATTTTTTCTTAATCTCCTTGATCTCATTGAGAGTGATTAGCCAGTTTGAGGACGCCATGTGGAACAGATCTCAAGAATAGCGCATTGTTCAGAAACTGAAACCGAAATTGAAGTTGTTCAAGATACCAGGCCCGAAAAGGTTCCGGGAACCCTGCAGGACATTCGAAGAAACTTCTTGGCCTCACTTGGCAAAAGCCTTACTTCCCATGTCAGTGATCTGAAGTCTACGTAGTGAGGAAGCGAAGGTTTCTCACACCAAAGTAAAATTTACGCTGCGCACACTACCAACCCGACACCAAGCTTAATGCATCGTGTTTGGCAACAGGAACACCTTAGTATATACAAGCGGTTCTGGTCCACCCGATCGAAGTATTTTATAACTTCGTCCGTCGATGGGACCTGCATGTCAGATGTCTTCGATCTGTGTTCAAGGCTCCTCGCCCTAGGAAGACCAGGAGGGTCGACGTCCCACTACCTGTAACCAAGAGATTAGTATCTCGATCATCGAGCAGATGGAGCCACAGACTTTCTTCCTTCGATGAACTGTCCATTCACACGAGCCCAATTTTCGTCAAATCCAGTTCAACAATTACCACACTGTAGGATCTGGCGGAGGCTGAGGTATGGCATCTTTCGATAAGATATCTGCGTACTCGTCTATGTACACCATGCCCGTATCCCTGTCTCTAGCCGTGCGGAGCATCGCGGAGCCTTCGGGGTCCGTCATCACGTCGCCTTTCGCCATCAAGATTTTCTACAGCGAAGCATGTACACATTTCAGTTTACAGAACATGCAAACCAAATTCTCTGGAAATCAAATCAACAATACACTTCAAGTGACCTTTACCTTCAACTTGTCGGCCTCAATTTGGCTCTTATTATCGCACAGCGTCTGAAGTCATAACACCGCCGTATCAGAAAAAAGGCAATGAAACAGCGCCTTCTCCGTCATGGGAGTCAGTTAAACTGTGGACTTACAATAATTCCCTTCTGATCAAACGAAGATCGGAATTTTTTTTCCTCGAATTGGCTAAGATTCTGCTCAGCGTCTCCGCCGAGAGAATTCGAACTTCCCTATTTCATCAGTACATATCGTCTAACAATTTCCTACCATTCCACGGAGTTCCAACCGTGGTATGTGATAAAGTATGGAACATGAACTTACATTCATGGCAACGAGAATTTCCTCTTTGGTTTTGCGAACCCACAATTCCGGTTCTTTCTGTAGTGTCTCGGCAATTCGCTGTTCAAAGTTTTCGTATGTCAAAAACCCTTTAGAGCAAGTTGGCAAATCCTGACCTTTAGCCTGCGTACGTAAGCCAGCAACAAAGCATGAGGCATGAGTCATTCTTGTCAAGTACAACAGACACATCTATCCAGTGTCCATTCTTGTTAAAACCAAGTCAGGTGTCGGAAACTCCAACATGGAAACTTGCGCCATCCCCGACACTGGCTTTGACGCCGAACAGGTCGCTGGCTGACAAAGTGTCATACATGTTTACTTGTTATGCACATGGCAGGCTGAAGTTTGATTATCCTAGATATGTACTGACAGAGACATAACGCGAGGAGGATTGGAATCGACCGTACATACTCAATGAGAGTTTTGATTTGTGTTTCAGTGGGATTTATGCCGATCGATCGCATCACATTCGGCACGTCTCTGCAGAGAGGCTTAATTTCAGCAAACCTTCCTCGTGATTGCTAGTTGAAAATGAATATGAGTTGTGTGAGACCGAAATGGGTTCGGGGGTCTGTAATCTTTGCAACTCAATATCGTGAGATGCTCGTGCGTCTTCTTCATGCAATCTACTTGGTCCACACATTCTTATCTTGTTATAAAGTGATTATTGAAATAAGCCCAAAGGTGGAGATTGCGGATAATCGGGGAAACAGAGATGAAGGAACTTGCGCTTCGCTGATCTCGGTCTTCTTCTTCTGATTCTTCTTGACGAAAAGAGTCCAGGCCGTTCGAAGAGTATCCTGAATCTTCTTCTCCAAGGGGTAAATGATTTTGGGCTCTTCTTCTTTCTCCTCATCCTCATCATCAAGATCGCCATCGGCGTGGTCCCCTGCTGCTGCTTTCACACTTTTCCTCGTCGACTTCCTCTTGGCGTCCGGTCCATCTTTGGAACTCCTTCGCTTCGGCGGCTGCTCGGAACCCGCTCCTTCCTTCTTGACTTCCGAAGGCTGATCTCCACCTTCCTTCTCGCTGGCACTTTTCCGCCTCGGCGCGTCAGCGCTCGCTTCCTTCTTCGCTTCAGCCGCGCCTTCCGCGCTAGCGCCGGCTTCCGCGTCATTCTCCTTCTCCTTCGATGGGACCTCCTCGCCTTTCTTTTCCTCCTTCTCCTTCTCCTCCGATGGAACCTCCTCGCCTTTCTTTTCCTCAGACATTCTCAAAATCTCCCCTCAGCTTTCAAACCCGACCGACAAGCATCGCGCAACGTCGGCACAAAATGACACCACGTACATGCCGCGATATAACGTTGCAGAACTTTCGCCCGATTGTAGAGACAGCTCAGGTTTTAAAAAACGTTCATGCGTCAGCGGTTTCGAGGGAGTTAGATTATCAACCTTCGAGCTCACGTCGACACTCCCAGTTCGTGACCAGACTAAACTTTTGAACTTGTTTCAGCTAGACTTCGATACGTGGCATTCACGACAGAATCTCATTGTGTAGTATGGACATATTCGATCCAGGATATTATCCGACCTCTACTGGGCGAATACTCATCAATAGTTTTGGGTTATTTGGACCAGTGGATTTGTCACTTCCGCCACACAAACGAAACTCAACTCGTTTCGATTGCAGTTGTGCGAGCGGCTTATGTTCATCACACATCTTCGGAAACTCTTTCTCTGGAGGATGAAGCAGAACTAGTTTCCGCTAGGTCCAACGGGAGTAATGCTGCCACAACATCCATTCGGGTGCTATTCCTATACAACTGCAAGGAACATTGACTCGTCGAGGATGGACACTTACCACCGTTTACTCACAGACGATGATGGACACAGACGGGTGATGGCAACGACGATGCCTGGAACAAACTATACCTGTCTCTTCCTCACAAGCAAGTTCCCTGGTGCCTAAAAGAAGTAATCGAACAGTACATTTGCTTGAACGAGGCGTAAAAGGCGGTAACCGGTGAGCGGACGACATTGCACATAGATACCTCCCCACCATTGGGACCGACCACCACAAAAGTCGACTCATATAACGACAGCGGAGGCAGTAATCGTTAGGCCAAATCCATTCAACAACTAGCTACATTTTCCTGCTTGACCAGCAGGAAAAAAGTGTTGATCACCCGTTTCCGGATACAAAATTGCTTGTAGATTTAGAACCGATCAAAGAAGTGTTACAACGGATGGTTTTAAATCTGTCCTGTCGTTGATAAACAACCATTACTGATGGAACTGCTGAATGAATCGTGCCAACATATAAAGACTGGGGCTCTGAAGTAACCCAGCTGCCGTGCAAGTTCCAAGAGCTCAAGGATAGGAGACCAGGTACAGGTGTGGCACCCACGAGGTACACACACGTTGGGCTACCGAGGGGCGGCACCAGGTCTGCCCGACTGGATGTTGAGGATAATCCTCAAGTCCATGAAACATCATCGATAGAAATAGACTTCATTTAATGGATGCAAATTAAACAGTGCTATTGGGTTCAGTTGCTGAACCCCAAATTGTCAATGTTGGTGCCCAATCCATATCTACCTACAATGGGCCACAACACCTGACCAAAAATACGTGCTGTAACCAAACCGGACCAGACATACAAACAAGGACCCTGAAAGGGGGTTCAAGGGCTTGAGAGAGGGGGTGGGGGACGGGAAGGGGCTAAAAAGATACTTCACATCCGAAATACCGACCTACAAGATTACTTATTCAACGTAGCCGCTTTCAACTCATTGAACGCAGCTGGGGTTCTGCTTTGGCATGCTATGTTGGCACTCTTCAAAACCAACACATCTGTCCTCGTCGTGATATTTGAAAACACGGGAGGCCGTCTAACAAGTGGGTATCTTACGTGGTAGTAAGAAACAATGTAGGCAATAATACAGAGGAAAAATGTTGATAAAAAAATTCTAGTATGATGAATGTCCAGCATCATGCTGCAATGATACGGTTGATGGTGACTTGGGCCCACTGTGCTGTTTCTTTTAGTTGTTGGTCATCAGAAGATGTACACTCGTCTAGGAAGTCTTTGTAGAACACCGAACGCCGGAACAATACGGCTGCGTTAACTCCCATCGTGTCGGCTAAGTCACCCATAACCCCAATTGCTGCTTTCGTCACAACATCATCCCTGCAACAAACACAACAGCGATGAGTTAAACCATAGGGACATACAAAACGTACACAATCTCCCGAGAACACCAAGAGGTGCCCACCGGAAAGCAACGGCACACAGAACAGTGTGGATCAGCGAAGGTGCTGCGTCTACGAGATGGAATGACTCGTCTAGACCGACGTTTACTGGATGAGTGCATACCTGTCTTTATCCTGGTAGACATTTTCGATGAACTGTAAAATGTGACCTGCGTAGGGTACCATCAACTCTGCCTTCGAATTCTTAAAACCTTGGAAGATCCCGGAGTAGGCTTCAAAAATTCCACTTCGTAGCTGGTTGTTGTAGTCAACCATCTCGTCATCGCGAATAGTTTGCATTGCTGAAAGTTCGGCCGCTCCTTGGAGCATGGGCATAGCATAGATGAGATATTTCTCAAAGTGCTCTCCAATTGCGAGAGCGATGTCCCCAAAGCATGAAAAGATGGGCGGCTTCACAGAGCGGTGGAGTTGGTTGCTCGACAAATCCTTCAGCAGTTGCGTCATGATGCCATCGCAGAATGGCAACACTTTGTCGTCCAAAGCCCGGCAGATGTCTCCGACAACACCGACAGTGACTGCACACACCTGGTATTCCTCGAAATTTTGTAGACCCATCTCCAAGTATCTGTAAAACTCCTGCATGTACTTTCCAAATTCCACACCTGTAGCATATGCCAGAGCCCCAATAGCCAACATAGCTTCCTCGTGCACGGTGGCACTTCTACAGGCAAATACTCGCAAAAAGAGGCTCATCATTTGGTCTGCATACTGGACAACACCATACTTGGTAGTCTCGGATGCACCCAACTTTTGGATGATGACCTGCAAAACACCACATAAGAGTGCCTGCAGCTCGCTCTGCTTCTCCCGATCATCAGACGAGAGAATCTGCATCTCCAGGGTGCTGTTGAGCTTTTGCATGATGACGGGCACCAATTGCATGACAATTGGTGCAGTATCCTCGGTTGAACATCTCACAACTTCGTTCAAAGTTTCGTAGGCAGATGATCGGAGTCTGGAATCACCAGCATCTTCCCGCACGGTGGTGGCAAGAAGAGCTTGAACGATACCCTGGAAGAAGGGCGACAGTGGAGAGGAAGTCACGCCGGTTTCTTCATATCCTTGAGCCAGGAAATAAATGGCTCCACACACCTTCTCTGCAACGTTAGGAGCATCCTTAATGCTTTCGAGAAGGACGGCCAAGATGAGGGGCAAATTGGCTTGGGTAATGACTGGATTGTTTACGCTTGGTCCATGCAGAAACTCAAATATTCTCCCCAAGGTCCAAGCTGTGGTATCCTTCACGTGGTTGTTCTCATCCTTCATCGCGTTCAGCATGAAGTTGAGAGCGACGTTGACAAGAGGTGTCAGCTTTTCTAGGGAAGGACCCTCCAGGATAGATCCGAAGGCATAGGTTGCGGCCTCCCTACATCTCCAGTCAGGCTTCGAGACATTCTCTTGTACAAAGGGCATCACTAAAGGCACCACATCATCTCCGACAGTCCTAGCAACGAGACCCAAACAAGTACCTCCGGCCATAGCTAAATTCCACGCTCCTTCCTCCTGATCCTGATCTTCCTCTTGCTTGGTGAGTGTTTCCAGAAGCATGGGGACCAGAGCCGGAAGGGCCTGCTTGATGAATCGGAAATAAGGAACCTCGGAATCTCCAGTAAAGTCACCAGAGTACTCGTCCTGAATCTCGATCTCCTCGTCACAAATGGAACTCCAGAACTCAATCGCCTGTAGGGCGACGGGCTCGTCGTCCTCCTTGACTGCTTTCGAGGTGATGGCAAAGATATCTTGCATGTAGACAGAAAGCTTGTCGTAGTACGTCGACGATATGGAAACGAGACATTCGAAAGCGGCCTGCCTTACCTTCGGCTCCGGAGAGAGAGTGGCCTCGCAGACGACCCTCATGATGTAATCTCTCTCCATGTTATTCTCAAAGTTCGTCTGGGCGAAGTCCAGGGCATTGTAGAGGGCTCTGGTGGCGGCTAGTCTCACATCGTTACTAGTTTCAGTCGAGTTCATGCCCTGAACTACGGCAGTAAGGATTGAGTTGACCTGTTCCTGCGCCAACACTTCTGCAGATACTTCCTCGCATACGTACCCCAAGGTCTCAAGGGTAGCTTGCTTTAGGTGTGCTGGTTGCTCGACATTCGGGCCACCCATGTTCGCGAGCAAATTACCGACCAGCTCCTGCCACTCACTGAGGGGAAGCTCGATGGCCGCGATCTTGGCAATCACCTGAGCGGAAGTGTGCCGCGCATCGGAGGTCAAAGATGACAGGGTTTGAAGCAGCGAGGCTTTGATCTGCGTCTTCACGGCCGGCTCGAGAGATATCCATCTCTGTACAAGTTCGGCCTTGCGCGGTGCCTCCTTGGCATCCAGAGAGTTCTTGAGAATGAGACCGGCGAGCTTGCGACTCTCCGGGGGCTTATCGTTGTTTGCAAGCTCGTGCGACAGCGAAATAAGAAAAGCTGCCAAGTTCTGCTCCTGGAATTGCTTCAGGTTCTCCTCAGCGACCTTCCGAACAGCTCCATCCGGAGACTGAGCATTGAGCAGAATCTGCGTAACCTCGAGCGCCATGGTGGAACCTTGCAAAGCTCGATGAATGGAGGAAACAGAAGAAAAAAGGTTAGCAGATGAATCCGACTTTCCACCTTTACTCTCTCGAGGTCCGGCTTGACGACCTTCTCATACGATGTCCTATTGACCGCTCCAAGTGGTGACTAGATCAATCTCTCGGGATTTCCACCTGAATCTTGGAGTCCCCTCCTCGGGGCCTCCTGCCCCACCAACTATCAGTCCTAACTCACGAGCCTATGCTCGATTCTCGCACCACAGCGTCCTGGGATGTGTCTTCACCCCGTGCTTAAGAAACCCTACGCAAGGAATCCACAAAGCTACCTGGAAAAGAATTTGACGAGGCTTAGCCCACATACGAGACATCTCAAATGGCAACACGACCGAAAGCACCACAAACGAACTCCATTCACTCAACAAGATCTCGGCGATCCTTCAAGCAAACATACTCCCACTAAGAACGGCGGCATGCTCGACATCCTCCTTCTCGCGAAGGCGAGCGCGGCACATCAACCTCAACCTCAACCTCAAATCAACACTTCAGAATGACAAACAGAAACCAAGCAAAGCGACTCTCCATCTCAACATAGGGGGGGGTGGATCACAGGGTCGATCTTTACTCTAAATCTACTGCCACGGAAGAAGAAGAATAAACCAACAAACCGACACCGCGACAAATTTCTCGCTCTACCTCCTACGCACGCCGGGTCCGCTCCGGTTACCCCACGCGCACACACACTATCTGTCTCTCTCTCTCTCACACACACACACTCACACGACGCGTACACATACACATCATACACACCCTAATCAGTCGTTAGCGAAACCCGCCACCCGCCCGCCCGTCTGCCCGCCTGCGTCTGCGTCCGCGTCCGCCACAAGGCGATACACAAAGATCGCACCTCCCGAAACTGGATCACAGCGTCACTCTCCGTGCAATCCTGCGCACGCTATCGATCGGAATCCCTTCCCCCCGCCCCCCCGCCCACCCTCCTCCCTCCCGTTCCGTCCTCGCTCCGCTGCGATTCTCTGCTCCTCCCCCTCCCACTCCTTCCTCGTCGTCGACGTCCTGAGCAGCACCAGACAGACAGCCAAGCCAAGCCCCGCCCCGCCCACACCACCTCCCCTCCCACAGCCAGTCAGTCCCAGCACAGACCAAATCCCAGCCTGTCCTTGGGTCAGATCTCCCCTTTCCAACTCTCAAAGCTGCTGCTCTCTCTCACTCCCTCCCTCCCTCCCTCCCTCTCTCTCTCTCTCGTCTGGGCCCTTGCGCCGTGCTTCTTCTCGAGGGTTCTGCCAGCCCTGGCTCGGCTCTCGGTAGAGCGAGAGGAGAGCAGCAGCAGAAAAGTGCTGGCGTCGCTGCCTCCTATTATCTCACAAAAGGGGAATTCCTGGAAATACAATTAGCCGACGGACGACGAGCGAGGGCCCCAGAAGCTCGGGGAGCGGGGGGAGGCGCGGCGAGAGGCGAAGACGAGGCCGCGAAAGAGGAAAATAAAAATACAAATGAATTTGTCGTCCCCCGCTTGCTCGAGCGAGCCCGTCCTGCCGAATTAACCCTAATTTCGGGCCTCTAAGATAATCGCTATAGTTAGCGGAGGTAAGTGCGAGTTATGACGAGCGCATGGTTTTCGTACCCGGCATCTGCGAGCAACCCATCCAACCCCCTCCATTCGCGCGTCGCCTTCTCAAAAGGGCGCGAATCCCGTCGTTCAAAAACAAAGATCTGCGCCCAGGGCGTTTGATTTCCGCCAAATGTTCTTTGTATGACCGAGGGTTTATGTTAAACGCCCTGCTAATTCATACCTTTCCGGCAACGGACACGTGTATGTTTTCTCACCTGAGCGCTTCGGGTTTACCCCCAGGCATGGGCTTTCTTGTCGGGAGCTCCCCGCAGCGGATCGCGAGTTTCAAATAACCTAACTCGCAGGTTAACGTTGGGGTCAGGCCGAGCCTGATGGGCGGGGGCACGCGGCGGCGATGCGCATTTTGATTCACCTTCATTTGTAAGAACGTTGACGTTAAGAGCATGGACCTGCTGCTTTTGAACTTTGCCCCCCCTCGAGAGCAAACACTGCACACCACTTGGCACAAGAACATTTCAGCTTTTCGTCAGTTCGCCTTCTTTTAGTAACCCAGACCCCCAAAAATAAAATTAAATGTCGATATTCCTGATATCCAGAAATATCATTCTTAATCGAATTTTCTCATGTAATCAAAAAGCTTTTCCCAACCGATTCCTCTCGTACATTGCTGTGAGTATGTCTTATTGTTAGCCAATACGCCGATTTTCCCCTTTGTAAGGAATGGCAGGAAATACCGTAAAACTATAGTAATTAACTGAATTTCACCTTGGGTAGAGTGCCGAGAAGACTACAGTTTCACTTACAGAACCACACAAGGCCGAACTTACGTCATCCACAAAGGATGTACCCGTTGTGGGCGAGGAACCGAGTCCTGGTTCTGAGTACGAGCAAAGCAAAGCAAGCCCGCGTGGCGACAAAAGAGCACTGAGACAAAGAGTGCTGTCGAGGGAAGAAATCTTCTGCAAAGGATTGGTGGGGGAGGGGTGGGGGAGCGCAATATCGGGCTAGTCGTCATGCCGACGGCGAGGAAAGGGGGGCGACGGTGGGAAAAGGTTCAAAATTCAAACACACCAACTTCGGCCGTCCAATCCTGGACGGTGGCCGTCGGGGCGGGCTGGATAATCCAATGTAACTGGATATACCCGGTGGCCGTCCATGGTGCTTGACAGGTGGCTGACAGTCTGGTCCAGACTGGAACGCCTGCGGTCTGGGAAGGGCTACCGCCATGTGGAGGTGATGGGCTACTAAAAATTGGGTCCGCTTTTCAGCCTATATCGGTGCCGGCGATTGAATGTTCGGCCACCAGCACGTTAATCTCGAACTTTCGGAGCTTAAGACAGACCGCCGGATACACAAAATACCCGTAGACGATAAAGATAACAACTGGCGAAACCCTAATGCAAAGTTCCGGGAAAGGGGGCATAGGGCGGCGGCGGCGACCTGCGAGACCCGAGCCTCGACAAACAATATATTACTACAGCCCATTTATCTTTAACTCGGTGCCATAATCCAACTGAAAGTGCCAGCAGGACCACGCCGGACTTCTGAAAGCCCTCGTAGCCGTGAAGAAAAGGGCCGCCTGCCTATGCTAACAGCAGGGTCGCATCGCACCGGACTGTATGGCGGTGGGCTCTTCTCTTTTCACATGTTCCTTGCCTCATTATTCTCCCTACCGCACCACGCTTCGTACCCTCTCCAACACACCGCCTCCTTTATTCTACCTTTGCGTTTTGTCCATGCTCCATCCTTTGAACTTCCCATTCTTATAAGTTTTAGTTATGGTCCCAAGTAGTGGCAGTCTGGCAATGTTTGGCGACTTTCCGACCACACATGGATCAATTTTTCTATGTGATTCCCTTCCAGGTCCTGTCCCACCACAGTGTCATTCTTTATCCACAGCACACTCTGCTTGTTTTCTCTTCCGAGTTGTGAAAATTAAACATACCTTCACTCGTTGCACATAGGGCAACCCGGTCAACAAAGCATTAGAAAACCTTTTTATATTTGTTTCTCACCCATGTTCTCACTATCATCAAACCCACAGGTCAGTAACCATGGGATGTACAACAGTGCCAAGTAGATCTTTCCATTCTAGTCGGCAAGTAATACAGATGCGTTCCAAGTTATCGTGGAATCTACTATAGTCAAGTTTTTTCCGCTTCTCTGTGCACATGACACTCACTAGTGCTATCCATTGAAAAGCACTTTTGTTATTTTTATTTCTCCATATGATCATGTTGTCCAGTATCAGCTAGATAAATCATCTGATATGCTTCATTGCATATTTTACAGTGGATTGTTATTGGAATCAAGTCCTCCATGATACGTATGTTTTCAACTTTGTACTCCTTCATCATATATTCTCTTTCTTATTATACACATTGAAATGATTAAAGTTGTACTCATTAAGTTGCAAGTTAAGCTAATCTTGAATCACTTGATTCATAAAAGTGAATTTCAAACTTAAATATCTCGACAACCAACCATCAAACAATTCACATAGTCACTGATTATTTGATTACACGTCATACTCGATCATTCTAAAAATCTCAATATATATTGCTTTCTTTGTATCAACAACATAATTGATGCACATTCATCTTTAGACTTGACATTTTGAACTTTTCATAGCACATAGATAACGAAACATTTTCAGACATAGCATACAAATTAAAGAATTCATAGAAATATAGAGAAAATGAAATCTTTGATTTTATAAAATACACAAGTATTTTCATAATAAAAAATTCGTCTTACCTTGATGGCCATAAAATGTTTCTGTAAATTATGAGATTGAAAATATCCATATGGTGAATGGTAAATATGAATGGTGAATGGTAAATAGATCAAGCCCGTGGGACCCAAAGGGTCAAAAGGCTAAAAAACACAATACAAACAATCCAACTCCAAACTAGGAGAGAACCAAAAGAACCCCCTAGCTAGTGCCCAAAGCACTAGAACGGTAACTAATAATATCCCTAATGTAACAACCTAAATCATAAGGCTCGAGTTGAAGCAGAGAAAAGAAATTCTCCACATCAACTTTATGGGCCACTCGAATCTCTACATACCTAGAACAAGTAAGAAATACATGCTCTTCATCCTCAACTTTTCTTCCATCACATAGTTTACAAATACGTTCACTCCTATCAATGTTCAACCAACGCCCTTCTTCAATCCCAAGACTATGAGATCCTGTTCTATGTCTAGCAATAATATGACGTAAAGAAGTAGATATCTCTGCAAGTAAGTATGCTTGCTCACAATAAACAAGCATAGGATTCACATGAAGTTGATAAAACTGCATCTTGGTGCCTCGTGTGCTCCACATAATGCTGAGAAATTCCTCCTTTATACGCTCGCGTAGGGCAATAGGTTGCAAATTCCAATCGAGTTCCGTCACATTCCACCTCAAAGACCAAGTCACCACATCTGCAAACCAACCCTTGGGACGTGTGTCACGCAAAGCTTCAAGAGGAAGTCGAGAAGCACCAAGAGATCTCACTCTTTTGACGTAAGTGATAGTCAAAAAGAGAGCTTCAGCCTCAAGAGGTAGACAACCTGTTTCCGCAAGAAGAATTGCATAAGAAGTTTGGGTCCTCACACCCAATTCTTCTTGTAAGAAGATCTTTTGCACCCTCTCCAAACGCTGCCAACCTGTCTTCTTACAACCAGGACCCCACACTTGTGTTCCATATAAGATAACGGGAAACACTAAGCTCATGAATAAGAATTTCCTAAGACTCCAAGACACTAGATGAGCTCCTCTACATCTATTTAGCAATGAATATAGAGCTTTGAAACCAGCTTCTACCCTCTTTTGCACACAAAGTGCCCAACTATAATTAGATGAGAAATCAATGCCCAAATATTTGTAACTTTTCACTTGTTCCAACTCTAATCCTTTGTAACAGAAAGAGAACTTGGATCTAGTGCCCACAAGAATGACTTTGGACTTCTCCAAATTGACTTCCATCTGATTTTGAGTACAAAAGCTAGCCAAAGCGTCGAGGTGTTTCTGTAAACTAGTGGCATCACGTGCTAGTAATATGACATCATCTGCATACAAAAGAGCTTTGATGACAAAGCCTCCAAGTTTAACACCTTCGCTATCACAATCCTCCAACCACCTCTCTATATCATCTATGAAAACTCCAAAGAGAGTGGGAGAGAGAGGACAACCTTGAATGACTCCAATGGTGCTGATAATCTCTTCGGTTTGAGAAGTGTTGATCTTGGCCCGAACTGAGTGGTATAATGCAGCCACCGCTGCCAAGAGATCTGATGGTACTCCAATGGTTTGCAATCTTTGCCATAAAAGCTCACGAGGTACTGTGTCAAAAGCTTTCTTGAAATCAATGAAGGCACAAAACAAAGCTTTTCCATTGCCCTTGGATTTCTCCCATAGAACACGTAAAACCAAGATATGGTCTATAGTGTTGAATGTAGGACGAAAACCAGCTTGGA